ACCAATGCAGGCTGAGTCGGGTCGTCCAACTCTGAGGTTCCCTGCGAGCCCGCAGTTGTGTGTGAGCACTTGACCAAGTCCCTTCGTAGCCGTACTCCAGTGCCGTCACACTTGGGCTTGCCAAAGCACACGAAGTGAGTAGTAAGTCTTGAGTACCTACTTGAGTAAGTACTCCGTACGGAGCACTGAATGCTGCTCGGTACCGCGGCCACTGCCACTGCCACTGCCACCTGTTTTCGCTCTCGGGAATAGTGGAGACGACACCACACGGACACAGCCCGAACACGCTTGCGCATTAGCAAGGGCACACACATACGGAGTAGTTCTAGTATAATGGACACGGATTTGACGGAGTACCGAGTACTACAGACTGGGCGTAGCTGGTGGGCGGCATGAAGAGACGCACCGTGCCATGTGCACCGTCCCTGCTTCTTTACCCGCGCAGCAAGCCCGCGACCCACCACAGCCAGCCAGCCCGCCCGCCCGCCCGCCCGCTCCGCTCACGCACACGCACACGCACACGCTCCTAGACGCTTCAACAATCTATGGGCTGCTAATCTGCGGCCTGACGCCCGTGATAGCCCTGCAACCCAGCCGAGAGAGAGGAAAGACTGGCGGTCATCTTCCAGTCCGGAGTAGTAACCTGGCTGCCATGCGCATGTGCGTCCCACAAGGACTCCTCGCATGGAGTCACGACTCTCGCGATTGAATCCGCCATGCTGCGTGCCCGGCTGAGAAGGAAGATGAAGTAGTCCACGTCGTACAACCTAACCGGCGGTGTCGTGTAGGATCGTACCTCGCCTTTTGAGTTCAACAGCCGCAGCATACCAGAGATGGACCGCCCGTCTTTGCCGACAATACAATTGGACATCACATTCCCCTCCTTAGTCCATGACGCTTCTTCGTCAATGTCGGGACAGGACAGAACCATCTCGTCGCCACCAAAATCAGTTGGCTTCCGGGCCCGGTCTGACGGCGCAACGGAAGACCCTTGTGGCTGTTCATCGGTGCTGACGGTGGGACGACGACCCTGTTTCCGCTCGCTTTCCGTCGTGTGTACGGAGTACCACAGCCTTTCCATCATTGATCTGCACGGAGCTGCCACTCGGCAATTAACCACCTGCAGCTGGTTTCGGAACCTCGAGCTGCTATTGGCACTTGTGATCTGGGCCCCAATGCTTCAGACTGTGCCGATGCGACGTCAAGAGACATTTCTTGATTTGGATTTTTTGCAAGACGGCTTGGTTGCTCTACCATTGTCGAGATCCTTGGGTGAACCGCCTGTCGAGCCTCGGCCTGAAAGGCTCGACGTCGACGACATGTTTCATGTCATGCCCTCAGACTGTCCAAAGCTTACGGTTGCCCGGCTCTTTCCTTTCGCCTGACCATTGGCGGTATCAGAGTATCAGAGGTATGGTTGTGTGCATAGAAACACATACAGGCATGCCTCGTACTACGCAGTACCGGGAAGACAAACTCGGAAGAAACCGTTTCTGTACCGGAGGAGCTTCTCTGGCTATTTAATGATAACATGTAGACACTTTTTATGTGCCCAGACCTTGGAGAAAGTCAAAAAGGTCGTGGGTGCTAGCTAGGCGGCGGCTGGTTTGACCCAGTTCCCCCGTGTACGCCTACCAACTAGTATTCAGTCGTGCGAGGTATCTCATTTTAGTAACATTTAAGTTGCCATGTGAAGATCATCGTCACTCCGCTATGCCCGCCCGCCTGGCTAACAACCTTTTTCCTGCTTTTTAGAATTGAAGGACAGTGGTCTCAGCCTCAAGTTGACCGTCTCTTGACGAGTGAAGGGAGAACATTTGAAGAAACGAGCGTGTACATGCTGCTGTAGCCTCAGGCAGGCACGATTCGTACAATATCTACATACATGCCTCGTACCCCGCTATTTCCGGTCGCTAATAATGTCTTTTTCCAGGTCGTTGGCCAGCACGCATGTATCACTCACTGTTTTTCTTCTTGATTTGGTTTTTGCTGCGTCGGCTGCGTTCTGTGCACTTGAATGTTCTTCTGGCCGCCTGAGGCTGCCTAGCCCTAACAGGCACATCCGCCCACCCCCACCAACCCCACTCTCGATGGGGGAAGGGATGGATGACCAACAGTTTTGCTGGGTTGCTGCAAGTACGTATGACTGCGCGCATATCGGGCTATTGGATGCATCCCATGTCAAGACTTCAGCATCAGGAAGGCCACTGTGGAGTTTTAGAATTGCAAAATGCGTGGTTGTTTTTACAGTCACACAACGACACCGCAATCACTCCACGGCGAACGCAGACCTGTTGCCGGACCTGATCTGATACGCAGACGCCTCCGCGCCTGCCCCACTGCCCAAACAAAGCTTCGGTGTCGGCCTCATGCAGCTCCCCACCCAGGGGTACATCTACGACAAGCCAGTGACCAGTACGGAGGACTCCCTCACGGGATCGACCCACTGGGTTCCGTGAGCCTCAGCCGGACTTCGTGATGTGCATCCATCTGAGGACGGAGTACGGAGCAGTCGGAGAAGGAGACGTCGTCGTCATGGTGAACCCAAGTACGTGGCACCCTTACTGGACCTGTCCCAAAAGTTGATTTTCTTTGCAAGTCTTTCCCACCTCGTCGCCGTCACGACGCGCCTGGTTCGAACTTTGTCGCCGTCACCCCTTCGAGCGAGCGCCACTGGGAGGCCACGTACGTCCCTGCGAAACAAAGCCGTCCGTCGAGGCGAAGAGCCAAATGTCTTCGAGCGCTGCGAGAGAGCCACACATCTGACTCTCGCTTTCAGGGTGGCATTTTGGCACTTGAAATGATATCCCCATTTCGTTGTGTATCGGCTCCGTACACACGTAGCGCAAGCGCAAGCCACCGTCTTCACGCCTTTCTGCTACGGGGGAGGAGGCCTGGTCGGCCTATTTTCTGCCGCGAGGATGGATTGTGGTCACTGGTGATTGACGAGCCTCAATTTGTTAACGGGACACCCCATGGGCGGCCATGGCTGGGCTGGTGCTTCTCCCTCCCTTTCCATAGCCCCGGGCATTGATGTGCCTCCAACGGCAAGGATTGACAGATGGCGTTCATGCTCCAAGTCACCAAAGGGCAAGTCATCTTGCCTCCACGCATGCATGCCTTTGGCAACAACCTTGTGTGCTGCGAGTCGTCTGGAACCGCCCAGGCGGCACGATCGCCTGACGCCGGGCTTCCCAACACACAGACTAGGTCGCAGTTTGGAACAGATGCCCTTGATCCTGGCGTCCTGGTCGGGTCGACTCGACCCTCGACCCTCTTCCCTATTCACTTTCGTCGGGCCTCTAGTTGGTCTTGGACTCTTAATGTTGGTGCGCCTTCAACGAACGACCCTTGTCCGTCCTACCAAAAGCGGCCCAGACCAAGCCATAGCCATGTACGCACGGAGTGGTTACTGTAGTTTATTGCTTGCCACGGAGGACTCGGTCTTGCGACGCAGGAACCGAACCGACTGACCAATTTGATGGGAGATTTTTTGTTGGCAGAAACCCAGCACACGCCGAGTCCGCATGTACTTTGGATGTTTTGGTGGTACATGGCGGGTTCTGTCGCCTGCATGCCATGAGGGCATAAATCAGCACGACGATACAAGACCACAGGAGACAAAGGAGAGGGAAAAGAATCAAAGGAAAAATAAAGGAAAAAGAGCAGATGGAGCCGGCGTTAGAACGGGCCGCTCGGTTCCAAAGCCTCTCGAAGAACTGAGGTGTCTCCAACAGCCAAAGGACAAGCGTCGATGCCGCGCACCGCATGACACAATGACACAGTAGGAGCAGACAGGGCAGCGTTCGGTAGGAAGAGTGCCAGTTGCCAGCCAGAACTCGAAAACCATTACGGTGGCAACGCCGCATCGTCCTTGGCGCAGACACCACCACTCTTTCGAGTCCGCAGGGAGACGTGGGAGATAATCCAAGAGCCCACACACACCAGTGACGCGCCATTGTCTCTCGGAACGGCCGCTCCCCCCAGATTATGGAACCCCGTTTTAGCATTTTTTGCACTGCTTCCTTTTTGCCTTTTCCATCCTGGAATCCATCCGATGAGACATCCTTGAAAGCCTCCGCCCGCCTGTATGTTGGATGACGCAGGTGTTGATCACATATGCTCGCATCTGCCCTTGGCAAAATGCCCACACCCCTTGAGTTCTGATTGCTATTGGAACACCCTCCCTGATCGGCCCCCTTTGCCCTTTCCCGTCGAGGAGCGAGCGGCTTGAAAGCGGCAAGCTGGCAAAGGAAGGTCATCCCGACGACGAACCAGACGTTTGCCTTCCGCACCGAGCATCGAGTCGCGGATGCCACAGGCGAGGCAGGGCGTGAATACACACATACATACTTCATACATCAAGTACACGAACCCACCCCCTTTTCAGATCTTTGCGCGGGCCATGGACATGCAGCCCGCACGTTTGGCGACCCATCTCCAGGACGAACGTCAAGCCAGGCCATGCCGTTTACTCCTAGTATGAGCTAGTAGTATTGGCCGCCTTTTTCGCTTGGCTCACTCCAAGATCCATGACCCATGCGCACTGGGTTTGGATCTGGCGCCGGCTACCAGAGCAATGGGCTTGGGCCGTCCTCACTCGTCCAGGCCAGGTAGGTACTGTACTTTCGCGCACGCACACTCACTACGCCATGTACACCGTACGCGCCTGGGGGTGTGGTTGCTTGCCCGATCGCCCCAAAGCCCACCCCCCCTGCTACTTCACACTCCCGCCCCGAACTTACAGATGGATAATCTAAGCAGACTCCATGACCTCTTCCACTTGCGCGAAACTTCAGGCCTACGTTTTCTTTCAGACACAATATATATATCTATACTAGAACAAGTAATAGCCACCTTTCATCCTTCCTCTTCCTTCTAACCATCGCTACCCTCCACCGCCGACAATCTTCTCTTGCCTGCGTCTTCGAAAGCACACCTCCTGGCAGAGACGCCAACCGATATACTCGTTGCATGCTTCATCCAGCTTTCCAGCCAATATGATGTATCCAGCATATGGGGGGCATACTCCCGACACATTGCCGGTGTCGTATTCTCAAGATGTCTTTTTCGACGACTTGTCCACACGCATGGCCATTTCACAGGCAGCAAGGCGGTTACCACGGGCATCTGGAGGACAGCAACGGGCAGGAACAGCTATGCGAGTATCGAAACCCAACAGCACGAATAACAGCCCCAGATCCTTGTCGGCCATGTCGAACCGGAGACGAACAATGGTGGGTGGTGATGCGCTGTGGACCGGTCGGAAAGAGCAGTCGATACTCGACTATCTCTCCGTCCCTCAGCAGATTGACTCCATATCGTCACCGAGGCGGCCAGCACGACCTGTGAGCTGGCACCCGCCTTCATATCAGGCCCAGCTTCCCCAGCAACCGTTCTTCCTGCAACAAACACAACACCAACCTCATTATCAGCTAACCGGCCCGCCCTTTGCCACACCAAATATGTATGCCGTCGATTCCAACGATTTCTACGGCAGCCAGGCTCAGTTTTCCCCCATGACGACTTCCTACTCCAGTGACACGTCGCCTTCGTCCACCTTTTCTCCCTTGCCGTTATTCTCCGCCTCTGAAGATGCAGCATTCGTGCAACCCGAAGGATGGGACATGCCCCAGAAGCCAGGTCAGGGATACGCTGGCCCCGACAGCCAGGGTAGCACCGAGCCTTTTCCCACGCTTAACAGCTCGTCGAGTGTGAGGAATGCAAGCACGCCTGGCATGGACTGGAACACGTTTATCACGCAGGGTTTCAACAACACCACGCCGCCAACGCCCGAGGCATTCTCCCAGACCCAGCAACAACCAGCAGTGTCTGAGGCAGCTGTTCCCTATGAACCCTTGGACGAGGCTGAAGAAGAGGGCGAGATTCTTGTGGGCATGGGCCTGTACGACACCCCCGACAAGCTTGCTGAGGATCCTCAACTGAATAACTACCGATCAACTGTTTCATCACTCTTGGGATCATCATACCGACCGCATGAACCTCAGGGCAAGGGCCTCAAACTAGAAGAGACTTGGGAACCACCCAAGGCGGACGATGAGGATGAGGCAGAGGAAGAAGGGGAGGAGGAGGACGACGACGAGGACGACGAGGAGGAAGATGACGAATAGCCTTGGACGATAAGAGGCTGAGTGAATGATGAAAATGACGCAGATTCACAAAAGGTCTAGAGCGCAGAGCCATTTGCCTATGATGATATGATTGAGGATTTTCCCTTTTTGCATTTGTCTCTCGGTTTCTCTGTCTTTCTTTCTCTCTCTCTCGTTTTCTTGCCGGGAGCGACAGGATTATAAGCGTGTAGCCAACTGTATTTCTTTTTTTTTTCCCACTGCTGGCTGTTTCTTGAAAGCTTGGAACACAAAAACAAGGGTGGGCATATCATCTACACTGTTCTGGGGACGGGCGTCACGGAACGGGAATTTTGGTTCTTTCTCTTTTCCTTTATTTTGTTGGGCACAAGACGGCGCAAAAGGCAGGGCGAGCAAAGGAAACAAAAAGGCCGAGGCCCCGTCCTCGTGGGATGGCTTCTATTTGGGGGATTGGGAAAAAAAAGAGATTCATGAGGATGGGCTCAAAAAGGGGAAAACCTGTACGACTAGGGAACAAAGGCTTGGGGAAAGCCTAGCAGCGCAGCAGGCAGACAGGCGAACAGGCAGACAGACTCGCGGCTGGCGCCCTTGACTGCATCGAGTCGAACATGAATGCACGTGTGATGTGGGCGGAATGGATTTTCGTGACTTATGCTATGCGTGTGTAATGAATGGTTGAATGTTGATCGTGCAGTCGTGGAAGCGCAGCGCGGCTCACGGCTCACCGCAGTTGGAGCCAAATTAGCCTCGTCCGGGTCCTTGTTCCTCAACGTCGGCTATTACTCATGCACAGATGCACAGAGCGTGTCGTTGAACTGGAACTGGATGGGTTTAGTGCCAGAAAGTTTTGGCACGGGGTATGTACGGACTAGCGCCTTTTCCTTTTGGGGTGGGGGGAGGGATGCTCCTCGTGGGACTAAACTCGTCTTGGCACCTCTTTTATTTATAAAACACGCCGGGCGGCACCTAGGAGCGCTTGCCGGGGATAAGTAGGGCCAGCCAATACTTGTTGGTGGGTGGGATCTTCTTTTAAAAAACCTTGCTCAAAAGGGAATTTTTTGGGGCGAGGAGCGGCCGGCTGGGTCTCGCTTTGGGGGCGTGGGGGTATATAGGCAGCGATGCTTGTGTCGTGACCCCACGTTAGTTAGGGCGAGACAGGCGAGACCAGGACGCGCAGGCAGGAGGAGAGGAAGAGGGAAGAGAGGGAAAAAAAGGGCCGCTGCGGAAAATGTGGAAAATGTGGAAAAGCCGGGGGGTGTCCTCCCTTGTCAAACATGTCGCGGCGGATCTGTGCGCCGGGTCGGAGGGGCGTTTGTTTGGTGGTGAGAGGGTCGGAGGCGAGATGCGAGATGCGAGATGCGAGATGCGACAGCGACAGAGAGGGAGCTCTTCATCATCAGTGAGGGCGGCGGCGGCGGGCTGAGGGCGGGACTGCATGTGTGAGTGAGCGAGTGTGGTGAGAGGCTGATTGATTGTCGAGCCCAAAGCATGCATTGCATTGCATGGCACGGGGACATGTCCGGCCGGCGCTCGAGGCTGCCGATTTGGAAGTTGAAGGAGCGTATTGTTGCGCTTTGAGTGCGCGCATGGACGGAGTCGCTGATACGGACCGGGTACGGAGTATGGGCGAGGCGGGTTCGGCGTGTGGAGGTGGCCGGCAAATGTGTAATGTGTAAATGTAATGCTAATGCTGGTGACATTCTGGATGGCTTGGGCGCCTTTTTTTTTTTTTTTTTGGTCAAGGGCCAAGGCGTTGTTTCGGCAACACAAAGTCGTATTGCTTTTGTATGTGCGACTACGTACCTCCTCCTGCTGCGTACCGACTACTTACACATGCGTACCTTCTTAAACGCATGGACAGTTGAGATGAGCATGGTGGCCCTGCTGACGGGACCGGGACTGGGACCGGGACCGGGACCAGGCAGGGGAAGGCGGACACTTTTCGCCTACAGAGTGCGACGACGAGCGAGCGAGTTGTTTGAGGTTGGCCTGAGCTTCTTCTCGTCTGGTTCACCAGACCAGACCAGACCAGACCGACCAGGCCAGGCCAGGCCAGGCCAGGCGTAGGAAATGGCATGGCATGGCACGGCGGCGGTGGTGAAATGTTTGGGAGAGAGTGCAAAGCGACGCCCCTCTCTCCACTGTACTCCGTAACGACGGGGCGAGCGAGGATGTCAAGCGTGGCGTGTGGGTCGTGCCATCTTTCCTTCCCCATATCATTTTCTGTTCTTCTCCACTGCGTCAAAGACAGGGAAATGCTGCAAAACATGTCTATAACGAACGGGGAGTATGCCGATGATGGACTATGTATTTGGGTGTGAATTTTTTTTTCCCCCTTCAACCCTTTTTCGCTGCAACATTTTCCCCAGCACGATGTTGTTCACAGTTGGCGCTTTTTGCCAATGTCGTCGGCCATCGCTTGCTGTCCTATGCACACGCCTCCCCTCGCCCAACCACCCCCTCTAAACAGCCTAGTCTCGTCTTGGTCAGTCCCCAGCTAAAGCCTGGTTAAACCCTGGGCACTTGCACTAATACTTGCACAATATTGTCTCTCGCAAATCTGTTATCATAGCCATAGCAATATTTCATCCTTTCAACGATATCAGAAGTGCTTTGGCGGTTAATGTGACCAACACCGCTTGACGGCGAGGACACTGTCCACCTTTTGCAAGGACAGGCTACTACGGCTTTTTTGACTCGTGGACACGCAAGGATTAGAATACCACAAAGCTACTCGGTACAGTTGACAGGTATCGGTGTGTCGTCCCCCGCTTCGCAGAATCATATTTTGGCAAAAAAAATTTTTGCCCCTCTATTTGATGGCTGATTTCTCAACGTCCAGCGCGGGCCATGTGACGATGGACGGTCGGCTGGCTTGGCTGAAGTGATTGACTGCTCCTGCGCACCGTGGCATCACAGTCCGCGTGTGATGGCAATGCGACGGTCGACTCGACAGACGGATAATGGGCGCTATTGGGTCCGGCCTGCGTTGGCTGGACGATGGCTGGACGCTGGCTTGGTTGTCTGGGTATCAATGCGTCCGACGATGAGTACACCCGCAGGCGACATGGCAGCATCACTCATCCTTTCAAACCGCTCGGGAGCTTGGCCGTGTGCATTCGATAGATTGTGCTTCCGTGCGAGCATCACACTGAGCCGCGGCTTCCTGGGCAATCCATGAGCTGAACAAGGGGCCCCGCGCGGCGAACCTGGGCCAAGATGCCGCGACAATCCTCATGCAGGCCATTGAGGGAGGCACTATTGCGTCGCCGCCGTGGGATTGTAGCACGGAAATCTTGGGTGTTTCTTGGGACGTTCTGACAAGAGAACTGAGTCAGGTCTAACATTCGGTGGGATGCGCCAAGGATACTCCGTGCCTACCACCTCGAGCCTCGAGGTTTTGGTTTGGACCAGCAGCGCTCCTCCACGCCGGGGTCGTCCAATACGTACTGCAATGACACAGGTTGACCGCCCCCCGACATGTCATCTGCTCGTTTACACAACCTCCCATGCGAGTTGCCGATAAATGACACGCGCAAGCTCGGTGCAGGTACATGCTTACCCATCACCCCGGACGTGATAACAGGCGGCCAACTCCGCGTCGTGAAGGGGAGGAACAGCCACGGCTGCTCTGTCCGCCGAAGTACCGGGGAGGTTGAGTGCCTGTACGACAATTATCTCAGGAAAGGAAGTATACTTGGGTAAGCGCCTATCACTTGTCAACTGATACCAAAGTACGTATCTGCCTCAGTACTTAAAGTCACCAATGTTCTTGAGCAAGTACCCAAGTAAGTAAAGTAAGTACTTACTTGAGCCAGCTGCACCGAGCACCCAGCACCGACCGCGGCGGAACGAACATGTATGTAAAGTGCGGAGTACTCTGTACTATTCCACCATGCCACCATTGCTGCCCCGGGCGCCTCCAGCCAGCCCCCGCCCCACCCCGGGCCCCGGACCGGCGAACATTGCGGAACAGGCCTGGCGTCAATTCTGTGCCGTTTCTAGTGCTTCACATGTGGATCCGCCTGCGAGCATTGACCATTGCATGTCCCAGCCATCATCACCCAGCGGTCTGCACAAGTAATTGGTCTGCCTGCACCAGGCACCACCAGCGTTGTCCGTCGTGTCGCCCCGTTTCGCTCAACGTCATGTGGGCCAGCTGCCCAGTCTGCTCAAGTGCTCGAGTGCCTACTCCGTACGGAGTACCTAGGTACCTACTCGGTACGTCTGAGGTACAGAGTACAAGACCCTTTCTCCCCCCTCCCTGTTTGCCTTCAATCATTACGGAGCACACGCACGATATTTGGCTTGGGAACCTAGCGCGAATTATTGAGAAGCGCTTCCTTCCGTGGGCGACGTGGACGTTTTCCTCTTGGATAATTGAAGGACCGTCCGGGCCATCAATCGATGTCGCATCCCAGACTCCAGAGACGTCGGCGGTTGTCCGTCGTCGGCGAATCCCCCAAGGCTACCGAGTAACCTACTTACTCTAGGTACTGTCATCTATTTCTTCAACGCCCAAAGCAACATTGCTTTTCATCACACGCCCCCCTCCCTCTCGCTGGGCCGTCGCCGCGCAATCATCGCCTCATACTCCGTACATACTAGCAACATCTGCCGACAGACTGGAGCACCTGTAGACGAACCTCTCTCCGTCAATCAAACCAGTCTCCCCTACGTTCCCGAATCCGTCCGGCCCCGCTGCAGCCTCCAGACGACCGGCATCACCACAAAAACGCAAGCCCGCCGCGACCTTGTCCGCCCATGGTGCAGTACGTCCTGACCCCTTGGTGGGACAGAAGCGAGCTGCTCCTCGTACGAGACCAGCTCTACGCGTCGCATCCCGAGCACAGCCAGGTTTCGAACCAGGACAATCGTCATCACACCCGGAGCCAACCCGGTCAATGCGCAGACGCAGGCGCAGGCGCAGGCGCAGACGCAAATGCAGAGGGTGACGGTGATGGCGACGGCGACGGCGACGGCGACACCATCACCAACGCCAACAGGCAAAGGCAGGCCGTGGCTCGCGTTTCCATGTGGATGCAGCGCGGGAATTGCCCCCATTTGGTCGAGGCAACGGCTCTCCTGACGGCTGCCGTCTTGAGCGATGCCCTGGGACGTCCTGACAGGGCCGGGGGCAGCTACGCTGTGCGAGCCGCCTACTCTGCCGCCTTTAGTCGGTGCGTCATTATTTTATTTCATTTTATTTTTCCCTTTTTGCCTTGGATGCTTCGTCTTGACATCAATACAAGGTACTCTTCTTTGCTCTTTCGTCTATTGCGCCGTTTTCTCGGGTTACGCCGCCTTGTGGTGTTGCACTGCGCTGTGCTCTGCTTGACGGAGAAATATGGACTGCATTATATTTGCGCCACACGTGAAACATGCGAAAGACGCTCGTCATGGCTAACCGGCCGGCAGCTTCGTAACCGGCCTCCTGGACGGGCATCAGGACAAGCAGCGCAAACAGAGCATGTACTCCATCGCCAAGACCATAGGCCTCCCTGCCACCTTTGTCGAACTCCGTCACCAGGCTACCCACGAGCAGTTGCCGTCCCTGGCGAAACTACGCGCCGCAGCTCACAAGGCGCTGGCTTGGATATGGGATTATTACTGGAAGGACCTGGCTGATGAGAGGAGGGTCCCCCAGCCTGATGCTTGTAGGGAGGCGGTGATGGAATATCTCCGCGGGCTGGGGGATGGCGCGCAGACGGAAAAGACGATGCGCAAATTGGATGAGTTCGACAAGGACAGGGTGCTGGCGGTCATTGCCGTCCTGCAGGCTGAATTGCCGGGGAATCAGGTGTATCTGAAATGCTTGAAGCTTTCAAAGGAAATCATGATGAGGGGGGATGAGGAAGAGAAGAGTGAGGGTGTCGAGGAGGAGGAGGACGAGGAGGACGACGACGACGGAGGTGGTGCCGGGAGCAGTTGTGGATGGTGGCTGTATGAAGGCGAGTGGAAGGCGAAGCCGATTGGGATGGTTTGATAGACAGTGATACCCCACGATGGAGCCAAGATGACTTTTTTCCTCGTTCCCCCTCGGTCTCTGAGCGTGTACATGAAAGACCTGTTACATGTCCACTCGCTCGTACGGCAATTCACATGGCAAAAGAAGGAGCTGTGCCATGTAAGCCATGTTGGCTTGTGCTATTGTTGTCTCGAGCGTTTTCTCAGTGCAAAAAGTAAATCAGATGCTGCTTCCTCGCTTGCCCAAAACACTACGGGAGTACATCAGAGTATCGTTCTTCTGCTAAATTCTCGGCTCGGCTCGGCTGGGGCTCAGCTCAGCTCAGCTCAGTTCCGGAGGACATAGATTCCCAAGTCTGCCTCCCCATGTCACGTCATGGGCCATCACGCATGGAGAAATCCGGACCAGTACTCCGTACTGACTCTGCGGGTGTGCTTGACTGCCGCTGGGTTGAGAGCACTTGCACCAACGCAGCAGGATTTGTTCCATCATTATCCTGGCTCTTTGCGCCGAACAGACTGCTCACCGCACGCCACCGGGCGACAAATCCGCTACGACCATGGTCATTACACTGCATCATCGACGTTGCGACGTCGCGCGAAGGAAAACAACACGGCCGTGCTGAAAAGTGCATTGCGGCTTCAAAGTTTCGTCACGATGACGATCACGTGAAGCCGTTCATTACGTCACTGCACGGCACGGCGGCGGAGTTTCGACCTCCCTCCAAGAAGCTTGTCTGCCATTAGTAATTACAAAGGACAAAGCACAACTCCGGCTCCAAGCTTGGTTGGTATCCTTCTCCATGCTCCGATCCGTCCAGAGGGCGCCGATTACCGGGCACAAAGTCAAGAGTTTCCATCCCGTACGGCAAGAGTCGTCGTGTCGCTGTCGCTGTCCCTGTCGAGTCAACAGTGAGGTGGTTGCTGACGAGTCCGTCCAGTTTGTCAAGCACATCAGGCCGCGCAGCATGCATGTCCAGTCGATCCCCATGTGTACGTCTCGTTCTAGTTGCTGGCAGCTGAGTCGCGCGGGGGAGGCTCTACGTGAAGAGGAGCTGGAAATGGACGGCTGACGCTTTTTGGCCTTTTTTTCTTCCCTCAGGGGTCGGGAGTAGTAACAACTACGCCTACCTTGTCGTCGATGACAGATCCAGGGATGCCGTGATCATCGACCCTGCCAATCCGCCAGAGTGCGTGCCATCTTCGTGTACGGTGGGGGATTGCGTGTGTTTGCTCCCGAGTTTCGCTCATGGTATTTAGGGTTGTGCATATCCTGAGGGAAGCCGTGTCTTCTGGCAAGATCAACTTGACGGCCATTGTCAATACGCACCAGTTAGTGCCGGCGGGGGGAGAGAGCAATGCTGTACCAGGCATTCTTTCTTTCCTCCTTTCGTCCCCCACATGATTCCGGTCTGATGAGTTTTTTGATGTCTTGTAGTCACTGGGATCACGCAGGCGGCAACAAGAAGCTGGTAAGCTTGTGAATTGGGAACGCCGAGTTGCTGCGGCGGAGAGCTGACGGGCATTGTTTTCTTGTAGCTGGCCGAACTCGGGACGCCGCGTTTGCAGATTATCGGGGGGAAGAACTGCGAGGGCGTGACCAGGACCCCCGCGCATGAGGAGACGTTCAAGCTGGGCGATATCTCGGTCAGGGCCGTTCATACGCCGTGCCACACGCAGGACAGCATTTGCTTCTTCATGGAGGATGATTCGGGCAAGGCCGTGTTTACGGGAGACACGCTCTTCATCAGTGGTGCGTCGAATCCCAAGACCGTCGACGGTTTGCGATGGCGGGAAACACTGATACCCGGGCTGTGACAGGATGTGGCAAGTTCTTTGAGGGAAACGCCGCCGAAATGCATGAGGCATTGAACAGGAGACTTGGCTCGTTGCCCAACGACACAGTCGTCTACGTAAGATTGCGAGGCCCGTCGGACGGCCAGACAAAGGTCGGTCGTATCATGTATGCTAACAAACCTGCAGCCCGGGCACGAGTACACAAAGTCCAACGTCGAGTTTGCCATTTCCGTGCTCCAAAGCGACGCCGTCAAGAAACTGCAGGCCTTTGCAGACGCCAACCCAGTCACCACGGGCAAGTTCACCATTGGCGACGAAAAGGCACGCACTCGGCATACGTTTCCATTCTGCGTCGCAATGCACAGCTAACTCGGTCCATCAGGAACACAACGTATTCATGCGCGTGAATGTACGGCCACCCTCGAATGGCACAAGCTCTCGCACAAAACTAACCTCCCTAGGACCCTATTGTTCAAAAGGCTACGGGGGCAACAGACCCCGTCGACGTCATGGGCAAGTTGCGCGAGATGAAGAACAACTTCAAGTGAGGATCATCAACGTGTCACAGCGCGACCTACGCTTGAAACAGGGCCTGACCACGTCAGTCCTCCCGGCTCCAAAATGTAACGTGACTACATAGCTACATGCATTCACTCGGAAAAAGGCTCGACGGCTCAAAGGCCCAAAGGAGGCAACAAAAAGGGCACTTGGCAAAATGAAAAATGTCTCCAGAGTCAGCTAGGCACCGCTAAGAGAAAGGCAGCACCACAAGCTGAGACCCGGAAAATCAAAGTCGTAACAATGACCGTATTTCGCTATCGCTTCACTGTCCACACTTGCGCGCTCTGGGAGAGAAGATTTGTGCTGCGGCAAGCTCTAGCAAATTTTGAAGCAGGCGACACTTGTCGCAATTTGTAAATCAAGGGCGTCGATCGCGGCGCAAACGTATCCAACAATGTGCCATTGTCTGTTTGGCTGCGCCATCGGCACCTTGGCTCACTGATTAAAAAAAGGATAGAGAGAGAGGGAAATGGCAAAAAAAAATGAACGGACCGCAGCGTGTTTTGGCAAGAAACCGGCCCATGTGGGGGCTGCCACCGTGCTAAAAACGTCAACCCTCGCACTCGGCACTGTCACCCGTGAAGCTCCTCAGCCCCGAGTTGTCTCGTCATCGACGACCAGGTGCAAATCTCGAGCGCGGCCCCCCTCCCCCCCGCGGGCCCCGAACGAAACGACACAATGGTAACTACTTACGACCAAGACGAGCACGACTCCCTCCTCCCTCCGTGACCAACCAACTGACAGGGCGACGCAGCCGAAGCGAAAGCCAGCATCGTCCGCGCAAGGCACCCGGGCGCCCCAGGGCCGGCCGTCCAAACTCGCCAAAGAGCACAACATATCGGCCCAGGAGGAGGCCGAGATCAAAGAAGCATGGGGCCTCTTCGCGGAGCCTGCGGACGGCGAGAAGAACGGCGTCCTGCCCACCGGCGACGTCAAGTCCGCTCTCATGTACGTGTCTGCCCGCGGGCGCCCCTCGACGGAAACGAAACGGCGCAGCGAGCTGACTCGGGTGTCTTCTCCCCCCCCCCCAGCGCGCTGGGCGTCCCGCCGACGCCCTCTGAGCTGGCCGAGTTCGTGTCGATCCTCGACCCCGACGACGAGGGGTACGCCACGTACGAGCCCTTCTTCGCCATTTGCGCGCTCAAGTTCCACGCGCGGGAGGCGGCCGGCGAGGGCGGCTCGGACGCCGCGCACCGGGCGCAGGTCGACGAGGCGTACCGGCTCTTCACCAACGGGACCGAGGGGCCCATCACGCTGGCGCACCTGCGGCGGGTGGCGGCCGTGCTGAAGGAGGACGTGGACGAGGAGGTGCTCAAGGACATGATCCTCGAGGCGAACGGGGGCGCGGGCGTCGCGAGGGGCGTCCGCGAGGACGAGTTTGACGGCGTCATGAGGAGCGCCGGCGTCTGGCGGTGACTGGCGTTCTTTGGACGGTCTGGCGCATCGTTCCTTGTTGTTGCTCGCATGTTGACGCTGCGAGACGTTGCGGGTCCTTGGGGCTACGGCATTTGCGTTTGTATGGTTTGCAATCGGCCTAGGTACTTGGCTAATCTTTGTTCATTTCCATCCAGCCACCGGAGTCATATATCCCCCCGTTGGCTGTTTCCTTTGTCTTCTCCCGGCTCCATCATGATGTACACATAACCTGCAGTGCGGCCTCCAAAACGCCGTAAATACGTCCAAATACATCTCATATCTCGTCCTTGAATGCAGAGGCTCCCCTCCTTCTTTTTTTTTTGTTTGTTTGTTTCTTTTTTTATTGGACTGGACTAGGTAGCTCGTAGGACACGGACATGGTTTCCCCCCCTACCACGCTGCTAAAATTATGACAAACAGAGGACACCGTCGTGGTATCCGTGTCCGTCTTTATTGCGCCGAGGGGGCGCCGAGTTCGACTACGGGCTGAGAGGCTTCTGTGACGGTTGGCTTTTCTGGACGTTGCTGAGAATCCAGGACGGCCTGCAGCTCCGGGGGTGCCTTGAACCCGGCGTGGTCGCGGTGTCGTTTGTAAAAGTAGTTGTCGGGCTTGGGTCGGTGCTCGTCTGGCAGATTCTCCATGACGCAGGCGAGTATGGCGTCGACGGACTTTTGCTTGGACGACTCGCGGTGCCAGATGGTGATGAGGTGCGCGTTGAAGCGGACGGATAGACCGACGCCGCATAGCTGGTCGTCTTTGAGCACGGTCAGGACCAGCATCGGTCGGAAGGGGGGCCCACGGGGGCACTCTTTCAGGGTTTCAGAAGAGGGGTGGACATGATCTCACTCTGGTCCAAAACACTTTCCAACTTCTCGCCAATGGCTAGCATCTGCACCAGGGTCCAGAGTTGAGGACCGGCAGACTTGGGGACCCGGAAGGTCCAGCTGCCGCCGTGTATGTTGCGACGGTCTTCCCAGATGGGCAAGAAGCCCTGCTTGAAGAGGTAGATGGATTCTCGCATCTTGATCTCATCCACCGGCGTGTTGTTGTTGTAGCGCCAAAACGCTTGGACGCTCGCGATCGGCTCGCCGAGCCGGGCCAGCCGAGCCGTGTATTCGCCGTCATGGGACTTGGCGTCTTTGGACTGCCTGGGAAGAGAGAAGGGGGCTGGTCAGCGATGTTTATGGCGCGGCTGTGGCGTGCTGGGCAGGACGCCGCGGCTCGTTACTTGCCCGTCATAATACACGTGCCAGATATGCTGGGTGGGCAGGGCTCGCATCGACTTGAGGAAGTTTTGCTTGGCACTGTCGCGCTGTTCGGCGGGCGACTGGGCGTCGTCGGCCGACGTGGCCTGCGACAGGCCGGACAGGCCGTGGGTGAGGAGCTGCGGTCGGTTCGACATGGTGTATACCATATGGTATGGCTGGGGGTTCGAGATGCGAGATGTGAGCTGCGAGCTGCGGGCTCCGGGCAGGGGGAGGGAGACGAAAGGTGTTTGAAGGCAAGGCCGAGGAAGAAAGGCGAGCGAGGCGAGGATGGAAGATGACGGAGGACTCGAGAGGCCTTTGTGCAGGTGCCGGCTTTTCGCAATGCTGCAGTGCGGCGGGTGAACCACGACGCATGAAGGAAGAACTTGTTTCAGGCTGGCATACGAGACTCGATATTGCACCAGCCCTACGGATTCGAGCTGCTCACTTGGCTAGAACGGTCGAGTTTGTCTGGAGGCTTCCACGGACGCATAGATGCATAGACGGCGAGACTGGTCAGCCATCAGTTGACGGGGGATGCGACGACATGGAAGAGGTATTTACTGCCAGGTGAAGTGCAGAGCTTGTGCTCGGTACTCCGTAGCACGCCTCGATGGGCGGGAATCAAGATGGAGAGCAGGACCAGTCGAGTCCTGAGACGACAACGGGGGACGGACAGGGACAATGAGGGTGCATGACGGAGCACGACGGAGCATGACGGTGCATGACAGCCTGACAGGATGGGGACGAGGCGGTTCGTGATGCGGCCAGCAGCCAATGGGAGCGAGGCGTCAAGTGATGGACTGGGGCGGCGCGTGGGCGGGTGCAGTGATTGGCGGACGTGGCTGAATGCACAATGGCAGACGCAGACCGCCTTGATCCTTGATTGAGTTGAGTTGGCGCCTCGCCTCGGCACGACACGACGCCGCCGCCGCACCAGGCACCAGACACCAGACACCAGACACCAGACACCAGACACCAGACGCCCGCACGCTTCCGCCCGCACCGGGCCCGCGGATGCGTCATGGCATGAGTCGCGTCCGTGGCCGCTGGCGCGAAATGACGCCTCGCGACCGCTCCATCGTTCAAAGTTGGGGCCCGCTCGCCACATGGTGCATGAGGACCATGACGACGATGCTCTGGACCTGGCGCCGGTTGGACGTTCCAGAAGCGATGATGTGTCCGGCCGTCGAACCGGCGATGCCTTCTCCAAATGCCGCGGAGCTCCAGTGACAGTCTGCGGACATCCTCCCGGTACCTCGGCATCTGCCAGCAGGTACCTGCCAGGTAGGCCTGGCCGCCAGCCGGCGGAGGTACCCGGCCAAGTATCTGGCAGCCCGCCCAGGTATCCGTACAACTCCTCCGTACCACCTGGTAGGTACCAATTCATTGGATCCCACCAAACCGAGCTAGTTCCTTCGTGCTCCGCAACTAATAAGGGAATGCCATCTCTCGCCAGATACATCAATGCCCACTGACTAAGCCGATCGATCTCTCGATATCCTGCTTTTCCTACCCCTCTTCTCTTCCCTCGGCCGCCTCTCCTCCGGTCAACAACTCGTCTTGGTGCAACTTCCCGCCTGCCGTATCGACTGACTTGGTATCGTCGCCAAGGTCAAGCATCAAGTTCCAGGTGCGTATATCGTATCATCTCGCCTTCGCCCAACGCCACGCGGACCAACACCACGGGCATACACACTGTCGGTACAAAACCAATAAAATAAAATAAATACAAACAAAAGTAAAAAAAAAAAAAAAAAAAAAACTGGAATCCTATTCTCATGCCGGACAAAGTCATAGGACCAAACAGGACCAAGGAACCTGGGCCGCAACCGTGCGTCCGTACTTCGGAACAATGCCAGGCGTAGGTGGTCTTGACTCTTTGTACCCGGCGGATCAGAGCGCTAACCATTCAAACCCAGCTATCGTGACTTGATCTATTGTCTCTACCCAGGCTGCCATTCACAGGGGTTCCGACAAGGCGTAGACCTCGAAGAGCACTACAAGTCGGCGCACATACCGTCCGTCCCTGTGCCCGGTGGCAAATCCGCGCGCATGTCCGCAGCGCTGGATCCCTTCGACCGACTCGACGTCTTCCTGGACACGCTGCAGAAGAATGCCGACGTCGACAAGGCGGCCGACGAGGAGAGCACCCGGAGCACAGACTCTTTACAGCAACCCACCAAGCAGACGGCACAAGCCGGCTGGAGGTGGAGGTGTGCCAAGTGTTCGCAGATCATCGACCTCGATTGTTACGGCTACGTCTGTCCGTTCTGCCGGCAGACTTGATGGGAGTTCATTGATTGTACATGCTGGCTATGGGCGTGCAGGATGGAGGCTTCATGAAAAACAGGCGCTACGGCTGGGCATACCGACTACTAGAGAGAGATACACGCACTCACGAGCGACTCATTCGATTGTGACGACACGAGCGCACGAGCATACGAGGATAGGCTTTGTCATTGAGTTTTGAGAAATACCCACTGTATACTACCGAGAAGGTCTTTATCTTGCGTTTCAATCACGACTGACTCTTTGTAAAGCGTTCCAGCACGCGTCCATGTGCCATGTCGGGAGTCCCGCCCAGGCACGCTGGGAAAGGTACTCTGCGGCAGCTCCAAGCCAAGAAGAGGTGAGAGGCACGCGTGACTCTGCCGCGTCGACCTACGAGCCGTCACTCACTACTTCCCCGCAGGCGAAGCTTGTCAGCATTCAAGCCCTCCTGCGAGGCCGCAATGTTGCAATTCACACCCGCCCGGGTAACTCGATGTCGATCCGCGCCTGCGTCAAGTCGATCTCGACGAGCCACGTGGAGATGCTGCCCTGCCTACTGAACAAATTGTCGCGTCTGATTTCCGCTTCTGCCGCAATCAATCAACAGGTGCCGTGGCATGACATGGAAGCACGCGCCGGACCGTGGCTGTGCAAATGCTGTCGAGTACTAAGTAGGCAACCAGGTCCGACTTGTAAAGGCACTGTAGTTAAGCTCCGCCCCGAGGCGATGTTGGCTGGGGCTAAAACCGAGCGGAACATCTATAAAGGGGCCACGGTCTGCCGGAGCATGCGGTGGCTGTTGGGCGGCGGTTTTGGATTTGGACTATTTCTATCTTATTTCACGTCGAGTCAAACATGGGAGCACGCGGATTTCCTGTAGAGATTGCAAAAACTCACACATATACGATGTCGTACCGGTGTTGTTCATGTGCACTCGTAACTCTTGTATTTTGTTCCCTTTCCGCCCTTCCCTCTCATCCATCTGACCGACAGCAACTGCGCTACGATGCCACCGCCGTCTGTTATGCTTCACCCATCACCCAGCTTTACACGAGATGGTTCTCTCCTCTGGTCGATTCGTACTAGCTCAGCCATCAGAGCAACTAGTCACCGCGAGGCGTCTAGCTGCCCGTGGCCGGCTTACACGCCGGTCCGACCCGCGACCATCATCCAAGCTTCGTCAAGGGGCCGTGACTTGCGCCTCATTCCCAAGCCGATGCCAGACTTGGAGACCCAAGGACCCGACGCGATGTCCGGCTCCGAGACCCCAAGTTTCGCGTGCCCTTTAAATGGAGCTGGCTACCCAGAACCACCGCCGGCCCGCAACACAATCGCCCTTCCCTCTTCCCACGGCTTCCTCGTAGTGTTGTGCTCAGAATGGCCGAGACCCCTCGAGCCGATATATTTACACGTCTAGGAGTCGCAAATCACACATGCGGCGGCGGGCCGTTCCCGCTCACGACCCCCCGTCAACATGACCTTGCACCAGTACCGGTACCCGGGCCCGTCTACCTTCACGGCCTGCCAGAGAGCCGTCCACGACTCAGACGACTTCCTCCCAGCCCTCTGCATCATCCTCGACTACCTCACCCTCGGCAGCTCGAGGGTCGAGGTAGTGCGGGTCCGCGGCTCAGCCAGCGCCTGGTGCGCGCGGTACTTCCGAACGCGCCGGTTCGCCCTCCTCCGGGATCACCCCGACCTCTTCAACGTTGGCGAGTTCTCCCGCAAACGGCTCGGCCGCGTCGTGCCCAGCGGCGGCGGGGGGGGACCCCGTGGACGGCGGCGCCATGGACACTGACCCGTTCCCCTCATGCTGCGAGACCAGCCCCCTCGAGGGCGACGAGATCTACTACCTGGTCGACGTGGTCGCCGTCGGGCAGGCGTGTGACGTGGGAGTTTCGCCCCGGCGCCGACCACCACGCCCACTTGGGGCCGCCGCCTATGCTGGCCGCCGACCTGAGCGGGACCAGCATCCTCTGGAACATCCCGGCCGTGATGACGAGCCTGGCGAGGGCCAACGTCCAGGCCCCGGACGAGTGCGCCGGAAGGCCAATGTTCATCGACCCCCCCTGCTCCGGGTTCGCGGTGCAAACCGCCGCCAGGGCCGGCCCCGCGTCGCCGTACCCATCCGACATGTCAGTAGACGGCAGTTCGTGCCCGGGCGCCATGGCCCTGGACAGCCGTGGGCCCGACGACGCCGCCGCCGCCGCGCCCGAGGACATGGACGTGGACACCGACACGAACATGGACATGGACATGGACATGGACATAGACATGGGCACTGCCGAGTCCGACGCGCAGGCGGAGGAAGAGCTTGTGGGCGAGGCCATGGAGGGCGTCGAGGAGAGCAGCCCCCAAGGTCCCGGCGACCACGTCGCCTGGTTCATGAGAACGTGGAACTAGGTCGGCCTTTTCCGCCCCCTAGACATGCCTGGGATGACCGAGCCGGGGGGTCCGCGACTCGCACGGCGAGGCGTTTCGCTGCATCGCGCAAAACCCTACAGAGTCCAGACTGGTCTGCGTCGTTCGGGCCCCGCTCCGGCCGCCGGCGGTCCGGGCCGCGACTCCATCCGGGTCCGCCTGCAGGCCGAGACCCAGAAAAACCGGGCGTCGGGCATCCGACAAACGCGCTGGACAACAACCTGCACCGCCAGCCGCAGAACGTGACGTGACGTCATCCCCGCTCGTCTCGGCCAACAGCCCAACGTCAACCATGGAGCCTCTCGTCGACGTTTCAAGAGCAGAGAGGAGGCAGACGTACATGTGCATCAGCCGTCGCATACCCTCTGTTCCAGCTCTCGCTCGGCTCCAAAAGCCACGACCAATCAGTTGATTAGCATCGCTCTACTTGTGCGTAAGCGTCGCGTTTCACAAAGATCAAAACCAAAGGAGCCCCGAGGAGAATTCCAAGTCGCTTCCCAAGAATGAGAGCTACCGTGCCTCTTCTCACGCAGTCGCCTTTTAGGCTCGTGCGCCAGCTGATCAATTCCGAGGAATTCCTCTTCAACTCTCCAAAACCATCTTCAAAACGGGACCCAAAAACCACCACGTGCTCCAAAACACCAGCGCTTGTTCCGCGTGCGATGCTGCTTTCTGCCCTCTGTGCCGCCTGCTCTCCTTTCGTATTCGCCGCACGTCAATCTCCTCCGAACTCCTCGCTTCATACAGTCTCCCCAACTCCCAGCGGCATGCGAACGCTCCTCTCGTTCTCGAACCGTGACAAATCCCCCCCGATGAGCCTTCTCAGGTTCCCCATGTCCTGAAGGTATCGGTGCATCTCTTCCTGCAACTCATCACCCCCCGCCGTGCTTTCCGTGTCGTACTCGTCGTCACGGTACTGGTTGTCCTCGTCGTCGTCGTCTGAATACTCGTCCAAATTCTCCCTCTCGGCCTCTCCCGCTGGTTGGGGCTTGATGCTGACTGCAGGAATAGGGTTCTTGAGACTCTCAATGGCCAGCTTGAGATGCAGCTTCAAAGCCTCGTTTTCCGTCTGCAGCTTCTTGATCTTGCTCTCAGCCACCATGCTGCGTTCTTCCATCATGCGCTGCATGGCGGTGACGCGCGTCTGATATTCTTCGAGCCTCTCCTCGGCTTCCTTGGCGTTCTTCTCTCGCTGCCGAGAATCAGACACTGACAGTTGCAGCTTTCGGATTTCCTCGGCCATGGCGGCAATCTGAGCGTCTCTCTCTGCGGTCGAGATCTGGTCCTGGTTGACAACGGCACGTGTGCGGATGCGCTTGGCCTGGTCGGCGTATCGGAGTGTGGACAGCGTCTCGTCGTAGTCGGACGGCGCTATGCAAGCAATCATTGCTGTCTTGCTGTTGCCGCCCAGCGAGTCCTTCAACAACCATGTAAGGATGGAGTCTCGGTATGGCACGATGTCCTTGCGCTTGCCAGATCTCAGAGCTTTTGGGTCGGCCAGCGCAGCAATCACTCGCCCAAGTGTCGTGAGGGACTTGTTGATGTTGCTGCCCTCACGAAGTCGAGCACCGGTGGCCTCTGTCGACTTTGCCCTCTCACTGCCCGCCAAATCGACCAGGCGAATGCGGGAGCTACGTTCCGTTGTCTCGTCCGTCTCCATGTCGTGGTGAATCTGCTTCAGCATGATTGTGAAGACCGCGTGACTCCGACTGCTGGTATCATTCATCTTTGTGCTTGCCGTCGTCCGAGACTGGTCGCCGTTTTTCATATAACTCAGAATCTCCTTGATGCTCCGCACAGGGACCTCGGTCAGGTCCTTGACATACGGTCCCTCGGTCGGCGACTCCCGAATCTTGAGGTAGTTGGGAGGGGCGTTGGGGTTCACGGGGACCAGCAAGTCACGGACGTGTTCGTTGTAGACCTCGAAATACGAAACCCGGACGTTGTAGGCGATGTTGGAGTTTTCGTTCTGCGCAGCCTCGATGCGCTCAAAAAGGTCCTCGCAAGTCCGTGGGATGAGACCGGGCTGGTCAGGCGTTCCCATCATTGTGTAACTCTTTCCCGACCCCGTCTGGCCATAGGCAAAGATGCAAGTGTGGTAGCCCTCAAAGTTGTGGTCGAGGAACTCTTCGCCTAGGCTGTTGTACACATCTTCCTGGTGGGCATAGTGGGCATCCTTGAGATTGTGGCTCCAAAACGAGTTGTCAAAGGTGAACTTCTTGTCCTCAATGACCCTTCGCGACTTGGGTATTGGACTATCGACCGTGTCTTGATCTGGGGCTCGCAAGGTGGTGAGCTGTGTCACGGGATCCATTTGAATCAAGCATCTCGCCTGTCGGTCGAGCTCTGTTTGCGACCAAGGCAGTCAGTCAGTCAGTACAAGGCGGCCGCGAGCCCGCGGGAAAGTCGAGCCGCAAAACGGGGGAGGGCGCGGCGCAAAGCAACCTACCTCTCTGCAAAAAGGCCCGCACGCGGACAACGACCCTCACGTTTCCTCCTCCATCCATCCTGGACAGGAGAGGCACACTCCCATCCCTGGAGCGAAGCGAAGGCGTCGAGGCGGAGGAACGGACCTGGCGCTCAGGGGTTCCGGATGGCATCAGCCGGGCATCAAGAGCCATTGTACGCAATGTCTCGTGGATGTCAACAAGAGCTTCGTGGAGTCGCAGGCGGAGAATGCACTACATTATCCAGCCCAGCGACGGACGGCACTAGACGGGTGGGGGGCGTCCGAGGGTCGCTCTGCTCTTTGCTCTTCCGAAACGTCAACCTGCACGGATTGCGCGAGATGCCCAAGATCCAAGTGTCCAAGTGTCGTCGGGCAAGTGCATTGTTTACTTGGCGTCATGGCTGTTGCCGGGGCGAACAGGACGAGTGCCCGGGCGGGGAAGGAGCTACAGATGGTGGGGGGCTGGGGCTGCTGCTGCCGGCTGTGGCCAATCCGCCAGTCCGCCAGTCCATGTGCACAATCATACCAACCACGCGCCAACGTCGCGTCTGCGCGCGACTGGAGAAGGAAGATGCAGACAAAAATCCGCAGTCATCCGGCGGCCTGAACACCCCAGTAACGTGCACCATTACTTTTATCACCTCTCGGCACTTCTGCCGCCCCCAGCCACAGCCAATAACCAACAACTCCTCGGTCGCAAATGCACCTCGTTGCTTCTTCCCATCAACCTCTTCCCCCCCCGTGATTTGATTTTTTTTCTTTCCTTTTTTTTTCCCAATCATTTTCTCAAGGTTGCTTTTATCTCTAGCACATAAGAGGCACGGTCCACCCAGCCTTTTTTCCTTCCCACCAGGTCGCATTCAAGTCAACTCCCAGAACTTTCCGCGTCTGACCCCATCGCAAGACACACACGCGGCACACACCCACAAGCACCACGGGCATCATGGCTAGAACCAGGGAAGAGGCATCGTCTGCATCTGCGGACCTCCCTCCCCGAAGGCAATCTCGCACCAGCTTTGACGGCGTGAGCAAACCAGACCCCAGCGGCCGACCGCGTGGAAGGCCACGGTCAGAAAAACCTCCAAAGGAACCCACCGGTCGCCCGCGTGGAAGACCGAGGCTCAACAAGCCCCCAAAGGAACCCACCGGTCGGCCACGAGGTCGCCCCAAGGGCAGCGTCAAGAAACCCGGGGAGAGGAAGACACCAACCAAGAAGACCACCACGGGGACCGGGCAGCGCGGTCGCCCCCGCAGGCAAGTGGGAGGAGAGGCAGCCGCGGCGGCCGAGGCCACGGCCACGGCCACGAAGCCCAAGAACGGACGGGGACGGCCAAGAAAGTCGGTGGACGCGACGCCGTTCGCCGAGGCCGAGACTGTCGAGGAGGCGGTGGGCGCGGCAGCGGGCGTCGAGGCCGAGGCCGAGGCTGAGGCGGCCGAGAACATGGACCTGGACGCGCTGACTACCGACATCAGAGGAGACGTCGAGGATGCCGACGACTCCGAGGACGCGGAGGGCGATGACGAGGCCCTCGACAGTGAGTAGAAATGCTCGACATTGTGCTCGCGTCCTTGTTGCTCAATTTTACGACGCAGGGCCCTCGGGAATGGCTTCTTCGCCGGGAGAAGAGACCGGGCAGCAATGGATTTCCAAAATCAAGGGATACTTTGGGTGATTGGGATTGCCGCGGACCCTAGCAGGGGGGCTGTATACGCTGGATGGTGTTCTGGGCTCGGAGAAAGGCGGCAGGCAGGCTTGTTGTACTCTAGGGGTCAATTCGTCCTTGTTTTTTTTCTTTATCAATCACTACAGATCGCATAATCGACCATTTGCCGCATCCAACGAGGGACCGTCGCGTCGCGCAATCTCCCGTAGGGCCGTGGAACGGATCGGCATGGCAGTACAGCCTGAAACTGGGAGACTCATCGGAGTCAAGTCGCATATTCCCATCCCATCTCGTGCCGCACCACGCCTCCCACGCACATGGCATTTCCCGAAAATCTCACGCCCTCTCGACGGCCGGCTTGGATCAAACCCCCCGCGCCAAACCAACCGGTCACTCGGCCCTCCAGGCCATAAACTCCTCCTCCAAATGCTCCTTCAACCTCGCGAACTGGTTCCCAAACCCCCGCCCGCACCGCCAGCACCTCAAATCTGTCCTCAAGTACCCCTGGCCCCCCGGACGCAGCCTCTCGTCGTCCTCCCCCAGCGGAAAGTCAGCCACGTCCACCAAGAACGGCGTGTTGAACGAGTTGTAGTGCTTCCGGTGCTTCATGCTCCCAGAGTGCATGTCCCTCGACAGCACGTGCACGTGCAGGTGCGCCATGCTCGGCACCGCATGCACGCCCGCCTTCACCTCGCGCCCCCAGTCTCTGCCCTCGGGCAGCTCCCCGTCCCGGCTGTCCTTGTCGCCGTTGAGCACCGCCTGCCGGGCTGCGTCCGTCCCGGAGTACTGCCCCAGCCGGCGTTGGAGCTCTGCGGCGACAAAGGCCCTGAGCTTCACGGTCTCCTGTTGGACTTTTGCCAAAAAGGCCGCGTCTTTGAACGCTTCGTAGGGGTGGAGGAGGTTGTGGGCGGGCGAGCGGGCCAGGAGAAGCGTGTGGATGGTGGATTTGGGGAACTTGTCGAGGATGGCGACGAAGTCGGCGTTGTGGTAGATGACTACCGAGGCCGGGAAGGACGACGGAGAGGATATGTAGGCTCCCAGGCCGAGGCGGTCCTTGGACGCTGGCGGCTTGGGCTTGGGCTTGGGTGCCATGAGGGCCGTGACTGGGGGAACGAGGCCGTTAGTCGTCCGTGCTTGCTTGCTGGTGATGCTGTTGATGGGGGGAAGACGGGAGGGGGTTGGGGCTCCTACAGGCATTTTGGGCAGGACGTGGTGTCGGAGCTGTGCCTTGGGCTTCATCCCTGGCGAGTTCCTCGTCCGCCTCAGAGTCCATGGTTCAGTTGCGATGATGCGGCGTCGGCCTTGGATGGTCGCGTCCGACGTGAGCCTGGGACTCGAGCTCGAGTGAAGGAGGCCAACGTTCAAGTGCCCCGCCGCACTTCGGCTTCTCGCTCAACCTGCCTTGGACCGCCACCTGCAAAGCACATCATCATCATGCATTCAACAATGGCACGCATGTCGAGCCGTGCGGGACGGGGCGTGCCCGGAGACGTGTATGAGTATTTCCAAACCTGCTTCGTCTCGCTGGGAAATAGTTTCTCTTTTTCACACCATCGCCACCTGCACCTTACATCTCCATCATGCATCCAACCCGTTCAGCTCTATCAGTTTAGTCACCAGTTTAATAACCTCGTTGTTCTCCAAATTCAATCCCGGGTCCTCGACCTTTTGCGCAATCAAATCATCCACCATCCCGCGCAGTCGAGCTACCAGGACGCCGATGCGAGCCCATCCCCGAATTCTTAACCACCCATCTACGAGCAGTCCGCGGCCCAGGGTGTCCAACTCGATTGGCCCGGAGAATAACAACAGCGTAAACACATTGAATGCTAATCCCCTCTTAGTGCTTGGAACCATATCTTCATCATGCATGTGCTCGGGTGACGACTTACGTGTCAGATCCCGGATAAAGATCTTGGTAGTGGAAATGATGCTAAAGTACGCCATGTACGCCGCATTTCCTGAGAATCCTTGACTGTCAAAAACTGTGCTGCTTGGATGAACAAATACTCGTCCATTCTCTTGATTGAAGTACTTGATTGATCGTGCTTCGGGGTCAAGCTCCATTGCGCCGGACATGGAGCTGGCGTACTTTTTGTCTGGATACTGAATCCTGGTGATTTGAGGTGTAAATGCAGAAGCGATCAGTGCCCGTATTAGCCCAACATTACGAGCCGGGTTGCAAGTCGCTTCGTCGTTCCTGGACCGAGCTGCAATGCCAATCTCACTCAGAGCTTCGTAATATTGGGACCTGGTGTTGGAAATGTCGGAGAGGGTTTGATAGGACAGGAAATTTTCGTCGCAAAATGATCTCACCTGCCTCTGCGGCACACGATCTCTCATCATCTTGTCCCATTCCTGGAACGCCTCCATATCCGTGATTAGATCGCCGTTTCCGCTGCAGAACCGCATTCTCGCCTGTCTCGACGCTTCTCGCTTCTCTTGTGGTGAAATGAACGGGCTTCTGGTACTGAGAATCGCCGCAATGGTGACGCAGTCGTCCAGGCATCCGAAAACAGCGCCAAATACCATGAGCTTGCCGCATCGCAAATCAGCCGGCAGCATGGCAAGCTGTTGGCCCATGGCAGTAAGCTCGTCGCCATCCAGCGCGCCCATTCGCCTCAGCAATTTCATGGCACCTTCGATGGCTTTGGCATCTGGCGGAGTTGGCGATCGCCCCAAAAATCTGGCCACATCACGCATGCCCATCGCTCGCACAGAAAGACAGAGCTGCTCCAGAGGCACTCGCCTTATTTCGGGCTCAGGCCGCTCAGCCATTTGTCGCTCCAAGTTTTCTGTGTATAGTTTGTAGCATCTGCCCTCTTGAACACGGCCTGCACGTCCGCGACGTTGCTTGCAGGCCGCCCGCGAAGCCCACGTCTCCTCGAGCTTCCTCATATTGTTTTGGGCGTCAAAGCTGGTCTCCTTGACTTTGCCGCTGTCAATCACGGCGACGATGTCGTCAATGGTGATGGATGTTTCCGCCACGTTGGTAGCTACTACAACCTTGCGCTTTCCTGCAGGCGGTTTGGAAAATACTCTTTTCTGCTCTCGCGTCTCCAGTGATGCATGAAGGGGCAAAACATGCAGCGAGTCGATAGACCGCAAATGATTGCACGCGTGGTTAATCTCGCCGACACCAGGAAGGAAGATGAGTATACCACCTGGCTTCTTTTCGTATGAAAGTTCGTAATCAATGGCTTTGACAGCGTCCACCAACAGGTTGTAGTTGATTCGGTGGCCAAGCTTTTGGATGATTTTCCCCATGGACTCATCTGTGATAAAGCCAGTGTCGGGCTTCTCAACGCTGAACCCCGTCATGCGGACGACATCGTCTAGATAGTACTCGTCGACTGGGTATGTCCTGCCAGCAATTTCGACGCAGCCCACACTCAGCCCTTCTGAAGCAAAGTAGTCCGTAAATGTAGAGGCATCAAGCGTGGCAGACATGAGAATAAGCTTCAACATGTCTTTCTTGCTTCTCATAACGTCGCGTATCAGGTTCAGCAAAAAGTCAGTATCAAGACTGCGTTCGTGGACTTCGTCTATTATCACATGGCTGACGTCGGCCAGCGAGGCAGCAACGTCTTCCACTCGCCCGCCAGATGTTTGTAATCGTCGCAGCAGCACACCCGCCGTGACAAAAGTGATCCTTGTGTCTTTCGAAAGCCGAGATTCCCCGCGAATGATATAGCCAACCTCCCCTCCAACTTTTGAGCACCGTTCTTCTGCTACGCGATCGGCCAGCCCGAGTGCCGAAATTCGACGCGGTTGCGTGACAATCATGTTTGCACAGCCTCCCAGGCCTCTCCCATATAGATCATCCAGGATAAACTGCACAGATTGGGTAGACTTTCCCGAACCCGTTTCACCACTTACGATGGTCACGTGGTTGTCATTGACTGTCTCGACGATTTTTTCTCGCAGCTGCCAAGCCGGGAGTCGCTCTCGTTTCGATAACATATCTATCCATTCCGAGCTCTCTTGTCGCCGAAGCCATTCCTCCTTGGTCTTAGATTCAGGCACCCAGTTGATAGGTCGGATATTCCGAGTTCTCTTTGCTCGTTCCCCTCGTGCAATTGGCCGGTTTTCCGAGGCCGCGGAAGAGACGGCAGAGATGTCAATCAAGTTGCCAGGGTTGTCAATGATTCTGTTTATATTCTGTTGAATCCAGTCCATGACGAGATAAATCTTCATCGGCTCGTCTCGCAGAGACTCTTCCATGTAGGCCAGTGCTTGTCTGACGATACTGAGCTTAATGTAAGACGGCAGTTTTGCGATAATTGCTATTATCAAATGCCTCGGATAGCTAGACGATCTTCGAACTTGCAGGGATGTTTCGACTTCGCCCTTTTGGCCTCCCTGGGCGTTCTTTACTGATTCCATCTGCAACTGGATCAGGTCGCCGGATTCACGGCGGAAAGTGTCACCATACATGGCCTCCAGGCTGGCGACTTCGTCTTCCCATTGCTCTTCTGGTGAGCCCATGTCTAGAAAGTCATCAGATCGGCCACTTTCCACGGGCCTTGCGGCACTAGATGAAAGCAAAATGTGCTGCAAGGCCTCGGCGGCCTTGCCCTCATCGCCATCGTTTTCATCGAGAATCCGAGTACATAGCTCAACAGAGTATCCTGTCTCTGATAAAGATTTGATAATGCCCTCTCGCTTCAGGTTGGTGGATCCAATAGATACACCAGCGGAGTAGCTTTCAGGTATAGCCCAGCGCGGCAGGTCATCTTCAGGCACATGGATCAACAACCATTCGAGGGCTTCTTCCCGATGTTTGCAGTACTCGGCCGCCTCGATGATGTGGCTTCGTCTGAATCCTAGTTTGCACAGTTCCGTAACCAGCGCGTCCTTCTGGTCTTGTTGCATCCGTACACCATGCGGGTTCCAGGAGATCCCATTTCGAAGAATTGCTTCAAGCTGTACTCTCGTCTGTCTGCCCATCTCAACTTTTGGAGCCGTGATCCACCCCTTCATGGGGTCAAACGAAATCCCCTTCTCGTTCGCAGAGTTTCTCAACAACACCAAGCCAGATGCACCAGGCATCTCCTTGGCCTTGGCCTTGGCTTGCTCAAGCTCCTTTCGCTTCTTGTCCGCGGCAGCCTTGGCTTCCTGTCTTTCTTGAAGTGCTCTGAAAGGATCCGCTTCATACATCCAAGCCTTCCCTTCCTTCACATCTTGCGCTTTTAGTGCTTGGAACTCTTTCCACAGAGACTTGTGGTCCGGCGGCAGCACAGTGTGCTTGTTCTGCATGCTGCAAACTCTGAACAAAGCATACGTAGCGGCAGCATGCTTCGCCTCGAGGGCCGTGTCCCTCAAAATCAAATGTTTGTGACGGAGAGGTATCTTGAATGGGTCCAACTTGGTCACTTGCTGAGTCTTAGGATCCTTTGCGCTCAAGGTCACCCATACTGAGAATCCTTCCGGCGTCTTTCGGGTGTCGTAGTCTGGCTTTTCCCAACGCTGCTTCTGGCAGTACTCACTTAAAAGGTTGACTGGGAGCTTGCCTGTCCATGAAGAGCCTCCAATTATTTGTTTGACGGTCGGCTTCGGCGGGCCTGCTGGCGGAACAATTGGCGTCGAGGACTCAGGTTTTCGGCCCTTTTTGGCTCTTGTTTCATCATTGCCGGCAGACACTGCAGCCTGTGCAGGCGGATCAGCCTTCGCTTTGCCCTTCTTCACCATAACAGGTGTAGGGGTTGGTGTTTCTGCTCGGCTGTGCGGTGCTCGAGATTATCTCCCGACAAAAGTGGACTACAAATTCATAAGGCAAGCGCGGACAGTATATGTACAGTTTTCACACAGTAACAGCAGCGCCCGCAAGGCGGGGCCATGACCGTGTGGCCCGCTACTGCTTGGTGAACACGATACGACATACGTATTTGTTCCAAGAGGTTCGTCAGAAGTCGTACCTACTAGCACACAGACTGAGACAGGGTCATCCGTCATATGGGGGCGAATTATCATTTATTTACACTGTCTTTGTGTACCTACCGTTTTATATAACCACTTGGTTACGGTTTCCACACTGGCGTCACGTCCCTCATGGGGGCGATCAAGGTGCACAGGGCCCGGTCCCCTCTGTGAACAAATTGAATATTGAATAATTGTCTTTTTCCTGACTTGACCGCGCTTCCAGTTCACGAGAAACACCCGTGAAGCTCGCTGGGTGGGGGGACCGCACCTCTACCAATGTCCCATATCATTTTAAGCCTGCGCACCGCCAGCGCAGGCTGCCCATAGGGCGGTTCCGATTTCATTCGGTGTTCTCCTGCATCAATTCATTCATCTCAGGTTGGAGCTTTCAAGCTACCATAGGACCTGTATCATATCCTGCAACCGTTTACCTTGCTCTCCGCCTACGCAGATTCTTCATGCCAGATTAAAAAGAAAGGAAAAGAAAAGAAAAGAAAAGAAAAGAAAATCGAGATGTTGGGCTGCTGTGATGGCAGGTGGGGAAAGGAGTCAAATATAAAGGCTCTACTTGAACTAAGACGTGATTTCGGAAGGGTAAATGTGGTTGTGAAGGGGGGTATTTGATTGGGAAATTCATATGTAGTGTTTGTGGTAAGACTTCTGGCTCTGGCCGAAAACAAATAATCTTCCCTTGCTTTACATGTCCATAGAGTCACCGCCGTTAGCAAAGTTGAACCCGCCAGACTGAGCAGCGCCGTTAGTGCCAAAGCCAAAGGTGCCATTAGGACCGGCGGGCTGAGCCATGCCCTCATCCGCATTCTCCTCATCATCAGAGAAATACTTCTCGATGATGTTGTAAGCCTTCATGTAAATGTCTTCGTTCGCATTGTTTTGGCAATCGTGAATCTTTTCCATGCCACCACATTCCTCGATGAAGAGAGCAAATCGGTTGATAGCCTCGGCACTTTCACCGGCAGCCTGCTTGTCAAGATCTCCGATTTTAAGAATGTTCTCAAGGCCATCGAGAGCAACCTGGATGATTTTATTATCGGGACAGGTCAACAGGTCGCATAAAGGCTTAATGCAGCCCTGAGAGACAAGGTAGCGAATTTGCTCGGGCTTCTGAAGAGCTCCAGAAGTGGCGTTGCTGATAGCCCAGCAGGCCTCCTTTCGGGTCTTCAGGTCGCCGTTCTGAAGAAGATGGATCAGCGGAGGAATGATATTAGCATCAATGACAGCCTGAATCTGAGAAGTATTGCCAGCCGTAATATTGGAGATGGTCCAGCAAGCCTCTTTGCGAATGCCGTCCTTGCTTGAGCTCAAGAGAGACAAAAGACAGTGCAAGGCACTGCAGTTGATGATGACCTGTGTTTGAATGTCATCGCCAGTGACAATGTTACCGACAGATCGAAGTGCAGGGGTCTGGACAGAGGTGGAAGCGTGCATGAGAAGCTCCACCAAGCGACGTGGGATGCCAGCCTCGATAACGGCTTGTATCTTATCGTTGGAGCCATCTGAGAGATACGATATGGCCCAGCAGGCATCAATAAGGACCTCGTCGTCCAAAGAGTACACGAGCTTCGACAGAACAGGAAGAGCGGGAGCAATCTAATGGGATTTGTGAGTCGAGCGTTCAGCAGTGTGGAATTTGTTTGGCATGGGAAACTCACGGTATTCCAGTCAGGCTGGGGCATCTTGCCACGACAAAAGTTACTCAAAGTCCAGGTGGCGTTGCGCAGCATACTGAGCTTGCGGCTGTCGCCAAGCAAGTTCAAGAGAGGCTTGAGAGCACCGCAGCTGAGCACATAGTCGCGGCACTGAGGGCTGTCACCGGCGATATTACCCAAGGCCCAGACTGCCTGTTCTCTGACATCAGGCTCAGTACTGGCCAAGAGCTCAACAAAGATAGGAACGGCACCAGCTTCAATGACAACCTGAGTCTGAGTAGCCGAGCCGGAGGCGATATTGGTCAAGGCCCAAGCAGCCTCAAACTGTACGAGGGTATGACGGGATCGCAGAAACTCGACGAAGCGACTAACGACACCAGTCTTGATGACCTCTTCGATCGGAGGATTGCGCTCCTTCGACAGAAGCTTACGGAACTTTGTCGTGGCTGAAATCTGCAAATCGACCTGGTCTGAGAAAACGCCTTGGACCATCTGGGGGAGGTCCTCGTTCAACTATTGAGTAAAGTGCGTCAGTAGTCATGATTGGATTAATTTCGAAGTGAAGAAGGCCACATAGAAAAAAAGTGAAGATGCAAAGCAAACGCCCTCATGCTTTGACATATTGCTGGCTTTGGACCTGCGAGTCCCGTCACAATCCTTGAAGTTCAGGGTGCAAATGCTGATGTGGGGTTGATGGCCACCACATGCCAGACCCACATGGCAGGTAAAACAACCCATCTGCCTTGCAGCAAAGAATTGTGTGGAAAGGGAAAAAAATGAGAGACGACTGCGAAATGGCAGAAGACACCTAGAATCAGGGTAAATTTGACAGCACATACCTGAGACTCTGTGGGGGCAGACTCATCGTCACTGTCGGGGGCGGCACCAAGCGAGGCGCCACGATTATCGCCAGCTCCAATACCTCGACGTTTCGCAAGGTTCTCTTCTCTCTTGGCCTTCCGAATCTCAACCTGCTGTTCCTCACGACGACGACGCAGCTCCTCAGGCTTGAAGGTGTTCTTCGCCTTGAACTGAGTCCGACGGTGCTCGGGGATATACCGCTCCGCCATTGTGATGCAGCCTGAACGGTATCGAGAGTTCGACGGAGTGGGCGAGGAGCAGGCGGTGCGGGGGTTATTGTTGACCGCAAGGACAATGCCCCAGGAAAGATGTGCCGAACGAAAAGCGAGCTCTGCCTGTGTCTCTTGATGAAAGTGCGGCAACGCAGCTGCACAAGACGAAGTCTCCAAAGGAAAGAAGATTGGAGAGCGCTCGGGATGATGGTGGAAATGGGGGTTGATGAGAGATGGCGAAGAGGAACGAAGCCAGGCTTTTTTGCTCGATGCGTTGCCAGAGAGAGAGGCTAAAAGCCCAAGTAACCCGCCTACCGCTTCATTTGCGTTCCAAGGCGTGCTGCCTGAGGCACCAGTCTGCCTACTTATCTTGGTTTGTGTCCACCCTAGTGCGAGTCAAACGGACAGTACGCACCCGCCCACCCGACCATACCGGAGTGAGCAGTACCACACGTTAGGGGCGACCTCTGCCCCAGAAGTGAGTTGACCAATCTGCGTTCAATAGAAGCGCTTGACGCGAGCCGCTTGGGTCGCAGGGGCGGCGTACCTTCCCCCTTCTGAAGCTGACGACGGGCTCTCTTCTTCAGGGAGTGGTCACGTGCGGCCGCGTCGCTGAATTGTTTATCGCAATCGTCGGACCCCACGCAGCGCGTCCGAGGAACTCTCGGTAAATTAATCATGAGCTCCTGCACGGAAACTCGCTGCAAGGTGTCCCGTTGAACTCTGCTGACCGGTATCATTTCTTTGACCGTTTGCCAGAAAATGCACGCCAATGGCAACAACACGGTCGGCAACAAGGCAAGGCAAGCTGCCAGGCGGATTTGCAACAGTAAGAGCTGTCCTAGACGGCAAAGTCAACGTAGGATCTAGAATCAATTTAATCGGCGTCATAACCGACTTTCGAGCCCCAATTCCCACAAGGGGAGAGGGTACGCCTCCCATCATTTATATTGTGAGCACTGTCTGCTTCCTTCTGCTAAACGTGATAGATTGGAAATGTCAGATGCGCATCTACGACCAGTCCGTTCAAGACGAACCTGACGAGTCTGTTCTTCTCAACATTTTCTGGCCGCAAAACGACATGCCAGATGCTAGCTGTGGCGACGTGATCATTGTGTTCTCAGCTAGAGTAAGTCTGAACCTTCACCCCGTACAATGTTCGACTCACATAACCAGAGCCTAGGTTCAACGCTTTGAAGCTTCATACTCACTAGTCACCCACAAAACAAGTGACCTGCACGTATATGAGTCTGCCAGAATACCAAGAGCTCGGGCCGATGCGTCCAAGGCTCGCCGGCTGTCAAACAGAACCAAGATCAATCGTCAACCAAGCAAGGCTGAAAATGAGTTTGTCAGCGTCCTGTACGACACCATCAACAAAGAGAGACTTCCGTCGGACTCTGAGTTCAACGTCATGAAGCGAAACTCAGTCAACGTAAAGAAAAAGAACAAGTTCTCTGAGCTAAAGGACTTGCAGGACGGCATGTTTGTTGATGCAGTAGTAGAAATCGTCAAGGAGCCGTACGACTTGGGCGACAAATTCACCTTGTGGGTTTCAGACTACACCGAGCATCCATCATTCTACCACTTCAAGTTTTCGGGGGCTGGCTCTTTGGAGGGCGGAGACGACGGGCTGGATGGTGACAGCAACATGTCACCCGGCACTCCACAGAAGTCCGAGTCGAAAGGGCCATTCGGGAAGATGAGTATGCAAATCACCTGTTTTGAGCCGCACGCGTCAGTCATCCGAGATAAACACCTTTCAGTAGGCACTTGGATCTGCCTGAGGAATCTGCAAGTCAAATTCGGTCACAGCACGGCCAATTTGGAAGGGTACCTCAGAGAAGAACGGGGAGTCCAAGGGATCAAGGTCAACATCTCGAAACTAAATCACCTCAATGGCAGTAGGCTGGGCCCCGAGCTGAAAAGCGCCCTTGACCGAAAGGAAGCTTACGAGAGGCGGAGAAAGAAAGATCTCGAAGCCCTTCAGGAAGCCGCCAACGCAGGACTGAAACGCAGGGCACAGCTCGGCACGGGTCCGGAACCGAGTGTCACGCCCGTCAAAACTGCAAAACAGAGGAGAACGGAAAGTCGACTCTCTAAACAAGTAGAATATGGCCGACAAAACGACTTGGCAGGCAACGCTTTGCCACCTCATGATAAACCCACAGAAGATGTCCCAGAAGACCTCAACAGACAAAGTAAGCCTGCGATGCGAGTAGTACTCAACTTTACCAGGAATGCTCCTAACAAAAACCTCAGTCAAGTGCGAAAACGGAAGTAAGGCCGTTACGTCCGTCGCAGACATCCTAGCTCCCGCGTATCATGAAGCCACGATACAAGGAGACACTATCAAGATCCAACTGCCGTTTATCAACTCCAATTATCGCACCTACGTCCGTGTAACGGACTTCATGCCCTGCTGTCTCGAAGACTTCGCACGACCCAAAAGGAGAATCGCTGGATCTGCCGCGCTCTCAGACAACGAAGACTCGGCCCCTGAATCAGCTTCGGGCTCGGACGACGATACACATACGCCGTCAGCGCTTACCAAGGTCGTGACAGAATGGGAGTGGCGCTTCTATCTAAAGCTAGAAAATGCGACGCGTAATGAAAGCGCCAGGGACTCCATCTGGGTGGTGGTCAATAACCAATCCGCCCAGATGCTCCTGAGCCTGGACGCGTCTGATTTGAGAAACGACGAGAAAAACCTCAGTTCTTTACGACTCAAGCTGTGGTCGCTATGGGGAAACCTCGAAGAACAAAAGGCCATCATGACCCACGGCCCGATGAGAGCAAGACACTTGGAGAATGGCGACGCCCCCCCGGGGCACTCAGATGACGACGAAGAAGCCGTCCTGAAGAACCGTGCACGTGAACAAGTCTGTAATTGTTCTTTTGGATGTTGCATCCGCCAATATGGTGTCACAGTCGCGGAAGATGACGAAACAATGGCCGATGCTGGAAACGGAAAACGTTGGCTGAGAATGTTTGCTCTGTTCGGGACAAGGATATCCGGCTGATGACATGAAAGAAAGGGAAAAAAAAAACCGTCTTCATATCCACCCGCCTCCTTCACAGGCGCCGTCTTGGAAGAGTTATTATGCACACGGCTCACCCGTTACATAGCGCTTCAAAATGTCAAACAACCCAACAGGAGCCATTCGTCACATATCTTGCCGTTGCAGCCCAAAATGCCGTAGTAGTACAAGCGGGAGATAACATGGCCGATCTGAATACTATATACCTAATCATGAGGAGGAAGAAGAAACGCCAGGGGGAAAAAATTGCCCAAGTCCCTTCATAACCCACTCCCCTCCCCCCTTTCATCAGCCAGGTTTCGTACTCTCTACACGTTTCGCCTCCCCAACCTCCTTACGCAAGACAATTATAAGATGGTCACAGAAAAGTAAATAGCACGCAATCGGAATGGTGATAAAAAAAAAAAAGCAAAATCCCGGACCAAGTGCCTGAGATGAGCCTGCAGAGAAAGACAACTGTCCAGTCCGTCATGTCCGTTTTCGTAGCCCATTTCCTTAGAAAAATTGATTTTAATCGCCTAAAACGTGGTCATTCGCATCGTCATTTCCGCCCTGTTCATCCTCCCCCTCGCCGATGGGTTCATCCTCCAGTAGCTCTCTCCTCCGTAGGTCCTCCCGAGAGCCCTCCTCCGGCTCGACGTCATCGAAGACGTGGTGGTCATCATCGTCATCTGCAACTTCCAGGCTGAGGGCCTGTTTGTCCGACTTGGCAGGCTGCTTGGTGGCCTTCTTGTGCCTTCTGGACATCTTTTCTTCGTCCAGATGGGCCACGATTTCTTTGAAGTTGTGGCCGAGCTTTGTTTCGTTGCGGAGGATCCTGCGGCGGAGCTTGGCGGCTTGCGAGCCGCGATCGTCGATGACGCCGGCGGTTAGGGCGAGGACGTATTTGCCTGTGAGTTCACAGAAGTCTCTTTCCGTCCTGAGCTCGGCAATGTAGCGTTCCTCTTTGGGAAGGTCCTCGTCTTCGTCGTCGTCATCGAGCTCCTCGTCGTCGGCCATGGGATCTTCATCCTCAGCGGGGTCGTTGAGTAACTTGTCCTTTTTGGACTTTTTAGCATATTGCCGCTCTGCGCCGTCAAAGATGGAGATGAGTTCGGGAACGAGGCCGGGCTCGATTTCTTGGAGGAGAACCTTGAGCTTCTCGCCTCGACCAGCTGCTGCCGCAGATGAGGGGTGGAAGTTCTTGATGGCGGGACGGAGGGTGGCGAATGTGAGATGGAGGTCGCAGAGACTGCCGGTGGAAAAGAGGCGGAGTTGGTCGATGGCGGCGCGGGATGAGAAGGTTTCGATGAGGTGTCTTCGGTAGGATTGCCGCAGGACAGAGAGTGTGTCCAGGGCGGCGTCGGAAATACTTGTGCCAGCCGCCAGGAGGTTGGCGATATTTCTTTTCTTCCACATGAAGTAGAATTGACATGCCTTGATGGCAAACGTGACCACTTCGTCCTCCAAGTCGTCAATCTCGTCCTCCTGTGGCTCGTATTTGCCGCGGTGGACAACGTTGCTCAAAATATCGATGGCCGGTGAGGTAGAGGAGTCCTTGGAGTTGGACCTTGCTTCAAGGGCGTCGACGCAGTCAGATATGCTCGCAAGCCTGCTGATCTTCAGCAAGATGGTAGACAGGTCGCGCAGCGGTTCGACGGATAGATTGCCACGGACCGACAGCTCGCAAGACTTGTCAAAGTTGCGGAGGGCATCGATCGCATTGTCCCATAGCGGGGACAGCTTGCTGTCTGTCAGCTCCTCAAGCTCCTCGTACTGGCGAGCATGTATGAGAGCTGCGGTGGCCTCAGACAAGACTCTCTTATCATCGTGTCTGTTGAATTGGGTGCTAATTTCATCAAGCAACCTTTCGTACTTGCTAGAATCCTGGCGCAGCTGTTGGAAAGTGTCGAGGCTCAAGAATCGCTCGAGTCGCAACACAATTGCTGCCGTCTCAGGCTCTGCGCCAAACTTGTTTAGCAGCTTGGGGATAACAGTGGTCAGTTCGAGCGCGACCTCCTCCTGAGCTTCAGCCGCCTCTGATCGGCCCAATTTTCTCCTGCCCTTGTCGTGGTCGCTGGTGAGGGTGAGACTAGACTTGACTGCTGAACTCAAGACATCAAGAAGAATAGACTCCTCCTCCGAGTTGGGCGCAACAGCCTTTTTAAAGGCCGCCTCCGGAGAAGTGGCCTTGGACTTTGATCTCGACTTGGATTTGGCGCTTGTCGTGTGATCAAAGAGCAGATAGCCCGAAATCATTTCCCATCTGGTGACCTCGGGGACTTTGTCGTACAACACCTGAGCTGCAAGGGAGATCCTAGTGTCTGGGTTTGAGCCATCCAGCAGCTCTGTGGCAGCATCCAAGCTAGATGAAACGCCGTTTTGGTGTGATTCCTCAATTTGAGCGTCGTAAATCGCCAACATCTCCGCCAGGCATTTGATGTTGATCCACTCCTTTCGTGGAGATTCGTAGTCATCTTCCTCCACATCGTCCAACTCCTCCAAAACATCAGCACCGCCAATCTCTTCCAGCTTGCCTTGATACACATCGTCGATACAGGCAACGAAGAAATTGACAGCGGCCTTGCGAATTCGTATTTCAGTGTCAAAGATGAGCTTGGCAATGGCGTCGATCTCGGTTGGCTCCAAGAGCGCAGCAGACCGTAGGGTGTCGATGACGGAGATCGCCGTTACCCGCACAGAAACTTCAGAGTCGAGGGTTGCCATTTCAATCAGGCGCGGTCGAAATCTATCGATGAAGTGTCCCAACTGCTGAGCGTCACGCCGGAACACCTTGAGAAGCTGTTTAAGCACCTCCTGGCGAGTTGTGGCATTCGTGTCTGAAAGCATCCAGCCGAGGTAGCGAAGATAACCCGGTTCCATGAACACAGTAGGAAGATGCCAAATCCACGCGCCCAATGCGTCAACACATTCTGCTCGAATCTTGGGGTCCACGTCGCGATATCGGTGAACAAATACCGTGTCAAAGAATGACTGAATACCGTCGCTGCAAGTCTTGCGATAGCCGTTTGCCTCGTTCAAGCTGCGTTGCACTTCCGAAGCCTTGGTCTTGTTCCTAGCCCTCTTGGCAGCGGCGAGTTGCTGGTCGATGTTTGCTATTCTCCGGTCGAGTACGCTGGCTACGAGGACCAGACCTGTCTGAACGGCTAGGGAGATGGTGGTTGCTGTGTGACGGAAAGGTCGCAGAGACGACGAAGACATGCTCGCCAACCATGCGTGCAAGTTATCGGTCAGGTCCGTGTCTTTGTAAAGCACGTCCGTCTCGTGGAGCAGGCCAATCAAGGAGTGAAAGAAGCCCACCAACATGTCGCGGAATGACTTTGTGCTCTTTGCCCTTGATATTAACGGGTAGTCGGTAATTTGTTGCTATGCAGGGGTTAGCACCAGTGACATTGGCAGATTTGACCACAGCTTTCGCGAACCTCTTGATAAACATTCTGTAGATCAACCAGCCTGTTGGGGATGTTCTCCGGGTCGCGTATATCATCAGTCGTAACTTCCAGATCGCATCCGGCACATTGAAGAATACAGTTGATGAGATCAGCCAGTTCCGACGCGTCATCTTGTCTGTATTTTTCTAGCCATTGTTTTGCGATGCGATCGGGAGCGTCCCCAGAGCCAAAGACATCAGCTGCGGGAAATGGTTAGCGTCTCGATGCACTTGAATCCTTGAGTGAATACGAGGCTACTGTCAACGCACCAAAGAGGCCTGTTCCCGTCTCTCCAGCTTCAATTCGGACAGTCTTCTTGGGCCTGCTAGGTATTCGAGAAACCTGAGCCAGAGCCGGCGGCTGGGCTCCATTGATCTTGGGCTTCTTGCTCGAGGGCTTCTTGCCGCGTCCGCCTGCCTTTCGTGACCTGGGAGCGGGGTGCTCCTCGTCGCTGGCATCGTCCTCGTCGCTCACGTCCTCGTCTTCGTCCATGTCCTCATCATCAACTTCCTCTCCATCCTGTTCGCCCCTCTTGCGCTTCGGCGCGGCGGCGTTGGTGGGCTCCGGCGCGTACTTGGCCGGAACCTTGACGACGCGTCCGGAACGGCGACGCGAATCCGCATCCGGTTCGGGGGTTGCGCCGGCACTGGCGTTGGTGTCCATGATGTGTCGTCGCAATTGCAGTCGACGGTTTATCCGGAAGGCATCTGCAGGAAGCCAAGGTTGGAGGTGGGCGGTTGGCGACCCCGAATCGCGACTGATGAATTTGGCGATCAAGGCGCGCGTTGGCGTCGGGCGGCTGCGGGCTGCGGTCAGGTCAAGACTCAGGTCGAGCTGGGTTTATTTTGGCAAGTGGGCAGGCAGGCAGGTCGAACATGCTGTCTCATGGCAAAACACCGGCGACTGTGCCCAACCGGCCAATGAGCTGCCCGCGTTTTCGCCTGAGCGGTGGCTGGTGGGTGGGTGGTGTGGCGAGTTGGGGCTCGGCTTTTCTCCTGCAGTGTGCAATATCCGAGATGCTCCGTTAATTCATAACTGAACTTTAGCACTGCGAACTGCATACTGTACTGCGTACTTGCGTACTCCGTTACTCCATTACTTTCTTCCCTTCTCCGTCCGGCTCTCCATCTCGTATCATTGGCCCAATTCCATTCCGCACATCGGCCAAACCAGGCGACGAGGATCCAAAAACTCCTGGCGTTCAACACCATGTCCAGAGCACGAGGAAGCCAGATCATTCCAACCCGTTGAGAGGTTCCACCACGTTCTCTCCCATGTGAAATCCATCCTTTCCACAGGGCATGTCGCTGTAGGCCCAAGGTCAGCTCAGCTTCGCGTTCTGTCCAGCCATGATCCATCCGCGGGGTCTGCCGTTTCCCAAGTCGTCTTCGGTGCCTGGTGAAGGCCGAATCGTGGCCAGGATACTTCCCGGGGGTGCCAGCGGGCTTGAGTCTATCTCGTATCGGTATCCGTTGAAACTCATCTCTCCCACTTCGCCTGCTGGCGGCCGGAAGAGCGTCCTGGTCTTTCTCCTGTCGTATGGGGGCGGTTTGGTGGCAGGAGATGCAGTCAGTCTCTCTGTTCATGTCCAAACCGGCGCCAGCCTCAGTCTCGTCACCCAGGGTCACACCAAGATCTTTAAATCGCCATCTCCGGACGTCGTCACCAGCCAGCTTATGACGGTCCGGCTGGATGAGGGAGCCGCCTTGTGTCTGCTGCCAGATCCTGTACAGCCGTTTGAAGATAGTGTTTATACTCAAACTCAGCTGTTTCACCTCTCGCCCCAATCATCTCTGTGTCTCTTGGACTGGGTGACAGCGGGTCGAACGGCGCGAGGGGAGGATTGGAGCTTCACCAATTGGACGGGGCGGAACGAAGTTTGGCTTGGAGCTGAGCCAGGTGGACGAGATCGTCTCCTGGTGAGAGACACGGTCATACTTTCTCAGCAAGGAACACAGGCTGTCGGGCAACAGCTCCGCTTAACGATGCACAAAATGAGTCTATTCGGTACCTTGATTCTACGAGGCCGCGCCACGGAGCGGTTGGCATCATTCTTCCTTTCCGAGTTTGACGCGCTCCCGCGATTGGGATCCCGCGACTTCCGCACACAGCAAGACCGTGACGATGAGGCGAAGAGGATGACAGAGTTGGAACAATGGAGAGCGAGAAGGATCGAAAGCGAAGTTGCAGGAGGGGTCTTGTGGTCCGCTGCTCGCGTTAGGGGCTGCGTCGTCGTCAAGTTTGGAACGCCAACAGTTGAGTCGGGCCGGGAATGGATCGGGTCCATGCTGGCCAAGGAAGGGAGCATACATGCCCACTTTGGAGAGGAAGCCTTGATTTGTGTAAAGTAAGACATGTACTTTTTGTCACGATGTATTCTCGCGCAACGATGCCAGCTTAGAACCTATCAGGCGCGGCCAGGCCGATCATGCCAACCAAGTCGGCGCATTTGCCTGGCAGCATGACAAGATCCAGCGTATGAAAATATGAAGCCCGCAGGCAAACCCCATTTTGTGCGGCAACATCCAAGTCTGAGCGGTCCAGAAGTCCAAGCCACCAATCAGGCGAAAGTAGCAGTTTTCATTCAGCCCTTTATCATCTGTAAGGACGATGCTGCGCAGGACGGTCCCATACATTGAGATGCGTCGGTTGAAGTTGCCCCGCGTCCATTCACAGAGTGGGGGATGCGGCAGAATTTCGTCCCCCACCACGATCCATGGTCCATGATCCATGGAGCTTTGCCCACCGCCCAAATCTTCTGCAGCTTGTAAAGACTGCAAAAAGATTGTCTCTCGACATTATTCCCATGTCCCAATAACACGGCCCCCTCCTCGGCACACGGTCTTCAAAATGGTGCGAGGCCGGGCGACAGGCAGAGGAGTCCGTCGTGGAAGCGCCACGTCCGCCGCTGCTGGTAGGCGAGCTCCAGCAGACGGAAGCGAGACACTCGACGGCGGCGGAACGTCGAATGAAGCCACGACAGCGACTCCCGCAACGTTGGACGAAGCGGCAGCCTCATCCTCAAGCACAACCGGAGTCTCCACCCGCCGAGGAGGCACGGCTGCAGGGGCTCGTACGACTACAGGCGGGCGACTGAAACCGAAGATCCTTCGAAGAGACGAAGCGGATAGAGACAAGCTAGCCCGTCAAGAGGAGCAGAAAGCCCATGAGAGGGCGGCCGCTGAGAGAAGGGCGCGCGGTCGCTCGCGGAACCGTAGCAAAAGGAGCCGTGGCGATGCAATGGGGGCCAGGGGAGGCAGAGGAACTTCCACTGCCAGTGGCCCGTTCTCTGGCGGCTTTGCCGGAGCTGGTATGTCGCCGGTCACATTCAACAAGCACACAGCAGTCAATTCTAACGATGCGCCCAGGTGGCTCAGCAGCTGGTGGTTGGGCTGGCCGAGGCAGCGGCGCAGCCGCCGGAGGGGCCGTCTTTGGCGGCAGAGGAAAATCCGAATCCAAGGGAAAGGGGTTTGCGGAAGCGGATGTTCGAATGCGCGAGGCTAGAATTAATGCAGACAAACTGCACGTCATGACGCCGGAGGAGGAGCTCGACAGCGACGACGAGGCGATGATGGCAGCGCTGAGCCGTCGTACTGCCATCACCATGCCCATGGGTATATATCGACGAGAACACAAGGAGCAAGGGGTTGTCGTGGCCACAACGGCGGAGCTCGAAGCCGCCGAAAATGCTACCGGAGAGGAAGAAAGCTTATGGGTTGACGGAGAAGGGCCTGGCAATCTGCCACCAATGGATCAACCAGAAGAGGGCGTGTGGAATACGAATGGAAAGCAGGTCTCGATCAAAGAGGAGCCAGGTTCTGAAGACCCAATGGATCTGGACGCGGTGGCAAAGGTCGCGTCGGCGGAGGAGGAGAAGAAGGTAATCCTAGCTACGAAGCCTAAGAGGGAGTTACCAAAAGACCCCGAGGAGAGAGCCATCCAGGCGGACTTGGATCTACTGGCCGGTGAACTCGGAGCCGTGACGGTCACAGACGAAGCAGGGGAAACACAGGCAGAGGGGCCGTCCAACAAAGATGGACGTCTGTATCTGTTCCAGTTCCCACCACTCATTCCGCCTCTGAAGGAGGTAGCACAGCCTCGGCGCAAGACCAAAGTCAAGGCAGAAGGCAAAGAATTCAATGTCACGGATGCTCCCAGCGCTACCGCCGTTGCGGTCGACTTGACACAAGACGATTATTCCAACCGAAACTCGGACGACGACGATGACGACGACGACGAGGATGAGGAAGAGCAGGCGAACGAGGGATTTCGCTCCCAACTCCCATCACATGGAGGCATGGTTGGCAAGCTCAACGTCCGCAAGTCGGGCAAGGTAGAGCTTGACTGGGGCGGCACGACACTGGAAATGAGTCCAGCAGCGGGCATGAGCTTCCTCACAACGGCGGTTATCGTGGAAGAAAACGATGAAAAGCCTCAACAGGGCGTCCTAGGCGGAGATAGCGTTGGCATGGGTAAAATCATGGGGCGGTTCGTCCTCGCTCCCACATGGAGCGAGGAAGAGGACTGGAACGTGGCACCTCGGGAGCTACTCGCCGGGTGAATCGAGTACGGAGTACCCATGATGGAATACGTCCCGTAAGTTGGGGACCGCATTGCGCCAGTTCCTGCCAGCCAAGGCGAAGAGCAAAAAGTCCGTCGCAAAGGGCGAAGTCGGTTCCCAAAAACGGCGGCGACGCCTCCTCTCTCCAACTGTGTCTCTTGCGCGGCACCCGCATCTGCGTCCCAGAGGGCTTCCTCGTAAATCACATAGTCTCCCCCGTGGTCACCCAGTCGGCGGCAGCAGTGTCACCAAAGTCAATATATGCAAGCAACACGTCGAGAGACCAATCGCAACAAGCGACCAAGACCTTCAACCACACTTCCCACACCCAACACCCAAGTGCCAGCCCAGTGAGCCGGGGGCCGTCAGGCAAGATGCAGGAATTCCAGTTATTCACGTTCATCAGCCTTTGCAAACCCTGCCAGCAGCTCCGTTCCAGCAGCTCCACGGCGGCACAGCGCACCTAAACCAGATGCCCGGTCCGGGAAGCCCCCGGTCCCCCCAGGCTGCTGCTGCTCCTGATTCTCTCCATAAAGCGTTTCCCTCCCCTAGCCACCGTCTCGTCTTCTTCTCATGGGTACTCCGTGTCCTTCTCCGTCACGCAACCGCCCCCGTACGCCACTCGACGACCTGCATGACGCAGACCCATGTCCGTCCGCTACAGAATCCGACGTTCCAGGAGCGCAAGCACGGGGGAGCCATGAGGAGGGGCAAAGGACGCATCGAGAGGGGCACTGCCCGTTTTACATTGGCAGCAAAGTCGGGCTCGTCGAAAGCTGCCCCTGGCGCACCAACTAGCGTTTTGCTACGAGAAGAACGAAAACAAGACTCGATATCAGCCTGCGAGGCGCTCTGTGCGGTCCCGCACTCCAAGCTGCCGACGGAACGGACTCGTGGTGAGTTTCCACGACGCGGTCCTGCATCCTTCAACACGGGGGGTAGTATCTTCAGAACGAGCCGCGACCACGATCCACGGGCATGTGTGTACGTGTACGGAGTGCGTGCCTGGCTGGGTGCCTGGGTGCCCGGGTACGGAGCATGTTTAAAGCATACTTGCTTGGTACGCGGACGGCGCCGCGCAGACGCGGATCTTTTCCCGCACCGCACCGCACAAATGGCACAAAACCGCAGTGATCGAGGGCTCTGTGCGAACGCGCGCACACGGCTGCCGTCGCATTCCGAGTCCCGACGCCCAAGGATGGATCGGTTGCAAATCCCCCGGAGCAAGGGTCAAGATCCATGCCCAGGCCACGAGACGGCCGTGTCGAGGAGACGAGGAAAATGCGGAGAGCGACCGGAACCAGCAGAGAGAGACGGCAAAGGAGACGGGGAGATGATGTAGAGACAGATGGAAGCAAGGCACCGCACCGCGCCTTGGAATCGGTTTCTGAACATGGGATGACGCGGGCTGTGTGGGATTGGGGATTGGCGCTGCACGGAAGCGGCGGGATGCTTGGCTTCCTCGGGACGTGCGTGTGTGCCAGTCGTTTTCGGACATTTGTACAGGACGTGCCGTTTCGGACTCTAGCATCGGCCAACATAATAACATCACTGTGGTTTTGGATGGGAAAAGGTCGGGGCTGTTCAGCGCCGTTGGTACGGAGTAGGCGCATCTATACTCATATCTTGTCCGAATCCGCAGGCGAGGCCAACATGCCCGGGCAGAAAGAAGCCTCAACTCCGGTTATCCCACCCAGCCGGGCACGCATTAAGCACTACAGTATATGGTAATACGTGAAAGACAAATTTCTATTGCGAAAGTACAGCGATACTGAAGCAGAGGGGGGGAAAGGGGGGGCGTTTATTGCCATGGTCTACTCAACGCCCCATCCCTTTCTCAATTGGTACTCCCGTCCGTGGGACTCCAAATCGCCAGGTTTGTCCATGGGTCGGTCTGTCCGTCTTGGATCATGGCTTCTCGACATAGGAGAATGACTAGTGTCCGTCATGATAAAGGTTTCACTCTTGGCGTCGCTGGACGCGTCGCCGCTATCCTGGCTGCTCTTTTGGATTTGGCCGTGGGACTCGTCAATGCTGATACTGACATGGCCGGGATAGGTGTCGTTCTTATTGGGCACGCTGTGGAGAGACAAGTCGTGGGGACCGTAGCCCGGCATAGACCCACGCGTATTTCGACTGCCATGCGCATAACGTGCCGTCCCTGAAATGCCGCTGCCGGGGTACTTGTCGGTCGACAGGAAGCCTCGGATTTTGAGGGCCCGGAGGAGAGGCCGGATGGTAGCCAGGCTGGATGCGATGATGGCGACGCCTGGTTCTACTAGACTCCATATCGTCGCGTCTGTAACCGAGACTGCGTGGGTCATGTATTAGTCTAGGTTTCAGGTCTTGCTGTCACCTCGGAACGGAGGGTAACAAGGGGACAAGTAGTCGCAACGTACACAACAAGTCGTCGGACATTTCCAGACCAGACAAGAACTTGAGCCTGACAAGCGTCGCAATGCTAGCGCTGTAGGTTGAATTAGTGCCACGCCAGGTTGACGAGAAGCGGGAGCAGCGGGAGGCGAGAGACGCACAATACACCGAGACCGAGAATGACAATGACGGTGGCCTTGGCCTGTTTGGTCATCTTGACGCCCCAAAGCATGGGAATGGGAATGAGTGCCTGCACACGCGTGGTCAGCCGCAACTTCGCCCTCTCGATGCGTAGAGACCTTGACCGGCTGCCCACTCACAAAGAACCAGTCGGACAAGACTGTCATGACGCTGAGAGCATAGGCTGCCGAGATGATTTCATTTGGTCCTGCGCAGTGACCTGTCGTGATCCTAAAGTCCCATTGCTTCGCGACTGGCGTGCATTGAAACACATCCCATATAAAGATGCCCAGACTCCAGAGCGCGACAATGACCACAGAGGCTCGAATGACCCAGATGTACCGCCCTCTCGTCGCCATGCGTAGCAAGAATACGCCAATGCTGAGTTTGATAAACATCATGTCGAGTATGTAAATCGCAATGGTGAGCGCTTGCCACTGCCCAGTTACGTGAATCAGCCCCTGGAAAGCGCGAAATTGGTGACGGTGGAATGAGTCCGCTTACCATGAGAGCAGCCACCCGGTCGTCTTCGTCAGCAACAGCGGCATTGTGCTTGCCCAGTCCGCGCCGTACACCTTCGAGAACAAATGCGCACGTCACCGTGAAGATGAGCTGCATTGGGGTGGGAAGATTAGATTAGCACACTTTGTTCCAGCTACACAACCATCTTCTTCGCGGCCTTCTGGGACTAACCTGCGCTATCAGCATGAGCCAGTCGTCTGCTTGGTAACTCTTCATCAAAAACAACCTTGTATATGACCGTAGCCCGACGGCAAACCAGGTCATAATCAACAAGGCCGTACATGCTACAACCAGGGAGCCTCCATTGTACTCGTTCAGATCGACCGTCGTCTCGTCGGCCATGGCTGTTGCGGCGCAATGGCTTTCTTCTACAAAGCCCAAATTCTGATCATGACCCGGTTGTACTATCTCGGCGAATTAAAGTATGAACCAAGTTCGACAAGTCCGGCGAAGGATTGTGGAGAGAATTGTGAAAGAAAACCAAGCCAAGTGAGCGCCGCTTGGTATTTGATAGCTTCCCAGGAGATGAGCTTCAAGTCGCAACCAACGAGGTTGGCCTTGATTTCTCCCAAGGACTGCAAGCAGTTGTATGTATCAAAAGACGGAATGCCAAAGAAACGCAAACAGATCAAAGGTGAAAAGAGACTGCATATACCAACTAATCAATGTCCATGATGTGGCAGGCGGCGAGAAGCCTCCATTTAAGACATGTGGTGCAACCCGGACCTGGTAATAACAGGGGCAGGGTGATAGCAACACCTACAAAACTTCAACCGACGCTTCTGAGGGCTGGAGCTCTTGGGCCCTCTGGCGGACCTAGAGCTTTTGCCCTTTTGCTCCCCTACCGTCAACCAGGGACAGTGCCTGGTGGTTGAACCTTGATGTGATAAGTTGGCAGTCTGGGCAAACGGAACCACCCCAACGGCAAGAAAGATGGAGCCGCATTTGCAGCACCCCAAAGTGGACCTGTGTAGATAATAAATAACTTAAATGAAGGCCCCGATCTCAGTCTGTGCTCCGCGTCCGCAAAAGCTCGCACGATGTGGAAATGAAACAAGCAACAAGGTGCCGCCATGACGAATCAGATCCCGAGGCCTACCAGGTTCGAACAAGCAGCTCTATGCCTCTGCTCCCTGACTTTGATCATCGAGTTGCGTTCTTCAGAGAGACCTGGACCTTGTAGCAATGGTATCGCATGCATGTGCCCAGTTGAACCAGCACCCAATTGTTTTGCTGGAATGACGCCGCCTCTCCCTCTCCCATTGCTATCGCGTGCTCGGGGCTAATTCGAGGCACGCTGCCCTGTACACTCACTGTGAGATCTTGTAAGCAAGCGAAAGACAACATCGGACAGGAGAGTCTGAGCGGTGCTGTGGGCTCGGGACGAGACGACTTGTCCCCGTCCGGTGACAGTGGATGTCCCAACCCGCAAGATTGAAATGATACATAATACGTACATAATACCGCCGGGTGATCACAGGGGTGAGGATGGATGTACCGGCACTTGTTATTGGTCTTTCTCGAGGCTGACCGGGTGGGCTCTTTGGGTCCAGCATGTGGCGACGCGAGGTGTTTGGGGAGCACGCGAACCCATCATTCGGTATGTTATGCAATGTATGAACATGCATACAATAACTTAGGTGCCCATGTTATGCCCCCCTTGTCCCCTGCCATAGTCTCCAGTAACCATTGTTATTTGTCACTGGTTGGTGAGAAAGGCCCGGGACAGGGCCAGGCATCCCAAGAAGATGCATAGTCTGGCAACAGCCCCTCTGCAAAATTTGTTCAGCCTCGTCAACGTGTTGTCAGTTGCAGGCCTGTTCCTCGTCCTCTTATTGCAAGGATGAGACTTTCGCCGACTCGTGCGGCCGTCACTGTGCATTCGCAAGTCCTTCAACCCACACCCATCGTCTATGTATATGTTATCCGTTCTTCGAAACTCCGATAGGCCGACATCCAAGGATGAGTTGCAGGATGTCGCCAGCCGGAAGAGCTAGGGGATCGGCCGAGGTCCGGCAGCGGAAGCTTAAATTTCAACTTCAACTAATGTACTTAAGTCAGTGAAGGATTTCTGGCGCAAACTCGGGCGCGCGCCTTGACGCTCTTTAGATAGCGCTAGCGCCTGGGTAGAATACCAGTGAGTTGCGGAAGTCCAGTGCGCCTTTCAAAGCACCAGCCGTCTCATCTCCAAATGGCCGGAAACTCATCCAAGCACGGGTGCAGCCGCCACAACTGTCGCATGGGATGAAGTCGTCAGGAGTCAGACCTGGATAGAATCAACCGTGAACAGTCTCGGTCTATTTCAACTGCTCACGTGCCGAGGAAGGTGGATATGTTTTGGAGGCTGGTGGAAGGAACAACTGGCACCGGCCGAGGCAACTTGCCGTATTCGGACAGTCACATCGATAAGCAGCATCAACATCAACTCAAGAGGTCAGGTCAGCTTGATCAGCCAACAAATCGACGAAATGTCGAGGCGCCTGCTTTCCATGGGCAATCTTCCAAGTTCCAACAGCTTTCATTACTTCGCCTCATCAAGAACACAAAGAAGTGAGACGCGCCAACGCCGGCACAACTACGACAGCTACGAACGGCGTTGCCTGACCTCACTGCCAAGGTCACATCCGCGACGACTCAAGCCACGCCAAGGCTGTAATAATGCACGTCTGCCGTTTCAAAGTCCCGACACTGCGCCTGGAGCAGGACAGAACCGGCGCAATTGCCAACTTTGTCGCCAGTCAAAGACTACAAACAAGGCTTGTCGTCAATTCCAGTGCCGGTGGCTTGACGCGGCTTCAGCATTCAAGCTGAGGGGGCGGGGCGTCAAGAGTCTGAACGATGCTGAGCAAGTGGGCTTATGCCGCCGCTCCGGCGTCCGGTCTGCGGTCGAGCATCAGGATTCTGCACCGATTCTGCAGCGGCTTCGGATGTCTACTACGTGCGTTACAATGGTTGTGCCTGGCGATTTGCTCCGGATATCCACCACGCACGCCCACAAACTGAGCCTTGCAATGCACATGTGGGCTCTTCATATCGGTGGGCCACTGTTCTCTCTTCGAACATCATGGTTTGCCAGGGCCGGGACACTGTGGCAACTCCGAGCCACGGCCGGGCGTGACACTTTGTCACTGTCAGAGCGCCGTCCAAGCAATGTTGTCAACCACTCAGAAACTGAATTTGTCTCCTGTTCGCAGCCATCTCCCGGTCGGCAGGCGGTGACAACCTACAGGGCAGCATTGGTCCATGCGGATTCATCACAATTTCCAACTCGGCGGTAAAGAGCCCCTGACTCTTGTCGGGCCCTATTCGCTTGCTTGTCACTAGGCGCCCTCTATAAAGTTACTCGAGCGCAAAGGGCGGGCTGCTGAGTCAATTCCTTAATTGCAGTGCAAAAACATGGGCAGGACGGCGACGGATGCAAGTTCAGCTTAGTGTAAATACGACGTTGAAGTTATACCTGTTTCCTCTCTTTGGACTAAACCAGGCCTGAGGTGCCAAGAATGCATTTCGAGATAGATGGGGGTTGCTCACTCCAATGTCGCCAACTACTTCCCCTGGAGTCCTCAAGGAGAACTGACCCAAATTCTCGTGGCGTTTGACGCTGCACCATTACGCCGATTCCCTGAAAGACATGAGACAAGAACAAGTTGACAAAACAAGTACGCGCTCGGCATTGACAAGTGCCTCAGTAGACCTAGTTGGAGAGCACAACTCAATATGACAAGACGGCACTTGGCGCCTACCCCTTCTTTTATGCGTGGACGTATCTTCGAAACAACATTCATCTATACTGTAAGCGTTTTGTTAGATGCTGCGTGTAACCCATATTCTACGTGTCTTTTTTTTTCTATTTACTTTGGATTTCCTGTTTTGAATCATGACTTTCCATTTCCAACCTGTCGCAGCGATTCGAGACGCCACAACGGTAAGAGAAGCAGCGATCATGATTGACATCTGAGCCGAAACATACTCACCATCTCTTGGACGGTCAATGATGGCCATGGCCGCGAGGTGTCTCCATCAGTCCAAACCAAACTCCATCTTCTGGGGATCTTTGGTCAGGCTCGCCAAAGAAGGGACAAATGTGCCCTGATTGGTGCCGAGAGCCACTCGAAAAGGGGCATAGAGGATGTACATGCTTGTGCGGGTTGTGATGCAGGCTCGAGCGAGCAGCATAGTGCCTACAAAAGACAGTGGCTATAATGAAGACATTGACCTACCCGAGGTGATTATCTGCCAAATATTCAACCAAAGGTCTAATGGGGATACCCACAGCATTACTGAGGGTACTGAGCAGGAGCAGGTGGGCGGATTCTCGTCCCTTGAATCCGAGCATGTTACGAGCAAGGCTGTTGATGTCTAGGAATGTTGGTAAGTTTAGCTCCTTGCTCCCCGAGTGGCTTAGATGTACGTTCCCAGAAGAACAGTATATATTTGCAAGTATTCCTACTTGGAATTGTCCAAAGTAGATTCCATAAGAGCTCAGAAATAAACCAGCAGCAGATGATAAATACAGAAGCTCCTCGAAGGCATACCACCCGACTGGAGAATCTGTCCTTCGCCAGTACTATACGGCTTTGGTAGGGCGCAAGCGCTGCCGCGAATAGTTAGTGCAACAACAGCCGCACATTGGGTAGGCAAGGGATCAAATACAAGACCTGCCCATCGAAGTGCCTCCCGGTGCGGCACACAGAGCAATAGATCCGTCCTACTTCGAGTACAAGCTCGTCACGGAGACGTCCGGCGCAAGGCTGGCTGCAACGCTCGACCCGACACGCACTCCTTGGGCGAGAAATGTCTCCTAATACTCTGAATAAAAGATCGTCATAGGATCCTATATAACTGTTTGCCTATCACACCACGTCAGCAGAGTCCATGGACTTTGCACTGAGGAGATACATCTAGACTCGTGGTCAAAGTGGATGCGGCACTTGATCAGAGGATCCGCTGCCGCCAGTGCTTGCTTCGAGCAGGACGTTGAATCTGTTGGTCTGGTGTAGAAGCTGCAAGCATGTCGTGTCCGTGTTTCTGATCTCCTAATGTTTTATATCGCTGTGCGCTTACACAACTACTTGCCTTCGTTTCAATCCATAAAGAGCATAATTGAAAGAACATTATGATCCTCAGGCCACCGCGAATACCATCTCGTGAAAACAAAAGTGTTGCGCTTGTGCATACAGCTTTCCTCGCCCCCAGAACTCCATCCACGGCCGGCCGTGGAAGTCTCGCCATTCGGCCTACCCACGCTCCATCTCCACAGCCATGAGAAAGCCAAGCCATGACACACAAGGAGAAACCTTGCATCGTGCGAAAAACCGATCCAAGCGATGCTTAAAGAAAAAAGCTCAAGGGCAACGTTGCCTCGACAGCAAAAGCGAGCATCAGTCAGCTATAGGGTAGCCTCAGCAAATGAGGGAAGTTGGATCCCCTGCCCCACCACCACCGGCCCCGGAAGGACAATCATGCGCCTGCGCCCGTCATCAAACCGCCCGCCGGCCGGTTCTAGGCCCTCTTCACGCCCAGCCCTCCAGCCTGACCCAGTGCAGCACTCGTTGCCCTCGGGAGTCCCCAAATAAACACATACCCGCCGTCCCTTTCACCGCGCCGAGGGGAAACGAAAACGCGCAACGCCTCGAAATGACATCTCCCTCCAGCGGCGCATGGAACTCGCAACCCCGCACCAACGAGTGAATGGCGGGGCACCGCTTCCCAGCGAATGACGTCAAAAATAGAAACCACGAACGGACTTACCCCGTGAAGAGTCACGTGATAAGGTACCGACCGGCCAATCGGTCTCTTTCCATGCCGCGTTCGAGGCGGACCCCCCTGCAACGGCTTTTCCCGAAAAGTCTCCGCTAGGCCTGTTTAGGAATAAGTCAATGTCGACCTCGAGACGGAGATCAATCGTGGAGATTTAAGGAGTCGCTCGTGCGAGTCGTGGAATACATGACTCTTTCGGCGGGGAGCCGGGCGTCGGTGTTTGGCGCCGACGCGAACGCGCATCGGTATCTTGCTCGTGAATAGTCTTCGTGTCCAGTGTACGATTCGGGGGGGGTTGGAGGGGGGGCTCATGTACGTCCTGCTCGGCGCTTGTTGCTTTCACGTTCTCGCGACACCGGAAATCGAGGAGAAAACAGACATACAAGGGCGCACCGGTGCCGCGCGGCCAACTTGAGCATCGCCGATGGATTTGGTTCCGTTGGCGCATCCCCTTTGGGCCAGACGGCTCGTAAATCTCACGTCCCGTCGCCCGTCGCAGTCACAGTCCACCAGAGGCCGGCATCAAGAGGTCAGGACTGAACAATCAATTCGTATACGCGCGCTACCCCCTTTTGCCATCCTCAACACTTCCTTTCGTCCGGCCGAACTAACAAGGTCGCGAATCACTATAATCATATAGAAAAAAAAAAAGGGGGGGGGGACGTAATAGAGCGCAACGAGAGGGGAAAAAAAAGATCAACACGCATAAAAGCAAAAGAAAGAAAACCTTCCGACTGAACCTGAAACCTTTGCAGCATCGCACTTCATCCTCGCCAGGTGAGATAGGAAACATGGAAGAAGAAAAGCCACAAAATCGAAAAGCAAGAACAAACAAAACCAAGGAATAACTGCCCCCCTCGCATTTCGCCCCGTCCGTATTTCCACTTAGCCTCCAAGCCTGTCTGTCCACTCGCAAATATTGGGAGCAGACGCATGAGATCTGGGTCGTCTCGATACACGATGCGTACATCAAAACATCTGGTGTAGCTCGATCAAGATTATTTCCAATAGCACCATTCTGTAGTTTTTTTTTCGCGTCTTCTTCCTCTTCCCCTACTTGTCTCGGCGCCTGTTCTCGGGAATTTCTTCCCCGTCTGCGCAGCCACCCGAAAACGACTCAAGTAATCGCACATAAGTGATGCAAGAAGCAAAGAAAAAAATATAAAAAAAAAGGCAACGCAAGAGATACAGGCATCCTTTTTCTGCGAGGGGGAGAAAAAGAAAAAGAAAAAAACTCCGACAAATCCTCTTTCCCAACGCCAATCAAGGAGCGTAATGGTCTTGCAGAAAAAAAATTGACCGTCATAATTACATCCTCCTCTGAGAGTCATAAATGTCCGAGGGGACCATTGCCGCAAGGAATTTAGTCAAGGACCACAGCAAAATGCTTTGCGCATCACTTTGCTCCCTTGCCCCAGCGCTTTCCGCTCCAAAGGTACGGACAAGGCCCCGTGACTTCAGAACAAAAACACACCATTCTGACCACCGTTTGGCGTTGCGAGCCCTGGTAAGGACTGTTGGACGACTCCAAAAGAAAACAAGGGAACCGCTTGTGCGCCTTTATCACGCGCTTCTTCTGTCACACGAGTGAATCGGGCTGTAAGGCTCGCATTGTCATACACACATCTCAAGATCGCAATACTGTCACGCCCGACTGTTGTCGAAAGGCATTCGTCGTAGGCGATAGAACTATCTTTTGCGCTTCTTAATCTTGTCAGTCGTCATTGCCGCTGTCGTGATAGGAGCCGCGGGCAACAGAGCAGGCTGCACCGGAGTGGTGACTTCTTCTTTCTTGATCGGCACGCCCATGTGGCGACCATATCGCCCTTTGCGACCGTTGCCTTCGTCTTCGCTGATGCACTGATCAGCTGAAAGTCCCGCATCTCGGCATCGTCCGCACGGACGCTGACGATCGCATCCCTTCTTGCTCTTGCGGCAACGTTGGCAGCGAGGCTTGGTGGACAGATCAGGCTGCTCATCCTCGCCAGGCAGGGGGATGTGTCCAACCGATGCAACTGACGGCTTTCTTGAGTGAGTGGTTGACGCAGGGGACATTGGGCCGGGGACTGTGGCAGCAGCAGGCAGTTTCTTGGTCTTGATGCTATTGAGGGGCCGGGGAACCTTGGGAGGCTTTTGGACCGATGATGACTTGGATACAGAAGGGGGAGGGCGGTGCTTGGGAATTGTCTGCTTGCCCTTCGCCTGTATAGGCTTGCGGCTGCTAGCTGGTCCACTAGAAGCGCCGTCTTCACGCATGGCACCATCACAGCCGGCATCTCGAGCCTCAGTGGCAACCGGGCTGAATCCAGTTTCGGTGGATGGATAGATCAGCCTGGCAGTACCAGTGGCATCCAGCCTTTGCCGGCGCGATGCCGGCAAACCATCCTCGCCATCGCTCTCGCCATCACTAGTGGCTCCGGTTGACGAAGCTGCGTCAGCTCGGCCACTAAAGGTATCGTCCAGCGTTGATGCTGATGTGCGACCGTGAGAGATATTGGTCATGTCCCCGAGTCGCATTAGTTGAATGGCGACATCCTTGTCTTCCTCCGACATGCAACTCCCGACCGTGGGGTCAGGAGTGGGCAGGATTCCCATTCCAGAGCCTACGCCACTGCCGTTGCTGGCGTACCCGATGCTGTCGCGGGAGCGATGGCCATTCGCAGGCGTAGCGTACACGTTAGGCTGGACATTGTTATAGCTTTGAGGCGATTGCATCGGCCGAGGGTTGGCAAATGGATGTTGTCCAGGATGTACAAAAGGAAGCGAGGGTCGCTGGTGCTCCACACGGCGAGCGGGCGAGACCGAAGGATTAGAGGTGGCTGCAGGCATCTGGGGTGGTGCAAACAATGGCAGTTCCTGTACAAAGTTACAAGGTCAGAAAGGGAACTCTCGTGGTAAATATCTTGACACTATACAGAGGCTGATAGCCAGACGTCGCAGTGCCGTGGCAGTGCGCAGCTAGAGGGGCTTCTTACCGAACTCTCAAACTTGGCTCGCTTGCGACGGCCACCTTCAACAATATTCTCGACACTGATATCCGTAGTTCCAAGCTGCTCCTTGCTCTTACAAGAAGTACTGCTGGGCGCACCATCTCCACTGCTGTACCCGTTCATGCTGTCACTATAAGCATCAGAGTGTGCGTGGTTGAAGGCTCTGCGATCCTTGGCAGATCTGGACCGTCCTTGCTTTTCATTTGTGCCTGTAGAGTCGCTCCTCCGGCCACGACTACCGCTCGGAGACCGGCTGCGCCTCCGTGAGGCTCTGGAGCCGGGCCGTGCGATGTCCTGAGCATGGCGCTGGGCATGTATCTGTTGAGGCTGGTAGTTCTCCTGCTCATAGTAGGACTCTGCAGCCTCAACGGACTGTTGGTGGAGTGGATGCTGGTTATAGCCAGTAGGGGCAACAGGAGGCTCCTCAATTACTCGAACGTAGACAACCATGTTGTTTCGAAAGTTTTCGTACCGAGCAATGAGTGTGTTTCCATGCTCGTCCTCAAAACTGACACCTTTGGAGCCAGTGGGACCAGAGTACAAGCCGTAAAAGTTCTTGACGGTTGTGACTATTGAGTCTGTAGTGTCGTGTGGGTAAATTTGTACTCGCATGGGCAAGCGCGCTCGATATTGAGGCGATTCCAAGAAAAGAAGCTCAAATGCGACATTCTTGGGAGTTGCAGTCTGCCTTGGCGAGACACTGCCCCCACTGGACGAGTCTCCCGACGCAGGAACAGAGATATTGATGGGCGACATGGAAGCCATGACGCCGAATTAATTTTCTTCTGGTGAAGTTTTGGAAAATGTAAATGTCGGAGGAAGCGACCGGCCGGTCGGGTAGTAATGTTGACTGATGGCTTGGGGTACCCCCGGCTGTGCGGGTTTTGCCTTTGGCCCGTGGAAGAACGAGGGTGTGGGTTGACGCAGCCGGGCGCCGGACGAGAAGAAACAAGAGTCGCTCAACGAGGCTCTGAAGAAGCTCCCCTTTTCAATCTATCTTGGATTGTGGGATTGTTGTATCGGCTGCCACCTCGTCGAAGGTGCCTCTTTGGGGACAAGCCAGGGACAAGAGCGCCGTCAAGGCCGTGGGCGGTAAGCGCCAACTCGGTTGCGGTTGTTGGCCCACAACTTGCGCGGCGACAGTGATGACTGCTGGGCAGGTTGCGATGACGATTGTGAGGAAACCTGAGTGGTATTTTGGAATTATCAGCAACGAGAACGACCAGAAACATTCGAATAGCTGTGAAATAGAAGTTGACGGTGCCCCCCACCGCCCAGGCTGGTCGACGACCTCAGGCTGAGGGAACCAGGGCCTCAGTGCTGCACGAGGGTAGCGCCTCGACGGCAATATGGATTTGATACTTGAAATTGAGGCAAGGCGGTGATCGCGCATGATGGTAGAGACGACGGGACTTACCAGAGATACCAGGAGTTGCTTGGATGGGTGTTGATGGCGGCCAAGACGGAAGAATGTGTGCTTGAGGAAAAGAGGAGCTGGCTGGCGAGGTCGAACGATTTTGTCGCCGCCGCATGGGCGTACCGAGTTGGACGACAGGGCCAGCGGCGAGTTCTGGGGGCTACGGTGCCTGGAAGGACCAAAGATCAGCGGGGAGGCTCGCTGGGGAGGCGAGCGAAGCACTGGACAAGGCCTCTGCAGGATAGCCCATTGTCCAGTAAAACGTCCGGACGTCAACGGACAAAGCTGCTGGGCGCCTGGTAACCCGTTGACCCTTGGACCCGGACGTGGCCAGCCACACGAGGCCTGAAACGACCCAAGCCCCAGCGGCCTGGCCGGCCGGCCATACAGCGAACCATGAGCCTCGAGTTGTCCCGTCTCGTTGTTGCTGATCGCTGATCGCTGAGCATCCATCTAATCAAGTATGGTAACGTTAAGTGCTTGGGCAGGTTGACTGTCTGCCTGCCCTCTGCGCCAACAACGGCTTGTATCTTTTTGCTAGCAATAATGATGGCTTGCTTCGGCTACGACATGCTCGAGGACGAGTACGAGACTGCCGTGGGCCGCAGTTGTCCGTCGAGTCGCCGTGGTCCCGCCCCAAATGCGCTGGACTGGCAGCTCTAAACATGGGAGCCAACCTCGAGCCGGTCTCGTCTTACCCGACCTACTTTGCTACCTGGCCATCCAAAGCCAATTACCAAACGGTTCCGGTCCCCGCTCCTGCCCTCCAACTCTCTAGTACCCTCCCCGGATGGGAATGAATGAGAATGTTTGTGCGAATTGCAAGAGGAGAAGACAAGAGGGTGGGATTTGCCAGCCCATCTGTCGATCCTAGGCCAAGACGGTAGGCCATTCATTGGCCGTGGCCCATGGGGAGCCCGTGGCCATCCGAGGACGTCTGTGGTTCATCACTGTCGTCTGTGGCGGCCCATGGCAAGGCCGTGGTCAAGGCAGGCACAATGGCGCGTTGTGGCGTAGCGTACCTTCCACCAAGCGCCTTGGGTAATCCAGTGTCAAGACTAGTCTCCAGTCGCACCTGCTTCGTCGCTTGATAAGAAGGGGTGTGCTTTGGCGCAACGTTGGAAATGTTGAGCTCCATGTGTACCTGGGTACTCGATGCTTGCGATCCAATGCGCCTCTCTGTCCCTGCACTCCAAGTACCTGAGTACTGCACACTTGACATCTCAAGTAGGATCTCTCTTCGTCCCAGCTAGACCGTGTCGACAAGGCTACTCCTATTCCTCTTGCAATTCTTGTGCAGATTCCCCCTTCCCGATCCGTGTATTCCCTCCAGGCAAGCTGATACAATTGTGCGACCTCTTCCTCTCGATAATAACCACCACCTTGCCAGCATGCCCCAAGGGATTTATTCAGCGTGGGGGCTTGCTGTGAACGGAATTGCCGCTTCAGTCGGTGTCACCGTTTGAGAAACCAACACCAACACCAACACCGGAACATGCTGTAGCTGGTTTCGAGCTGGCTCCCAGGAACGGACATGGAACACATGCCGCACGAAAAATAAACTTGGCTTGACAAATACATTAGATGCGCATATTCGAGAGCCTCTGCCCTAAAGCACCACCTCCAAATGCTCAGATGCTGTCTGCTGGCCTTGTGTGGCCCCCTCCACTCGTCCAGGCCGGGCGATCGAGAGCCAGTCATACGTCCATAATAATCCATACCTACCAAGTAGGTGCTGGACATATACGGAGTAGACGGGCTTGCTACAGATCACTAGTCATCAATCTCAACAAACACACCCGGCTGCCTTGCTGGCCACCCAGAGGGCAGATCAATACGCCACTGAACCCCTCTTGCTGCGATACAGACGAGAATGTCAACTGACTTGCAGTTGGATGGCTTGTCCGACTACTAGTACGTAGTTAGTACCCCACCGTTCAGGGTCCTCACCGTTAACGCTGGAGGTTTTACCCATCTAGGTCGGTCAAGCACCATCGACTCGGCGCACCAAGGATTGAAGCTTTGTAGGCATCCGTACACTGGAACGACGCAGAGTGTAGACTCGGGACCCATGCATGTTGCTTGTTGCTTGAGTGCATAATAGTGGCATTCCGAGCTCACCGCACCATGAGCTAGTTATGGTCGCCGCATAGTGGACAAGGATGAATACCAGCTGGCTGTGTCCAAACTTGCGGCAAGTTCATCACTTCGTCTTTCCCCTCGATGCAGAGAAAGTAACATAGACGGTAGGGGGAACGTCCTGAATCAGCCCGGACAGTGATTTTGCGAGCCAGACGTTTGCCCTTCCATCAAGGATCGAGAGCCTATCCAGAGCCAATCGAGACTGGTCGCCCACCTCATCAAAACCGCCCGTTTTGCCTCGCTGGCAGGGATTATGACAAGCGGAGTCTACGCCTCGAGAGTCAGAGAAGAGTGCGACTCTGGCTGGGGTGGTGGGGTAAATGTATGGTGCCCAAACATGGCTGGCGGCTGTGAGAGCGGCTGTGGAAAAGCTTGCGCTCGGACAATCGGGTCGCAAGAGCCAGTGCAGTCTGCCCGAATCATTTTCTATCACCGTCTGTTCTGCGTCGGGAAGTGCTTAGCTGCTTCTTGAACGGTCTCTCGAGGACTCAGGGAAATGGGACAGGCAAGACATGGCGCGATGAAGCATGGGCTCCATGATTCTCCAAACAGCGTTGGATCGCCGTGACGATGTGAGCGATTTGGCAACACTCGGTATTGGTAGTACGTACATGGATAATGGCTGATGCATACCCACTAGGTACCTAACTACGGAGTACCTGGGTAGGTAGTCATGAACGGGTTCATCTGAATTCATGCGCTCAATTCAATCGCGTCATTTCAGCTAGGTACACGTCGCGAATGAGGAATCGAAAAAGCGCGCAAAGAATACTATGCCGGCGACTATGAGAATGCCTAGACGGTTGATGTTTCTGCTGTCAACAGTCCAGACAGCTACCGTAAATCAGGTGGCCGTGAACAAGTAGGAGAAGAGCTGACTGGTTTGCGACGTGCCTCGTGGCACAGGATTCATCTATCTGGCGCGCGCATGGTCTAGGTTTCGGGCCATTTTCCAACCCGGTTCCTGACCCGCGGTTTCATAGCGCATTCGAAAAGTGCGCCTGATTTGTGTCGCATTGTGCTCTTCTAACGTTTCTATCCTTCGAATTCACGCTTGGCCTCCAGCCAGGCTACAGCGACATTATATTGCTTCCAAGGGTCCAGCGGTACTGCAGTTGGCGAAGAGCTACTGTCTTGATCGCTACATCAAACGTCTTCTCCAGAAGCACGCGCCGAAAACGATGCAGGATATCTGCATCAGATTGAACTTGCAGCGACAATGGTACTATTGTTGAAGTGGCCGTGGCTTTCTGCATGCAAACAAAGCACGAGACGGCAGTGCGAAACATCATGGTAGTAAATTCGTCGGTGGGCGCAGAGATGCACATGGAATCGCATCGTCGTCCCCACCATGACTCTCGTCGCAACCTTGGGTAGGAATTGGTTTCCAAGGACACGACAAGAAGGGCTCTAGTGGTCGCTGTACGTCGAGCAAAGGCGCTGGCTGTGGCGTCTGAAGCGACAAGAGACTGTGAGCATCGACATTGACGACATGGCAGTTACTAGTCATTATTCACCTGGCACGATTCACTTTTGTCCGTTGCCGGTCTAATTGGCGCATCTCTATGGTGCCAGCAAAGACACTGTACTGTGTTGGTACATATATTCAACCCGGCATTTCCACTTGTTTGGCCCAGATCCTGACCGACAGGAATGGGATGCAACCAGCGCGACTCGCCTGCCAATAGGATCATGGCCGGACGCACACAGAGTTACGGTGAGAGAGAGGGGGCAATCTTGGTATGCGACTTGAAGGCAGATGGTTACAGAAACCAACCTCTTGCCTATAGACTAGGTCGGTACAGAAACGAGCCGACTTTCATGACACGAGTCGCGGCCGGGATATTCATGAGCAAGCTCAATTTGATAGTTTGCGCATCGAAAGCAGTCGGGTACGGAGTACTCAGAGGACCATCCAATCCACCGCGCTTTCATGCCAATGACCCAGCTTCAATTTGCGGTTCATCGAGCCGCATCTTCCGTCGTTTGGTGGTGTTTAGGGGAGGGGGATTCTGGCACAGGCCATTTGGCAACATTGAATTTCATATCAGGAATCGGCCCTGTCTAGAAACTCTCTTATATCTGGCATTGATGGCATGTGTCATGTCGCCTGCTCCGGGAGTGCGATACCTGGTTGACGTCAATTGATGATGTCTCCACATGTTCCAGCCGGATGCGACAGGCACTACTCCTCAGACTGAATCATTGACATTTCAGAGTCGGCGAAATACAGAAACATGGAAGCATATATCTTGATATATGTGCAACACTTATGTAGCTCGAGGGCTGGCACAAAAACCAACCCAAACCAACGGAAGGGCGCATTCGGGCGGACAACACGACGAACAGGTCAAACACAACAAACGCTGGTGGCCTCCAACAGCCGGGACATGCCTCGTCAGCAATGCCCGTCCGTAGTGCAGAGCCGTGGCACTCGACGAAGCGACAACAGGATTGGGAAGAAGCAATCTCGGATGATGATGCCATTGCTGTGCGGCGATGACACCTAAAGGGTGGCACGCGTTTGCGATTGCGCGTGGCGTATCAAGAGCAGCGGTTGAGAAAGGTGAAGACGTCTGCCAGTTTGTAACCGCCATTGACATCTGAAGATGATGCGATATCTGCACGGCGCGATGCGGTCCCGCCCTTGCCGCCAGATATGTCGCCGCTGGAAGGACCTGATGAGTAGGCACATACGACGCTGAGCGAGTGAGTGACAAAGATGCGGGCGATGGTGAAGGATGGGCTCCAGTGGAATAAAGGAGACGAGGCGCCAGGTGGCATTCGGCGCTTATTCAACTTGCCCCGAAACGGATACCAGCTGCGATACGGCGTTCAGGAAAAATGGAAGCTTTTGCGCGGCTCAGAAGATTGTCTGAGTTGGTTCCGGAACACTGTTGAGCGTGCCGGCGCATCGCGGACAAGTTTCCAAGTCAACTCGGCATCGATTGGTTATTTTCCAGTTTCAAGCGAAATCCGCATCATTTTAGGCGACAAGACGGATCACGTGCTGCCGCGCACTGTTGGTGTTACGCCACCCGAGTTTTCCACGCGCCAGGTTGCACGGGGCTATTTACAACTGCGCCGGCCCAGTCTGGCGGATAGATTTCTTGAAAAAAAGCACAGCTAGCCGGAAGAACGAAGGGCGATTTTCAAGCGAGACTTATTCTCGATTCTAGTACGCTTCATGACCATTTTGAAAGTTTTTAGTTGGATGAGGTCGAAATTTGGATGTATGTGAGACGCGACAGAGTGGGGGGAATAACCTGAAAGGGATTAGTGCCATTCATATTGACTTTTTGCTCTGTTGCCAGAAGAAGATTGGACGGTCGTCGTCGCCTGGACGACGGGCTCCTTGCTTGAGGCTGCGCTGTTTAGAGGGCTATGGGGCGCAATGTGATCTGTGCACGATACACGCCAGAGCCACGGTTCTACAGGTGGAAGGGATTGAGTGTGACGGTGTTGACACGCTCGGCCGACTTTGTTGGGTTTGGTTTTGAAGTGCAAGTTCATGGTCCCGCCGGCCGTTTGCACTTTTTTGTTGTTGAGCCATTCGGGTCACGGCGGCGGACACGATCGGACATGGTCGGACACGGTCGGCGCCTTCTGTGGGCTCTGATGGCCTCGGGGGAAGGCGTTGAAGTGGTTGTGGACGACTGCCGTTAGCTGATGGCGGCTTCGTCCAGACATATCTGTCGTACGGAGCACGAGCAGATGCTATTACGTACGTGGGCACTCGGTAAACAAACAAACAACAGGATCACACAGTCTCCATGGCTCCACGTTTCCGGCTGCACTAGAACGCGGCGAATGTCTCATGCAGGTCCTGTGTACTCGAGTACGTGCCGCACTGAAGTATGCACATTACTAGCACGGATAAATAGTGCACGACGTCTTTTTACCAAGACCACGCAGTACGGGTTACGGGGCACCTGACGTGGAGAGCTCCAAGCATCAGAGGGCTGTTGTTATGTATATGTACCTAAGGTAGGTATGCACACATGCGCACACACACATGCACACACATGCATGCATGCACGCGCTTGCCCCTTGTGCAAAAATAGTACACAGACACAAGTTTACACGACTTTTGTTAAGCAAGCAGACGCAGACCGCAGACCGCAGACCGCAGACGTACCCCCAGCGACCAGAGATGGAGCTGTGTTGTTTTGCTTGAAATCATCGTCTTCTTATGTCGTCGTCATTTTATCACTCGGCCCTTTGACCTTGGACTCACTGTTTCTTCAGCCCGCGAAGCCTGCCTCCCCGAGCACGAGCACGCACTTCTTTCTGCTGCCAGGTAGCGACGGGATTTATTGCCTTGCCCCCCGGTCCGTCGCCCAGTTTCCCTTTCTCTTGTGCAGGCAGGGTTTTGGTAAATGAAGCAGCGCCGTCGCCGATTGCCTCATACTACGCCCATCTGGTTTATTTTATTGATTTGATCTTATTTTCCCGGCCGCTCGACCAGCGCACCCCGGGCCGGGCGAGTGACGCCGGACACTGCGTCGGTCGGTGGTGTCATTGATTCATATCATCCCTTGTTTCTCGCTTCCCATCCATCCCTTCAACTCCCGTCTGGCTGGTCACCTTCGACACACCAGCCGTCCTCTCGCCAGAGCTGCAACGCACCGAGGCGTGCGTACAAATCCAAGCATCCCCCTCGGTCGGGCTGTCGGCTGTTTTTGTTTTGGCCCCTGCGAAGACGACGCTTTTTCCCCTTCTCTCCCTCCCACCTCTGCTCGCTCGTCGTTGATGCTTTTTCGGGCAAGGACGCCGCCCTCACCGTCGGCACTTGTGGACAGCTAGCTATCTTGCCGCAATCTGCTCTGGCTGAGACACCAGTCGACACGTCTGATCTGATCCGAGAGTCTCGCGTCTTGGCTCTTTGCAACGCTCGTTCCCGCTGACGCCCACCAGAGGACAACAAAAAGGCACAGGGGCCACTCGCCCTCGACATACCGTCATATACCTCACTGACTCGAACATTGTTTCCGCATTGAAGCGCCCCTTGTCCTTTTGCATGACAACATCGACGCCATCCGTTGCCAATCGTTGCCCAAGACGAGCGGATTTTACGCTTGCCTCTGCGCTGTGCTGTGCCGGAAGAGCTCGCCTGTCTGCGGCTCGCCTTCCTTGAGAGGAAAAAAGGGGACCTTGTTTGATATCTTTGTATACCTGTTGTTTTTCTTTGTGTGTCCTTGTCCATTTACCTTGTCCAGACATTATGGACGCCAGGGTATGTGTTGTGCATCGTTCCTACGCCGATTGGGCCTCTTGTTTTTTTTTTTTTTTTTCGCCGGCTGCTGGCTTGGTATTTCATTGCCCTTTGTATCGCCCACTTGGCTAACCTTTTTGTCTTCACACTTTAGCCATTTCGACCTCGCGGCGCCGAAAACGTCGTCCCTCCGCTGCATCAACGGCACAAGTCGACCGGCAACCTTGCCGTCATGGCTGCTGGCGCTGCCGCCGCCGCCGCCGCCGCCGTTGGCTTTCGAGGCCCTGCCAAGCGCGCGGCCTTTGGGGACGTGACCAATATGTCCAAGAACACGGTCGGCAGCCGTGACGACGCGAAGATGGTCAAGGCGCACCCAGTGACGGCTGTTTCCACGGCTGCCTTGATCAACAAGGAGAACGCCCCTTGCCATGCTGGTGGCAAGGACTCCTTCGCTCGCGGCCATGTACATGTACAGAGATCATCCAACGGCTTGTCGAGCAAACCCAAGATTCTAGTCGCGCCCGACGCGTGTAGAAAGTCGTCTACCGCGGCTACTCGGGAGGCGGTGCCTGCTACCTCGACTACCGTCGCGGCCAACTACTCACGCTCTAACTGTGTTGCACGGCCCCGGGCGGCACATGAATCAGACCGAGAGGTCATCTTGCCTTCGTTTCGCGCTTCTTTCGACGTTCCTCCTCTGCAGCCGCGCCATCACAAGAGCCAGCCTCACTTGAAGCAGCAGAATCAGCCTATCCTTCGCAGAACCCAGAGCAAGCAGTTTGAGAGAGCAGACTTTGCCTCTGACAAGGCTGCACGAGCTTCCGCTTCCGACTTGGTTGGCATGCCTTCTCGAATTGTTGAGGAGCACGCCTCTTGCGCTGATCTTCCGTGCTCTGTTGCTCCGCGCCAGCCCATTGAGGAGGTGAATCACGCTGCCTCGGAAGGCTATGTCGACCTGGCTTCCTCAAAACTTTGTCACATCTCCGAAGAGCCGCAGCACATTCCCGTGTCTTCCAGAGAATCGCACTCCCAGGCACTTTCAGAAGCCGAGGAATGCTGGGACGAGGATGATGATGAAGATTACGACGACCAGGATCAAGCCTACACCACCGCCCATTCCTTCCGTACTCAAAATCTCACTACCGGAGGCGTGACGACAATTCTTGCTCCTCGGCTGACCTCCAAGATACAACGTGAGCTGGAGGAAGCCAAGCTTGAAGTTCAACAGACTCGCTCCCTGAATGATATTGAAGAGGAGATGTGGGATGTCAGCATGGTTGCCGAATATGGGGAGGAGATTTTTGAATACTTGCGCGACTTAGAAGTAGGTCTTCCCCTATCAAATTGCGAGCTGGTATCGCGTTGCTGACGCCTCCCCCCACCCCGACTTCTAGATCAAAATGCTGCCAAACCCGCACTACATGGAGATGCAGACTGAAATTCAGTGGTCGATGCGTTCCGTCCTGATGGATTGGCTGGTCCAGGTTCACAACCGGTTCAGCTTGCTACCCGAGACGCTGTTCCTGACTGTCAACTATATTGACCGGTTTCTTTCTTGCAAGATCGTCTCGATTGGCAAGTTGCAGCTGGTTGGGGCGACGGCCATCCTCGTAGCCTCGAAATACGAAGAAATCAACTGCCCGTCTCTGGAAGAGATCGTCTACATGGTGGATGGCGGCTACAGCCCCGAAGAGATCCTCAAGGCTGAGCGTTTTATGCTCAGCATGCTCAGCTTCGAGCTTGGTTGGCCAGGGCCCATGAGCTTCCTCCGTCGCGTCAGCAAGGCCGACGACTACGATCTCGACACCCGTACGCTGGCCAAGTATTTCCTCGAGCTGACCATTATGGACGAGCGGTTCGTCGCGTCGCCCCCCAGCTTCCTGGCTGCTGGGGCTCATTGTCTATCGCGATTTATTTTGAAGAAGGGCGATTGGGTATGTTTCCTGTACTATGCGCAACTCTACCGCGTGGCCACTGCTAACCGACAGCTCGTCCTAGACCAAGGCACATGTGCACTACTCTGGATATACTTGGGCTCAGTTGAAACCCTTGGTCACGATGATGATTGAGTGCTGTGAGCAGCCCGCTCTACATCACAGCGCTGTGTATGAGAAGTACCAGGAGAAGAGATTCAAGGAGGTGGCGACTATCGTTCAGCACGCCTTGGATGCCGGGTTCACCTTGCCCCATCACTCGGTCCCCATCCGTCCCTTGCGCGGACAGACTGACGACTTTTCGGAGATGTTGCCGTACTCGAACGGCTTGTTGGTTCCCACTGAGGGCTGAAACGATGTGTCATTGACGGCGCATCAGGTCACGCCGCGACAAAGCCTGACTCGGCCGGCACACGGTGGTGCACACATTGGCGGATGTAGTTGCGTTTTAATAATCCACCAGGACGGTGGATCAATCATGCGGTCTATACCGAGATATTCACAAACCAATCCATCTTGGCGATTTGTTTGTCATTACGAGATTCATGACTTATTCCTACATATTTCTTATCGAGAACGGGCTACCACCCTCGCCGGGCTGCCGTTCTCGTGGCCTTGTTCTTGTCCTCGACTCTTTTCCTTTCTCCCGAGATCATTTTCGGCGTTTGCGGGCTGCTACTAGACGTGACTGGCTTGTTAAGCAGGGACACACGGCATCAGGGCGACGGAGTAATTTTTGGCACATTTGGCGGACGGTGCTGGTTTTTGTCGTGTTTTTTTTTCGTTGTTTGTCAGGTTGCGAGGAACAGGCATCAGAGAGATGAGGCGTGTTTGCAATGACTAAAAGCTGGCTGGACTCTGGATTCAGGGCAGAGAAAGGGGAATGCCTGGTCTGTGGAAGGAAACATTATCTCTGTATGGTTAATTTCTGCGAGGGGCATTTGTTTGTTTGTAGACTCTTAATGGATCGGCAGACTGCGCTGCATGAGCTTTTACCTGACGTGCGTCGCGCGTAAGTTGCAGCCGAGCCCGAGGATGGAACGGTGAACCTGCCGCGCACAACAGAGTACACGCATGCCTAAGTGCTTATGTACTTCCTAGGCGGGTATCTACTGGCAGGCCGGTACCTGAAGTACGTACTCAGGTACTTAGGCAAGTGCCCTCCATGCGTCAGCGTGCCACAGGGTCGGTGCATACCGTACGTCGTGCAGGCGGCGGGCACCTGGTCCTCTTGTCGCCCCCTGGACATGGATGGCTGTGGGCTTCTCATGTCCGAGTCCTCCGTACCGCTCCGGGCTGCGCGAATGGCATCAGTCCGTGTGCTGCGCAGGGACGGGGACGGCCATGTGCTTTGAGTACCTCGAGGGTAAGCAGGTACCTAGGTAGGTAAGTTCTCCGTACCTAGGTACTTGAGCACTCTTGGTGAAGCAAACGCAGGTGGACGGACTGTTCATAGCCGTCCCGATCTTCGGCCTGTCCTCCGTCCGCCGCGGCATGGTGTGGTGTCCGCGGACCGCTCGCGACTGGTCTGGCGGACCTGGCGGAACGTTGGTCCGTGGACGTCGAGGCGCTGGGAATGGCCGCAATGGCAGGAACGACCTTGTGCCACCCCTGGCAGCCCGCCCGCAGCCCGCAGCCCGCAGGGCCCAATCCCAATCCCAATCCCAATCAGGTGCAATTGCCACGAGCCAGTGAGGTTTGGCTGCCGACGCCGCATCTTCAATTGAGACGGAGAGAGCAAACTTTTTTTTTTCTCCCCATCGTCCCGAATCTTTTTGCGATTTTTTCAGGGGGTCTCGGCGTCAGCGACAACTCCCCTCTTGCATTTGGCATTGGACTCTTGCTGTACGGAGGCCGCAGGACTGGGTACGCGTGCGTACGTAAGCCGGGCTGTTTTCTGTCTTTATTTCTCCCTTTTCTGCCCCGTTCTCGTTCTCGAGTGACCCGTGTCACCACCCGTGTCCTCCCGAATCCACCAGCCAGCGAGACCAGCAAGACCAGCAAGACAAGACTATCGAGACACGACGCCGCAGCCCACGGTCCCCCCCCTTGGCCGATGATTAAACGACACGGGTGCCCGTTGATGTTTTAGTTCCGCAAAGCACGCGCCGCCTTTTGTGTGTTTTGCCTCGTGCAACCTCGTTTTCTTGTGGCCTCGCGAGGTTCGATCGAACCCAGTTTTGGTGCTTCTCTCTCATCTCTCTCTCTCTGTCTGTCCGTTTCCGCCATACATATTTTTTGGTCCTCCTCTGCGCCCTCAACGACGACCATCTGCCACATATCCTACGTATCCTCGGCCGAAGCGGATGCTTTCTTCGTGTTTGGCTTGCGATTCTCGAATATAATATACAACCATACATTTTTTTTATTTTTATTTTACCCTGTTTTTTAATATTCCACCATGGCAAGTCCTTCAACAATCGTGAAGGAGGCCGTCAAGGAGACCCTCAAGGGCAGTGGTGCTCCTGAAGATCCTTCTCACCAGCTGTCGGCGCAGAGCAAGGCGCGTTTCAATGCCCATGCTGCCAAGGACCCCGAGACCGGCGAACTGTACATGGGGCCCGAGGAGTTCATCAACGCCATCGCGCCCGAGACTGAGGACTACGTGAGTTGCTTCGCCGCTGCCCGATCGATCCTACGCCGTTGGCTCGGCTTACTGACAAAGACATTCGCTGCAGCACAAAATCAAGAGAGACCAGTATTCAATTCTCTTCCGCGTGGCGGACAACAAGGACCGCGGGCGCCTGAGCCTGGCTGACTGGGGTGTCTTTGAGAATCTTCTCATGAAGCCCGATGCCGAGTACGAAATCGCATTCCGCCTCTTCGACGTCGACCGCACTGGCGACGTGAAATATGACGACTTCCGCAGACTCTGCGAGCTCAACAAGGGCCCCGACAACCTCCCCTTTGACTGGGACTGCGAGTGGGCGAAGCTGTACATTGGCAGCAAGAAGAAGCGCCATAACCTCAACTACCCTCAGTTCTCGCAAATGTTGCGCGGACTCCAGGGCGAGCGCATCCGACAAGCTTTCCAGCTGCTTGACAAGGACGGCGACGGCTACATCGAACCTGACGAGTTTGCGCGCATCATCCTCGAGACTTCCAAGCACAAGCTCTCCGACCACCTTCTCGCTAACCTGCACACCCTCTGCAACATCACCACCGGCAGCAAGATCTCCTATGCCAACGTTCGCGCGTTCCAGAACATGATCAAGGAGATGGACCTGGTCGAGCTCATTGTGCGACGCGCCATCTCCAGGAGCTCAGACGGCAAGATTACCCGCTCCGAGTTTGTCAATGAGGCGTCCAAGGTCACGCGCTTCTCGCTCTTCACCCCCATGGAAGCCGATATCCTCTTCCACTTTGCCAGTCTCGACGAGCCCTCGGGCCGTCTGGCCCTGAGAGATTTCGCAAAGGTACTCGACCCCTCGTGGAGGAGTCCCATGTACGACGTCGACGAGCCGACTGCCCCCGCGGCCAAGAGGAGCTCCCTCTTGCAGAGCGTTCTGGAGTCGACCTACAACTTTGCGCTCGGCAGCGTGGCTGGTGCTTTCGGCGCCTTCATGGTGTATCCCATTGATCTGGTCAAGACTCGTCTTCAGAACCAGCGAGGCGCACAGCCCGGCCAGCGACTGTACAAGAACTCGATTGACTGCTTCCAGAAGGTGATCCGCAACGAGGGTATCCGCGGCCTGTACTCGGGTATTTTGCCACAGCTCGTCGGCGTCGCTCCGGAAAAGGCCATCAAGCTGACCGTCAACGACTTGGTGCGAGGATACATGACAGACAAGCAGGGTCGCATACCCCTCAGTGCTGAGATTATGGCTGGTGCCAGCGCTGGCGGATGCCAAGTTGTGAGTTTCAACGACAGTTTCTCGATCCGCAAAGTGGTCCGGCAAGAAGGCTAACACTCTGCTCAGGTCTTCACCAATCCCCTCGAGATTGTCAAGATCCGACTGCAAGTTCAGGGCGAGGTTGCCAAGTCCGTCGAAGGCGCCCCAAAGCGGTCGGCCATGTGGATTGTGCGCAATTTGGGTCTGGTCGGCCTGTACAAGGGAGCTTCAGCCTGTCTGCTGCGCGACGTTCCCTTTTCGGCCATTTACTTCCCTACGTACAGCCACTTGAAGAAGGATTTCTTCGGCGAGTCGCCGGCCAACAAGCTGGGCGTCGTGCAGCTTTTGACTGCCGGCGCCATTGCCGGCATGCCGGCCGCGTACCTCACGACGCCGTGCGACGTCATCAAGACCCGTCTGCAGGTCGAAGCCCGCAAGGGCGAGGCATCATACACCGGTCTCCGACACGCGGCCAAGACCATCTGGAAGGAGGAGGGCTTCACCGCCTTCTTCAAGGGTGGTCCCGCTCGAATCTTCCGATCGTCCCCCCAGTTCGGCTTCACCCTCGCCGCCTACGAAGTTCTGCAGACGTTGCTGCCCATCACCGGCGGCAAGAAGGAGGACAAGATGGCTGGCGTCGGCGACGTCATGCCCACCGTCGCCAAGGGCCGAAGCCTCGACTCGTCGCCGTTTGCTCGTAGCCGGAACGCCCTCAAGATCATCCTCGACCTGGATGAAGACTTTGGCCGATCCAAGATTCCCGACGCGAATCGCTGGAAGACTCTGCCCAAGGCCATGGGTGGCGGCGGCGCAGCTCAGTAAAGCGGAATGACGATTGCTGTTCACTTTGGCGTCAACACCGGATGACTTTTTTGAAGAACTGGCCGCTCTATTCTTAATTTGACCGACTAGAACAGTGTGTCAACTTCCCCCTTGTTGTGGGGAGGGGGGGGGGGATAACTATTTTAAACCGGCATTGCATCAGCCGAGGCGTTTGGGCGGAACACTGGCATCGTGGCGCATCTTACGTTTTTATCCAAGGTTTCAGCACCCCAACACATTATTTTTTTTCAGTATTTGCTTGTTGCAGTTTTTTTTCTTTCCAAAATCAATTCTTTATTCTCTTGTTGATTGACACGACGGGACAGACGGAGGTGGGAATCGGGGACTTGGGCTGGCTGTGTGTGCGCACTGGATAGATGAAGCTGGCGCGGATTCTTTCTGGATGTTGGCTGGCATTGCATAGGGTTAGATAAAAGAGGGACAGAGGGCGGGGAGCTTGAGCTCCTTGCTGGATAGAGGATAGACTACATGTTTCCTGTCCTGTCCTGTCCTGTCCGGTTCGGCTCGGTGACTGTACGTGTGCGCGGATGGCAGTCTGGGGTTTGGCGGCGTGTCTATTCTATTCACATGCCCATCCGCCCATCCATCTGTCTGGATTTACCGGGGTCGTCCCGTGACTCGGGCATGTTCTGGACACGTCCACCGAGGGCCGGGGTTGGGCGGCAAAGCATGGATCCTCTGTCGGGGGTTCTCACTCTGGTATCCCATGATGCTGTGCTGCACGCTGAACACTAACCTGCCAGGTCGCGAGACGAGGCTTTTTTGCCTTGACGCTCGTGCTCGAGGTCGCCGCTTCTGGGCGCCACGGGAAAGCGTCTGTTGTCGCGGCCAGGCTTCCGCCAACGAGCCACGGTTTTTGACAGTCCCCCGTGTCCCGTCTGTCCCGGGCGGCGTCGAATTTTTCGCGCTCCTTTGCGTCTTGCCAAGTGGCTCGAGGAGGAGTTTGAGGTCGATTGTGGTTTCCCCGTTTCCGACGCCGCCGTCGTTTCGACGCGACACAATGGCCACCGACGAGAACCAGAACCAGACCCGTCTGTCTTGCGGTTTTTGTCTTGGTTCTCAACCACGGCCGGCGCGCCCGTCTTTGAGCGTCTCGTTCAAGGAATGGCAGAAGCTTGTCTCGTCGTGGTTGGTGGCCTGGCCTGGGTGCGGGCTTGACTTTCTATATACACATGTGTGCACGTGGCTCAGGAGGGTGGACGCAGCGAGCGATTGCGGCAGGCCAGGCGGCCGTGGCTCTATTCCGGATTCTGCGGCACTTTGACGCCCTGGATCTCGGCAAAGGCGCTTTCCGGGGGGTGCGGACGATTCTCTTGTTTGTTTGCCTACGTGGTCACCCGTGTCTGTCCCGTGCAAGAGCTTGTAGGATGTAGCATGGGTCGGTTCGATACCGCCGACGGCGACGGCGTGTCTCCGTCGTCCTGGCGCATTTCCTCGGCGCGCCGCAGATGGATGCTCTCGCGCCGGGCCTCGACCATGACGCCGCTGCCGGCAACCACACCTGACCGGCGCCCTTGGTTACTGCCTCGCCGTGGCCGTGGACTTGAGAGATTCGACGCCGTGCTCGCTCGCACCGTGGAGAGCATGTCGTGCGTGCTCCTGCTGACTGACGGGTTTGCCTCAAGACAAGAAGAATGCTTTCCTTGGCCGTTCGTCCTCCCTGCACAGCCGCCGAGGTGACTGGCCCCTTTGGTCGGATCCTCTCCGTCTCGTGCGGCCTTTTCGTCTCCCCGATGCGATGGATGCGCTGTTGGCATCCCACACATGGGCGTCTTGCCCCCAGGCCAGACGGGGGCGCGTCTCGTCGACATCACCACAGCCAGCACCGGCTTGTCTCGTCGATTCGTATCCCGTCAATCAGTTATAGAAAATACATGTTGCGCCGCGTCCGCGTCACCATATTCGACCCCGTGGCGTCACCCACGCAGTAGCGATGCCCGCCGTGACATGGTGATACACTCTGCTGCACGCCCACTTGTCCTTGTCTGTGTTCTTCCCCTGAAAACGCTCCCACGAAGTACACGAGGCCGAGACAACAGTCACCTCGGGCGTATGAGCTCCTCGTGCTGCTGCTCAGATTGCCCTGCTGCGACCCGAGGACGCCACTTCACCCCTTGCGCGATACGCTTTGCGACCAAATCATAGGGGACAGGAAAGACAGAAAAACCTCCGACGGCGAATCGCGTACCTGAATAAGGGAATGCGCCAGAAAGTCCTGATGGCCCGACAGGGGCCCGGCCGACTCATCTTGCCCCGATGAGGCCAACTCGGACAGTCTCGGAACGGCCTTGTCCCTTTTTCTTTGGGGGGGGGGGGCCAACAATGACAGTCGGTGTGCGGAAAGAGGTCAGACAAGACAGACGGACGGGACTCCAAGACATGCCTATTGTGGTTGTATGCATTCGATGCGAGGGAGATGGCAGTCCCCAGATCAGCACGCCAGCAACGCAGCTGCGCTGCGTCTTCTCGTGGTCCAGCGCCAGCGGGTGAAAAACAATGTCTTTCTTGCCAGCCAGCCAGCCAGCCAGCCAGCCGCGTTGCGGACATTGGTGTCGGCCTCTCCCGCAAGGGGTCGGAGGGTTTCGAAATGCATCCGATGGCAGTGTCTGGCGTCCGACTCGCTTGCCGTGGCGCCGTCACGACAAGCCCTGTTTGTCGGGTTATAAAAACGTCTCGATGGCCCCGTCGGAGGTGGAGGGCAGACAGACAGACGTGCTGGCAAGCTTTCCCTCCTTTCTGGTTTGCGACCACAGCGAAGGTACTTACTTTTTCCTATCTTTGCTCCTGCTACACGTTCGCTTATAGACTCGCCTGCGGGTTGTGTGGAAATTGGAAATGCGTCGCTCCATGTGCGTTGTCCTCGTGGCCTGTGTCGTTGGCACCTCGTTGGCTGCGCCTGTCGACGCTGGCGGGCTTGGGGGCCTTGTTGGTGTTTTGCGGAATGGGGTCCTCGGGAAAGGCGGGCTTCCGCTGAGTCTTGGGAGGAGGCGTGTCGGTGGTGTCGGCGAAGCTGTTTCTGGAGGAGGCATGAGAGACGGCGACGTCGCTGATGGTGTTGGTGGCACGGTCGAACGTGTCGCCGGGGGCGCGGCCGAGGAGACGCCTGAGGACATAGCCGAGGACACGGCCGAGGACATGCCCAAGGACATACCCAAGCACCTATCCAAGGACATATCCAAAGACATACCCAAGAACCTCCCCGTCGAGGACCTCCCCTTGGTGGGCGGTGCTGCCGCTGCCGCTACCGCTGCCGCTGCTCCTCTTGTTGGACAAGAGAGAAAAGACGCAGCCGGCTCTCTCGACGGCCTCACACACCACAAGACCCCCAGTGTCGGAAAGGACCTTGATCTCCCTGCCATCTCCAATCACCTTCCACGTGGAGGCGGTGCCGCCTTGCCTGTTCCTGGACCTGCTGCCCGTCACTGATCTTGTCGGAAACCTCCATGGACACGGCGATGCCACTAGACGCCCGTCAGCAACCGGATTCATTGTGGATGGAAAACGTGGACCCTACGCAGAGCGGCTGGCTGGGATGCCAATTCGGCATGGCCGAGAACTTCATACATGTACGTATTCGGAGCAGGATGGCGGAGAGAGGTGTTCTCTGAAATGGGGATACTTGACCAACTCGATGCTGTGGTTTCAACGACGGCGACTTGGGGGTGTTCAATGCGTGTCAGGGATATACAATCCATGGCTGCAGGGACAGGGCCGATGTACGTGTGTGCTTATTTCGGACTCGTGGCTGGTTGACGCTGGTTCTGGCCGCTTGACGAGCGCCGGTGTCGGCAAGTAGGTATCCCAAAAAGACTGCAGGCAAAATATATTGTTGGCGACCTGCTTACATTGAACTCGTCTGTCGTTTTCCTCCCTGACCCTGTAAAACAGGGAGACTGTGTAGCTGTCCAATCTATATGTAGACACAACCAAGTCTTGGGATTGAGAGGACCAAGAGTCGGAGACGTGCTGCAAAGACACAAGTGCCCCCTTCTACGAGGTCAGCCTGATGGGGACGAAAAAAGGCGGGCAGGACGTATTCAAAGGCCATGGCCATGGTGCGCGCAGTCCGCCCCCCGAAATATGACCAGTCGCAACGCCGATGAAAGAGCCAGCCTGGAAGAAATACATGGCGCAAATCGCAAGCCTTCACGAGGTCTTCGCCAGGCACTTGATGGTCCAATCCCTGTGTCATCATGAGCAGGTTTCCTTTTTTCTCCGATACGGAAATGCTTACAACAAAATTCCTCGCCTTGTAATAGTCTCCCATATAGTCTCTCAAGTCGCGCTGCGGTGTGACCAGCTTCCTATGCTTTTCCGCAGCTCTCATATTATGTGTCCACCTGTCAGACTTTTCCTACTTTGTCGTGATTGCAAGTCGTGCCGGAGTTGCCCAGGGACGGCGAGAACGTCCTCCAGTATGAGCTGACTGATCCGATCCGGAACATCGCAATGACCCAGGGTGTTTCCAGAAACGTTCATAACCACAGGGGACCTAGGAAGGAGGGTAACCGAACTGAGAGAGTCTACGATATTTCCGTTGTGAGAGAAGACGAGCTCGTCTTGATGGGGATTGGGTGCCAACGATGATGTTGGGCGTATTCTCCATGCCGAGCCGGTCCTTGCTCATGGCAGTCTGGCCAGCCCGCCATGGAAGCTTGGTAGTAGCCCAGCGTAGCCCAGTGCGTATGCCTCGTTTTCCATGCTTTCGTCAACAGTGGTGTCGCAAGGTCTGACGATTTGACAGAGGTGCTGGCGTTGAAGTCGCATGTCTACCGCTCTGATCTTAGTACGCAGGCAATAGGGATTGGTGGAAGAGCAGCAAGTCAAATACACAACTCTTCGCTACGAGGCTCTGCGGCTGGGGAGTCTCCTGGGCCGTAATGCCCTGTGTAGATGATTCCGTTGGGTGACAAGACACCAATCGAGACGCCAGCCGCTCTGCCAGCCCGGGAAATCTGGTCTATTGTAGGCTCTAGAAGCGCTGCTTCACCGGACCAGGCCGTGACGAGCGAACGGATTTTGCCGAGAAGTGGGGAGCGCTGGATACGGAGGAGACTCCTTGGAGTAGTGGAGAAGGGGAGGAGGAGGAGGAGGATTCCGGGATATGGCTTGCGGTGTTGGATGGGGGACCCCTCGACGGCCCTCCCTCATTGCATGACGGCCAACTCATGAGCACGCAGAATTGTCAAACTCGTCATGCCCGAAGAAGGGCAACTGTAACGTGGCCTGGCCTGTCAAAGTCATCCTCGCTGGGAAAGCGCAACCGGCAAAGCTGGCGGAGGCGTGTACATGCCAGGTACCTGGACCCTGCTGGTTAGGGTCACGGGTGGCCCTGGTCATGTCGTGAACCTGGCAATTGACTAACTCGATTTGGCAAGAGTACTGTCCGCGCAATGGGTCGAGTCATCCGCGCTTTGGTATTTCGCATTCTCGCAATCTGGCATTCTCGACTGGCTCTTCGTTGTGGATGGCCTCTGGGGTGAGCAGCTCATCACACGCCCGCATCGATGGAGTGACTTCCTTCAATCCCGCCAGAGAAAATCACTCGGCGCGTCGTTGCTGGCGCACCACCCGCATCTGACATGATGGGCTTCCTCACCTTCGTCTCTGGCCTGTTCGGCTGGATCTACACGTTTTGCTGGAGCGCCTCGTTTTACCCTCAACTTATACTGAATCTCCGCCGCAAGAGCACGTCGGGAACCACCGTGGATTTCCCCTTCATCAACGTCATAGGTAGGTATAGTCAGCCGCGACGTCTCTCACCGTCTCTCCTCCCCTCATGCGCCGGAGGTGTTCGGCGTAAGCGTCCCCGTGTGTGTGAGCGAGGAAACTGACCCATTCCAGGCTTCGTTGCGTATCTCGTCTCCAACGCTTCCTTGTACTACTCCCCCGTCATTCGAAGCCAATATGCCGCCCGGCACAACAACCTCGATCCCACGGTCCAGTTCAACGACATCGTGTTTGCGCTCCACGCCTCCGTCATATCTACCGTCACGCTTTCACAATACCTCCTCCGCTCGAGCTGGGGCTTCGCCCGCTCCGCAGGTGGCCGGCCCAGTCGCATCATTGTGGGTGTCGCGCTTGGCTCTCTGCTGGGCGTCTTTGGCATCTTCCTGGTTGTTGTGTCAGCCGCTGCCAAGGGCCCCGTCGATCCGGCGATGGACTGGTGCGAGCTCGACGTCATCTACGCTGTAAGCTACGTTAAGCTCCTGATCACGCTCGTCAAATTCACGCCACAGATCCTGGCCAACTACAGTAACCAGAGCACCAGGGGATGGAGCATCTGGCAGGTCACTCTCGACTTTGCGGGTGGCGTATTGAGCACGGGGCAACAGGCCATCGACAGCTACCTGCAGCACGACTGGAGTGGCATTACAGGCAATCCAGTCAAGTTTGCCCTGGGGAACGTGAGCATGGTATATGACTGCATCTTCCTTGCCCAACACTACATTCTGTACAGAGGCTCCCACGGCAAAGACAACTTCGAGGGGGACGCGCTGTTGGGGGATGAGGAACAGCAGAGGAGACGACGATTGGACTAGGGATTCAAGCCAAAAGATGCCGGCCACGCGGGGCATTCTAGGCTCTTCTGTGTGTTTCTCAATCATGTTGGTTCAGGGAGGAAAGCATCTGCTGCTTCTGTTTAAGCAAGGAAACATGCCGTCTACACATCCGCAAGTAATCGTCTTGGAAACTCACCTGCGCCGTGTTCTTTCACACACTTGCCCCCTGCCCTCGGGCAAGCAAACCACAGCGACCAAGGTATGCCTGCAGACTGCGTCAAAGACACGGTCGACAAGACGAGCAACACATGTTCTCGCACGGCAGCTGGATTTAGCCTCCGCGTAGCCGACGCCTTGTGCGAACCACTCCTTGACCCATCCTGTCCAAGCCAAGTCCTCCCACTACGCATGGTCACATGCCAGACTACTTTTGCGTAGTCTCACGAACACGTAACGAGTCTTGCGTAGTCTCACGAACACGTAACGAGTCTATCCCGCTACGGCCGCCACAAAGTATAGCCTCTTCCGTGCCAGTCTTCGGGTTTCCACGGCCAGAGGGTGAAGGACTTTCTCAGGTATAAATATGTGTACGGTCCCCCTGTCTTGTGGTGAAAGACCAGAACACACCTGTCCTTCTTCTCATCACTTCTGCTCTGAAAACCAGGTCTTGTCCAGGTCCTCGATCACCCACACGCGCTCATCGCCAAGATAGACCAAAGCATATATACACGCAGTGCGCTGTCTACAAACCACACAGCCAACAGGACCTGCCGCAGAGGCTACCACTGCCCAGGTGCCATCGTGAACGCACTCACACCAAAAACAACGTCCACGGACACCAGGCACAAAAACGGACAAACACACACAAGCAACTGGTCTGCTCTACCTACGTGGCACACAGCCGTCTTTCTTTTATCCGCGAAAGCAACAGATAGCTGGAAAAACAAGCAACTGGTCTCCCCGGGCGAGGGCGTACAACCCGTCGGAAAAAACAGAAAAAAATAGAAAAAACAACAGCACCTGCTACACCTACGCAGCCGCTACAATCCCTCTTACACGGGGGCACACCACTTCTTGAAAAAACACAAGCAACGCGTCTATCAGAGTAAGATGGAGTTGCTGAAGAACAACGCAACTCCTTTACCCGCGCAGTGGCTCACAGCAAACTTGCATAGACCCCCCTAGACATCCGGCATCCAAGCACGCAGGCGCTCGAAGCACACGCAAGCGGCCATGTTCCCACGCAAGATGCCCGCGCACCTCGGCCGAGGCTCAGTGCCGCGACGCATCAACATGGTCGAGTACAGACGCACCGCGACAGACGAGTACGCCCCCTTGGACATGGACATGTCGCGCTTCACGCGCCCAAGTGCGCTCCAACCACCTCGCATCGGAGCCCGGGCTCGGCGGGCTCGGGCTCAAGCTCGGGCTCAAGCTCGACCTCGAGCTCAGGAAGAAGCTGAGCCTGCCGTCTCGGCCGAGAACAGCCCTGCGTCGGACAGCGAGGGCGTCTACGAGGGTCTCGCCGACCTCGTGCCTGACATTCGCGCCATGGACATGTTCCTCGAGCCTGCCACGGCCATCACCACCTCATCTCAAGAGGGTGAAGATGGAAACGAAAACATGGCCATGACGCTGCGGCCGAGCCGTGAACAAGACGACCACATGGCCGTCGACCCCTTGCACGAGCACGAGGGCGAGTCCGACCAGGAGGGACACTACGTGCTGTCCGCAGAGCCGGCTTTTCCCACGATGCCCCTGCCAGCACCGCGCGTGACAAGAGAGCAAGTCATCGCCCAACAGCTCAAGTAAGTCTTCCTACCCCGTCACAAGTCTCTCCCAACTTTGGGCAGGAAACCAACATGCCCTCGCAGACTGTACAACCGCCGCGTGTCCTGGGCCAACGGCAGAGTGTACAAGGGCAACACCTGGGTTTTGCTCCAGCCCCTCCGCAGCGAGACGTGCTACTTCGAGGGCGACGACTTCATCGCCGGCTGTGACATCGAGGACTTCCCCCGCAGCGTCGACGAGCTGCGCTGCTTGGACTGTACGTATCCCGCGGGGTGGAATGGGGAGGAGACTCATGCAACGCTGGGACTGACCAGCCTGCGTCGCGTAGGTGCCAGGCTGAACGGGCTCTTGGGCCACCTTGGTGCCAGCGAGTACCGAGACGAGGCCAAGGCGGTCAAGCTGGAGTTCGTTATGGACGCGTGGATTCGACCCTAGAGAGATGTTCGTGGGCGGAGAGAGACGGATTTATAAGGGGGTGCATCAGGGGTTGTGTCGGAGGGTCCTTTTTTTTTTTTTGGATTATACCCCTGGGAGGATTAGCATTTTTCATCATCATCAAGTATTCTGAGTCGTGGGCCATGCATGCATGCATGACCCGGGTGGTGGCGGGAAAGGGTCACGACTATTGCATCGTCACACACACATCTCAATCACATTTCTTTCTCTTGTCGGCCACAAAATCGCAGTTGCCCTCTCTGCCTGTGCATGTCCCTGCTGTAATGTAATGTGACTTGTTAATGCCACTTGTCCCATTCGCATCTCTGTATGAACAGTCTCTCGTTCCCGTCTGTCTGGTCCCGTCTGGATAGATTTTGTGTGCGTTGGCTGTACCTGAAAGTGACAATGGCTAAGGCAGTGTTTTCTTTCAACGTCTATAGTACAGTACAGCCCGTCTAGAGTGGCATGCTACAGGACAAAATTCATAACTTTTCCACCCTCCACGGCAATTACTCTCTTGGCCTTGGCCAGATCGTATTTGCCCGGCCCAAATCGTTCCTTGCCTTGCTTGGTTTTGACTATCTCCTGCACCACCCAGTCTTTCAGTGCGTCCCCTCGCAGATCAGCCGAAGGCGTCGGTATGTCGACAACACCTCGCATCTTTCCATTAATCTGCACCGCGCAAGATTGCTGTCGAGGTTGAAGCATGGCCGAGTCCAAGGTGCCGTCCTGCGAGGGAAAGGTGGCGCTGTGCAAGACGAGCTCCTTGGAAGGATGCAACACGCTCCAGCATTCATCAGCAAACGCCGGCGTGATAGGCGCCACCAGCCGAGCAAGAACGCTGCATGCATGCCTCTTGATGAGCTCGTTGGCCTGTGAGCCTACCAGTGTGTTGGTGAGGCGCATCAAGTCAGACACAACGGTGTTGAGAGAGTAGATCTCGTCGTATGACCGGGTGACAGAGGCAATGGTGCGCTGCACCTCTCGCCACAATCTTGTGTCTGCGTCCCATTGCATTAGTTCCTCGGAGCTCATGGAGTTAACGCTGCTGAACTTCTTCTCCAGCATGTCCTTGGCGGAACTGGATCCATCAGCAGTCGCGACGGCCGCCACCTGGTCGTGCAAGCGTTGTAGCCAGCGAGTGACCCCGGAGATCTTGGCTTCATCCCAGTTCAAAACATCTCCCACGGGCGCTTGGAAGATGATGTGGGCTCGTGTCGCATCTGCTCCGTACTTGGAGATGCATTCGGTGGGATCGACACCATTGTGCTTTGATTTGGACATTTTCTCGAATGCCACCTTCGCAGGGGCACCAGTGGCGATGATTTTGGGTGCTGACGGGTCCGACAAGTCTACTTCGTCAGGCTTTAGGAAGGCGCCATTTTCGGGGTTAATAAATGTTCTGCCATGTACCATGCCCTGTGTGATTAGTCGCTGAAATGGCTCTGCTGAGGCTGCCGTATCGTCGGTATACTCTGGCATCAATGACGTTGACGCCAAGAACTTGTAAACGAATCTTGCGTACAACAGATGAAGAATCGCATGCTCTATGCCTCCGATATAGGTATCCACGGGCAACATTTTGCTGGCCTCGGGTGAAAAGAGCTGGAGGGTGTTGTGAGGGTCAGTAAACCTGGCGAAATACCAACTTGAGTCCACAAACGTGTCCATGGTGTCAGTGTCTCGGCGAGCCGGCCCTTTGCACTTGGGACAAGAAGTATTTACAAACTCGGGAGAGGATTCCAGGACATTACCAGTCTTCCCTCTTGACCAATGTTTTTCAACATTGGGTAGCTTGACTGGCAAGTCCTCGTCTGGGACCGGAACTGCGCCGCAGGAAGCACAATGAATAACGGGGATAGGGGCACCCCAGTATCGTTGCCGGCTAATGAGCCAGTCTCGCAGGCGCCATGTCTCAACTGCCCTTGCAAGACCAGCGGCCTCGAGCATACGAACCAAGACCTGTCCAGCCTCCACTGAGTGCTTTCCCTTAAAAGCGCCACTGTGCTGCGTCATAATGCCATGCTCGAGGTACGGCTCGCTCAAGGGCAGAGCCGTCGTGCTTTCGTCCTCTGACGCTGCAAGAACAATACGTACTGGTTGGTTCTCTTGGTGTGTTTTCCAGAATGAATGGTCCCGCCAATCGTGGCCGGGAACACCCATAATGGCGCCTTCGCCATAGTCTCCAAGCACATACGGGGCAACGTAGATTGGCAGAGAAGCCTTGGTGGCGTCGGGGGTTTCGTCGTGATAAGCAAGAGGGTTGATAGCTCGCAGATGCGGCAAAAGGTAGCCGACTTTCGAGTCTGGGGGTAGCCCAGGTAGGGTGTCCAAAAAGGCTTGTAACTCGGAGTCTGTCTTTGCTAGTCTGGCGACAACTGGATGAGAAGCTGCGAGAGCAACGTACTGAACGCCAAAAAGTGTGTCTGGTCGAGTAGTGAAGACCTCGATGGCGTTGCCAACGTTGGGACGGCCCGTGACCATGACTGGGAACTTGATCAAGGCGCCGGCTGACTTTCCTAGCCAATTCTTCTGCTGCGAGATGACGCGTTCAGGCCAAGAATTGTTCTTGGCGAGTTTATCCAAATCTCGCAATAGAGCGTCGCGATACTCGGACGTGCGGAGAAACCATTGCTTTAGCTTACGCTTTTCCACCTTGGCCCCTGACCTCCAAGAGCATCCTTTTGCGTCGACTTGCTCATTCGCCAGCACAGTCTTGTCCACGGGATCGTAGTTGACTTCGGCCTCGGCCTGGTAGGCGAGTCCTCGTTCGAGCAGCATGAGGAAGAGCTTCTGTGTGTGCTTGTAAAATTCGGGTTCGCAGGTCGTCAATTCCTACATAGCATTTAGCGCTGGGAGCAATCTCTGGCAGAAGATAGTTGTCCATGCTCACGCGACTCCAGTCCCAGCTACCATTCATGAGGCCAAGCTGCTCCTTCATTTTCTCGATGTTGCTTCGCGTCCACACCGCAGGGTCTATTCCTTGTTCAAATGCCGCATTCTCGGCCGGAAGTCCGAAAGCATCCCAGCCCATTGGCAGGAGAACATCATGTCCTTTCAATCTGTGGTACCTGGCAACGACGTCGGCAATGGTGTACACTCGCAGGTGGCCTAGATGCAGGCTGCCCGAGGGATATGGGAACATGGGCAAGACGTAGTTGGTCTTGCGACGGCCGCCGTTTGGGCTGCTTGGTTGCTTGATGCCGGCCTCATGGGCTTCCTTCCATTTTTTCCTCCATTTGCTGTCTAACGAGTTGAGGTCGACAGCGTACCACCTCGGAGGCGAGGGAGGTGCTGGCCCATGCAACCGTATTAATCTCGGTCTGCATACACCGGCTCGCCAGCGAGAGGCGAGCACGAGAGCCGGGTTGGCCCTCCTGCAGCCTATCTGCTTTACGTAGACCAGCTGCATGAGAATGATTGCATCGTGTAGGTTGTGTCGACAGCGGTGATGCCCGTGGCGAGCAAGGCAAGCTGTTGGAGCTCCCGATGAGGGTCAAAAGTTTGAACGCGTGACCACCGCGCCTGCCTGCCCTTGTCTGGAGCGGCAACAGCCCCTGCAGGGTCCTGCCGCTTGGAGGCGCCGCGCTTGCTTCGTCCGCTTGTAAGTTGTGGGTACTGGCGACTGCCTTAAACGTCAAATAGTCGAGAGCTGGGCCGTTGCGCACAGCTCTGGAAGTCGAGGCTCAAGGCACAACGTCAAGCGCTTGCCGCCTTCAGGATCAGGCAAGTTACGATGATCAAGTATCACCAACCTGGTTTTTGCTGTCGCACATCGCACGTCACACGCCACACCTCGTCATGATTAAGTACGCGACATGATAGCATCGACGCAAGTAAGTGCCAATCCGTAACGTGTCTTGCCTAAGACCTGGGGCAGCATGAGCGGGCGATGCTACTTGCAAGGCCGCACCTTCCGTCACTTGTGCGTATACCCACCCACCCTACCTACTCCGTATAGGTACCTAGGTAGTAGGTAGGTAGCTTTAGAGTTACGGAGTACCTAGGTATTCATTACTACTCCGTACTTGAGTCATTGCACACGGTGCGCTCTGTCCACCGGCTGCCCCCACCTTACCGCACACCTTCGCTGTCAATTCCACCTCTCCTTGGAACCAGTGGGGATTTCGGGGACGTCCAGCAACATCAACTGGTCCATTGCCGCCAGACCCCTCTCACGGTGTCTGACCCTCTCTTCGTACCTTTTGATGATGGTCATTAGCGGCTTACCTCCTTCGGCGTTGGGCTGAGCTGTTGGCGTCCGGGACTTGGTTGGACTCCTTCTCCTCATCTTCAGCCTCATTTTTGCGTCGTCCTCGGCCATCAGCTACGGCTTCAGACGCTCTCGCCTGTTGCTTGTGTGCCATCCTCCTCTGGCTGGCTTCGCAGAACGTCGCCTGAGCTACTCCTCTATCGTCGTGTCGCCTTCGGCATCCCACCGGTCCCCTTCCAGTTGGCTGAGACACACTCAGACACGGCTGGCACCGCTGCTTTTAAGGCTCGTCGCCACCGAGCCATCTCCGTCGCGGCATATTGCACCGTGGCTGCTCCGGCCTAGCAGTCGACTGAGCGAATCCGACTACGGAACACAGGTCAACCAACCGTTGCGACGTCGCCCGCAGTCATTCGTTGCCTCCCAACACCGCCGCCATGGACAAAATCACAGACAAGATTGCCGCTCTCCCGGCCGATAGAGAGTATTTTTCTCTCGAATTCTTTCCTCCCAAGACTGCCATGGGCTTTTCCAATCTGCGCCACCGACTGCAGCGCATGGAACAGGCTCTGAAACCTCTTTTTGTCAATGTTACGTGGGGAGCTGGCGGATCAACAGCGACAAAGTCCCTTGAACTGGCCGAGCTCTGCCAGCGGGAGCTTGGCCTCACTACATGTCTTCACTTGACTTGCACCAACATGAGTAAGCGTCTTGTCGACAAGGCCCTTGAGGATGCCAAAGCCCTTGGCATCCGCAATATCCTCGCTCTTCGAGGAGACCCTCCACGAAGGGAAGAATACCGTGATGCCCAAGATTCAGACGACGATGGACAAGAAGACTTCACATATGCTATTGACCTTGTGAGATTTATTCGCAAGAAGTATGGGGACTACTTTTGCATTGGAGTAGCAGCATACCCAGAAGGCCACTCCGACGAGAGTCACCCTCGGGTGCAAAGTTTGGAACACGATTTGCCGTACTTGGTGGACAAGGTACAAGCCGGCGCCGACTTTATCATGACGCAGCTCTTCTTCGACATCAGTGCCTACGATCATTTCGAAAAGACCCTTCGGGAACATCCTAGTGGCGCTTTCAAGACTATCCCCATCATGCCTGGCCTGATGCCAATCCAGAGCTATCACATGATCAAGAGAACAACCAAGCTGAGCCACGCCAAGATGCCCACGGCCATCATGGATCGTCTTGATGCTTTCAAGGGCGACGACGAAAAGGTCAAGTCGGTCGGTGTGGATATCATCGGCGAACTCATTGAGCAGATTAGAACAATCAAGAGCCGAACACCAGGCCGCAGAGGCTTTCACTTTTATACCTTGAACTTGGAAAAGGCGGTTTCCTTTATTGTCGAAAGAACCGGTCTTATCCCTGACGAATCAGAGCACGAGGAAGTGCTCATCGACGACAATGCTCTTGCGCCTCCCGCCATCCAGGTCAACGGAGCCCGAACTTCGACTCACTCCAGGACATCCAGGAGACAGTCCTCAGTCGGCTCCGACCCTTATAACCGAGTCATTGTTGCCGGCCAACCACCAACACATCCGGAATGGGAGGCCACTGGACAAGAAGCGGGTGTGCCGGCTGAAAGCATAAACTCGCGCGCAAACACGCTTGCCATTTCCGAAGGTGAAGGTGTGTTGGGCAGGGAAGCGACCTGGGACGACTTTCCCAACGGTCGCTTCGGCGACTCCAGATCGCCGGCGTATGGTGAAATTGACGGCTACGGCGTAACCTTGCACATGTCGGTCAGTCAGGCTGTGACGCTCTGGGGACGCCCCACGAGTCGCCAGGACGTCAACGATGTCTTTGTCAGGCATATCAAGGGAGAGATTGCGGCGATGCCATGGAGCGAAGAGGGACTGTCCCCTGAATCTTCGACAATACAGACTCAGCTCATAGAAATGAACCGCAGGGGCTGGCTAACGGTTGCCTCACAACCCGCCGTCAACGGCGTCTCGTCGAGCGACAGGACATTTGGGTGGGGCCCAGTCAACGGGTTCGTGTTCCAGAAAGCCTTTGCGGAATTCTTCCTCCCATCCGCGGACTGGCGCGTTCTGGAAGACAAGTTGAAGGGATCCGACCACTTGGACAGCGTCTGCTTCTACGCCGCCAACGCCAAGGGCGACTTCGTCTCGTCCGACACCAGCGGCGGGGCGTCCACACGAACCGTCGCGGCGAGCACCAACGCCGTGACATGGGGCGTGTTCCCCGGGAAGGAGATTGTCACGCCCACCATCATCGAGGAGGTGAGCTTCAAGGCATGGAGCGAGGAAGCGTTTGGTCTGTGGGGGGAATGGGCAAACGTATACGGCCGAGGCTCGGAGAGCCACAAAGTACTAGCCGGCATTCGATCTGACTACTGGCTGGTGAACATCATTCATCACGACTTTATAGATGGGGAAGCACTGTGGAGGCTGCTGCTCTGTTGATGGGACAAGGCAGCGAGATATATCAATCAAAGTGGAGTGTATATTATGGCATTGAGTGTGTCCATTCGCAGCTAAGCAAGGTTGTCCCCCCCAAGTGTCAGTCGCATCTACAGCGCTTCAAAGAACATGTCCCCAAATTTCAGGTGGGGGGTTTTGCAAAAATCATGGCCAGATTCCCGGCTCGAGGTGTCGACGTCTGTGCCTCTCTGCGCATACCGCTCGTCTCCTCATGTTGGCCCCTCATCACACACAGTCGCATTTCCCACTGCCATTGCCGTGGATTCTCTGCGCCTCTGAGGCCCCTTCACATCTCGCCGTCCTCGAGCTCCGCCCCCAAGGCGTCGTCGAAAGTGCCGGAATACAGCGTGGTCCCCAGAAACCTAGAGAAGACGGGATCGGCGGCGCCTTCGGTAAAGGCGCTGGAGGGTACGGCCACGTCGCCGAAAATGCTCTTATACTGCTCCGGCTCCAGCTCCGGCTTGGCCAGCAGGGCGTCCGAGTCGGAGTCGAGCGCGGCGCTGGCGATGGTAGCCCTCGCCCGCACGGCGGCCTTGCGCACGCCGTTCTTCTGGGCCGGGGTGCGCTGAGCGGTCCGCTTCGACGGCGACTCCTCCTTGTCGCTCCAGTCCTCGTTGTCCGAGGGCTCAGGGGACGAGGGCTTGGGCTCTGCTGCGGCGCGGGGGCGCTTGCGACTGCCGGGCGTGCGGGCTGAAGCTGTCGCCAGCTTTGTGGGCGTCGAGGTGCCGGACTGGAGGGAGAGGCAGCTTGCGACGTCGCCGCCCGACGAGTGTGTCTGGCGCAGCTGGTCGGCGTCCTTTTTGATGCCGCGGAACTGGAACTGGATCCCGTCTGCGGTCGACTGCCCGAAGTACTTGGCTATATCTGTCGCAATGCAGTCAGAATTTTGTTTTTTTTTTTGTCCTTCATATCGTCGTCTAGTGTGTGGGTTTGTAGGCGAGAGGGACAGGGAGAGAGACGGACGCGGAGGGGAGGCGTACTCTTCTTGTCGACGGCGTCCTGGGCCGCAGGCATGTTATCTTCGACGACGAGGTGCTTCATGTCGAAGCCGTGGGTGCGCCCTTGGCGGATGATCAGGGCCTGGGTTTTGAGCCGGCGGAAGCGGTGATTGAGCGCATGCTCCGTCATGTCCGAGCCGTAGCAGGCAACGATTTCTGGGGGCGGTCAACTCCCCGTCCCGTGACATGATGTAAAGAAGGGAGGGGGAGATGCAGAGGCGCCGGGAGAAATTGTTGGACAGGAAGAGGGGGCAGAAAAGAAGAGAAGGGAAAAGTGGGAAAGAGGAGCAAGATTGCCTACCTTTGTAGTTCCACTTGACGTCCGGATGGGCGGCGACAATAGCCCTGACCATGCGGGCTTGCGCCTCGTAGGTCTTGTAGTTTGCCTTGGAGCTTGTCGGAGCCATGGCGTTTTGGGAAGAAGCGAAGTTTTGAAGAGCCACCGCAGGGGCGCACGCCGGATGCCAGGGCCAGGCGGACGATATCTGTCAGAGGAACCAGCTTCGTGATGTTCTAGAAGGATGAGCTGGCCGCTCGCGCCCGGCATACGCACGAGGATGGTGTCTGCGAGGCAGAAGATGAGAAGAGGAAAACGGCGTGGTTGGAGATGAAGGCGCGTGAAGCTGAGGGTGCGGATTCCCGGATACACGATACGTATAGATCAATGCGTGCCAGCTGGCGACGGCTGACTGGGCGGCCAAGGTGACGACGAAGTGAACTCGACCGCGCGTGGTGTTTGGAGTATCTCGGGGGCGAACACCACTGCTACGGAGCACCGTCAGCTCGGGCGGTCGAAGATGCGGCCTTCAAACAGACGTACCTGTCTTGTGGATTGGGGCACAGCCGCTCTCTGTCCGAGGTGAAGCTGCAAGGAGGACGGGATGGTTGAGAGGTCGGCAGCACGCTGGCACAGCAGGAGCCAGCACGAGTTGCAGCCGCGTTGCTTTCCTTGGGATCCCCTCTGGTCAATCCCGTCGATTGAAAGGCTTCAGCTTGGACGACAAGAGATGAATTGATGACGGCCACAAGGCACACAACACACAACCCAGCCTAGCTTGATGCGCCGGCGCCTTGACGACGTTGGCTGCCTGCGATGCCTGGTTGAAGTGAGGTGGCTGGGCAAACGCGCATCGCCGAGTCGACGACGAGCCGGGCTGCACCCCCGATAACATGTACATGCCGTGCAAACCACGGCTCGCACGCACACGCGCCGCACGGCTCGAGAAACGGCTTCTTGCAACGTGTCATGGACACGGACGGCCTCGTGGGCTCCTGTTACGATATTATTTACTTGCCTTTGGGCGCACAGGCGGCAAAATGCCCGGTGGCCCTGCGGTCGCGGCTGTACCGCTCCATCATGACTTGACGCCTCGCGCGCCCGGGGGGAGATGGGCGACTTCATTTCTGCCCTTCCCAACACGTCATCATACCAACTCCAGACCTACGCACAATGCTCCATCGCCATGTATACATGTCCCGCTTTCCGCTCGTGGAATGAAGTGCCAAATGCCTTTTGAACACGATTCTACTCCCGCACCTGCATTACGGTCCCCGACATGGACACCCGCATGGATCGCACCCGGCCTGGCGGTGCTTACCGCGGCTGCTCGTTTTGTATCAACAACCCCTTCGTTCGTGGAATGATATCCTCCCTTGCAGGGGCAAACATGTCGAACACAGTCAAGCCATGGCTCGTCGGTAGCCTTGCCTTTCCGTGCCGCAGCCCGCTCAGAGCCGTCTCCAAGACAGTCATCTATTCCGCCTCGGTGTCGCTGAACATGGGCCCTCGCTTTGTGCCGCCCGACAGGCTTGGCGTGTGGGAACGAGAAGCCCGGTGGCCACGCGCCCAGTGAGCCTCTTCCATGGCGTGCTCCTTCAAAATGGCTTCGTTGTCGCCGGCGCCATACATGAAATACTGAACACCCAGGAGACAATCGCAGGCTGCCTGGAAACAGCCGCAGACCTTGAAGGCCAGCGGGATCGCGCTCGTGGACGTAAAGAACCAGAAGACCTTCATGGCGTCGCCGCCAATCCAGCTCGCCAGGACGGACAGTCGGAAGCCCTTGGATGATTGTGATTGCGCATTGGCGATCAGCTGCGGGATGGGCAGCGTCGCCTCGATGGAGAGGCCGAGGTATCCGATGAGCACCGAGTACGCGTCGTAGACTGGCTCCACGGGTCGGAAGAGGACTTCGCAGGCGATGAGGGCGCCGAGGAGGTAGAGGAGGAAGTGCCAGTATCTATCGCGGTCAAGAGTCAGCAACCGTGCTTCCCTTGTCTCCGCGTTCCACGAGCGGCCTGGGCCTGGATGCCACGAAGCACGGGGGGGGAGGGCGCCGGGACGACGTACGGCTTGTGCGACCGCCACTGCCAAAAGTTGTACGGGCGTCGAATGTCGAGCGGCCCGCCTCGTTCGAGACCGGAGAACGGCATGCTGCCCTCGCCGCCCTTGGTCGCGGGCAGAGGCCTGTGTTCCAGGGCGGTCTTGAGCAAAATGAGTTGCACCACGACCATGAGGAACGACTGCACCAGCAGACTGGCATCGAATCGAGAGCCCGGCCAGTAAAAGATCCTGCACACACGGGGGGAACGCCCGTTAGCGCTCGCTTCTTGCACGGACCGCCGGTGCGGCCCTGTATCGTCGGGACGCTTTCGCGTGGGCTGCGAGTAAACATACCTGAAGAGGGAAGCCACCAACATGATCAGGGGGATGTCCAGAGAGAAGCCAGCACTCGATTTATTCCGGTGCATGGCAAGAATCTGGTCGCCGTACGAGATGACTGGCGACATGACGATGAAGAAGGGGGCAGCAAAGCCCGTCAAGTTGGTCAGCCAGGTCATGGTGCCGGCTGGTGTCCGTGTGCGTCGAAAAGGAGATGAATGAATGGATGCGGAGACGGAGCGCGCGCGACGGCAAGAATGCAGCAGTAAACGACGGCAAGAAACAGGCAAAAGAAACAAAAAAAAAATCGCTAAACGGTTATGGCGAGTCCATCCGCAGAAACGCAGAACAAGGGCGATGTTGGCGTCGGAACGAGTTGCTGCGTGACGGGATTCCAGATGGATGCGGGTGTGGATGGTGACGACTAATGACGACGGGCTTTTTTTCCAAATTTGCTGGAATGGCACTTACTGTACGGAGTACGCTAGTACGGAGTACACCCGTGGTATCCGGTACCTGACTGGGGGCGGCCAGGCCTGCAAAGACCAGGTGCCGACTACCTGTTTTGCGAGTTGACCAATTAAAAAAAAGAAAATAAAAGAGTCAACTGGTCTGGTTCGAAATAGTTAATCCCCAAAATGACCAAGCAAAAAGCCTTCGTTTTATTCGCCAGCAACAAGCATGCGAACTCCCGTCTGCTTGCTTAGTTACTTGGCCAGGGGAAAAGGAGTCAAGCCCCTTCCCAAGGTGTTGAGATGCCTCGTATTCTGTCTGTCCTCAAGAGTCGTCCCGTTTCTACCGCGTGCTCCGTACAGCCACGAGCTACTACTTGCTGCCTCGGGCTCGGGGGACTCCTTCACATCGGCATGCTTCGACGCGAGCTATGCGAGTTTACTGCCATGACGTCGATGCATCCCGCCCACGTAAAGTGACGCGTTTACTGGGGCGCCAGGCCACGTAGACGCCTCCGCCTGCCCGAACTCGAATCAACAAACTAACCATCTTGATGTAAATATCCATCTCGGCACGAATACCAGCTAGGCTCCAAAGAGGCGACAGGCGGGCTGGCCCGCGTACATGCTCTCGGCGGGATCGATAGTTCCATCGCCCGATTCACTGCTAGAAACAAGAAATGACGATTTGATCGAACGGAAAGCAAGAGAGAAAGCACCCAAAATGCTCCCAGTAAAAAAAATAAATTAATTAATTAAAAAATGCGACAACAGCCAGATTCGAACTGACGCGGGCGAACCCAAGAGATTTCGAGTCTCTCGCCTTAACCACTCGGCCATGTTGCCCTGGTCATTACGTAAACTCCAAGTTGCACCGACTTGATTGTACATGTGCGGACGTGGACGCGTCCAAAACTCCAACGTACACGTGCACACGATGACAAGATGCGGACCACGACAATTTGCAAGGGAATAGGGAATAGGGAGACCGCCCAAGGACCCTGAGACTCCCGCCGCGGTCGTCTTCGTCTGCCGTGACGCCAGCGCATTTCGACGAGTGTGCGCGTCAGAACCGCCAGCCGACGCCCTCGTGGCCGGTCCGTGGCGACAGACAAGACAGCCTTGATGTCTCGGCGATACGATTGTCTCGGAAAACAACGCGGTCGGTCGTGTTTCCGACTTTGGACGCCCGGAAGAGCCTGAGTGAGCCCGGTGAGGTCGCCGGGCGCACCGGGACACCGCCGCTCAACTTGGACCGTCGACGACGCTTCGCACGCCGCAGGCCAAGTCACCACGGGCAGTTGCATCCTTGACGTGCCGCCTCCTGGGTCTTGAAGAATCTCCGTCCATCAGCACGTGAGTCCTGCGACCACGGAATCACGTACATGCAGCGTGAGGGGTACACCAGATATCTACATGGTGCAATGATTCCCTCCTTCAACAACCTCCGTGGACCGAAAACAAACTGTGTTCGTCGACCACAGGCTTTCTTTTCCAGATCGCATACATACCTCGAGTGATATCTAGCTGCCGCAGGCCTGCCTGCGCGCCCGAGAAGCCCGAGCAAGGCGTACACGCCCATATCCCATCGCGACCCCGGCGAAACTTATCCAAGAACTCCCCGAGCACGTCGCAGCATGACCTGCATGGCTGTGAAACAACCAGACGACAGGCAAAGGTCGAGCACGTGCCGACAAGGACGCGGCATCATCCTCGACAAGCTCACACACCCGACTCTGGACATGACTTGCACCGCCGCCATGCATACCCTACATCCATCCATCCATGCAGACAGGTCAGCAAAATGTCACCGCATAGTGAAGCAGCCCATATAGAAAACATGAACGGCCAAGCACGAAGTCGAGCGCGCACCAGGCAGTCGTGTACAGCACACCAGAGAAACAGCACAAGCACAGAGAACCCATGATTCTCGCGTCAAATCCGCGCGAGGGAGCTGCTTTGCCTTCCGACCAGCGACTACCCTAGACCACGCATTCGCATGTTCGCGACCAACGCAAGCATTCATTGATCTCGACCAGCAAATGGCAATCCCAACCCTGTCAATCAATGCCTTTTCGCCAGACATCGATACCACTGTGAAACCCCCAATATACGCTGCTCGCGGCCCAATGTTGGCCGGCAACAGCGTCACAAGCCGACTCTCACGCAACGACAGCAAGCAACGAGACGTCAGTCAGCACACGGCACACAGCGCACATGGATTGTCAAGCCGACAAGTCGATGCAGCCCAAGACAGGCAAGGCAAGACAAGACAAGACAGGCACTCGGTAGGTCGGTACGCCTCGGCCGCGTCGCCCGCCGACATGACATGTTGTGCACGCATCTGCAAAGCCTTCCAGAACCAAACGAACCGCATTCCCCGGAGGATTTTACTAGGCACACCCGAATGCGACGGACCGTCCCATCCAGCGGCCGTGCGCGCGACGGACAAGAAAGTACTACTCGGTGTGGTGGCTGGCTCTAAAGAGGACGGAACAAAAAGAAGCCCGACGACGACGCTACTGGTGGCATGGCAGAGCAGAGCAGAGCAGAGCAGAGCAGAGCAGAGCAGAGCAGAGCAGAGCAGAGCAGAGCAGAGCAGAGCAGAGCAGAGCAGAGCAGAGCAGAGCAGAGCAGAGCAGAGCAGAGCAGAGCAGAGCAGAGCAGAGCAGAGCAGAGCAGAGCAGAGCAGAGCAGAGCAGAGCAGAGCAGAGCAGAGCAGAGCAGAGCAGAGCAGAGCAGAGCAGAGCAGAGCAGAGCAGAGCAGAGCAGAGCAGAGCAGAGCAGAGCAGAGCAGAGCAGAGCAGAGCAGAGCAGAGCAGAGCAGAGCAGAGCAGAGCAGAGCAGAGCAGAGCAGAGCAGAGCAGAGCAGAGCAGAGCAGAGCAGAGCAGAGCAGAGCAGAGCAGAGCAGAGCAGAGCAGAGCAGAGCAGAGCAGAGCAGAGCAGAGCAGAGCAGAGCAGAGCAGAGCAGAGCAGAGCAGAGCAGAGCAGAGCAGAGCAGAGCAGAGCAGAGCAGAGCAGAGCAGAGCAGAGCAGAGCAGAGCAGAGCAGAGCAGAGCAGAGCAGAGCAGAGCAGAGCAGAGCAGAGCAGAGCAGAGCAGAGCAGAGCAGAGCAGAGCAGAGCAGAGCAGAGCAGAGCAGAGCAGAGCAGAGCAGAGCAGAGCAGAGCAGAGCAGAGCAGAGCAGAGCAGAGCAGAGCAGAGCAGAGCAGAGCAGAGCAGAGCAGAGCAGAGCAGAGCAGAGCAGAGCAGAGCAGAGCAGAGCAGAGCAGAGCAGAGCAGAGCAGAGCAGAGCAGAGCAGAGCAGAGCAGAGCAGAGCAGAGCAGAGCAGAGCAGAGCAGAGCAGAGCAGAGCAGAGCAGAGCAGAGCAGAGCAGAGCAGAGCAGAGCAGAGCAGAGCAGAGCAGAGCAGAGCAGAGCAGAGCAGAGCAGAGCAGAGCAGAGCAGAGCAGAGCAGAGCAGAGCAGAGCAGAGCAGAGCAGAGCAGAGCAGAGCAGAGCAGAGCAGAGCAGAGCAGAGCAGATCAGATCAGATCAGCCAGAGCAGAGCAGATCAGCCAGAGCAAAGCACGGCACGCGCACACGCAAACGGACCAGCTGAATTCGCCACGGCGAGGCAGACGGGCAGGCCCGTTGGCAGTCGACCGTCACCGCACCGTCACCGTCACCGTCACCGTCACCACCGAGCAAGCAGTTGTCGGCCGGGCAGCCTGGTTCGTCGTCGTCGTCTTAGTCTTGACCCTGCCAATTTCCCGAGCCACAAAGCCCCCGTCCGGACGTTTGCAGTCGTGTTGGCGCTGGTCGTGGCGCTACTGATGAGAGTCGGCATGGCGTGGGCGTGGGCATGAGCATGGACATGGACATGGACATGCCCCCAAATCAAACTTCCCTCTTGCGGATGCGGCTCGTTCTCGTATGCGGAGCATGTCAAAGGTCATTACTGTTCGCTCCGCCGCCGCGGGCTTGTTTCTTCCACCAACCAGCAACTCAGATTCGCGGAGCTATAAAGTCTAACGCAGTTTGTCCCGACAGCCCGTCGTGATGCTCCTTTTCTCGTCCTTTTGCTTCGAATATCTTGTCCAACTCCCCCCTCCCTTCCCCCCTTTCGGTCCTCTGACGAGACGGCAAACCACGAGCGCTATTTCTCCGGACAGTACTGATTTCCCCCTTGGTCAGCTCGCAACCAACAAACAGGTGCGAGATTGGGGCCCAAGCCATGGACGGTGCTACGTGCTGTATACTCCGTAGGATGCATGTACTGGGTACGTAGGTACGCGTGTACTCGCTCGCCGCGAGCAAGCCCCTTCCTCAACGGCGGGCGCAACGCGACAGTCTCTTGTTCGTCCCGAGGTCTTGTTTGTTTCCGGGGCAGCGAGGGCATCCTGATAGAGTAACCGCCGGGTTCGTCTGCTCGGGAGCATGTAACATTGAGTTGGATGGAAAAGCCCGAAGCCGCGACAAGCTCGAGCACGCAGCTCCGGCTCCAGCATCGGCGTCGGCATCAGCGTCGGCAACGGCATCGGCATCGGCATCGGCATCAGGACCAGCACCAGCATCAGCACCACAACGCCGCCTCGCGACTAACGCAAGTGTGTCATGCTCGGAACGCACACACGAAATGACATGTTTGGAGCCCTGGCTAGGGGCCGGCGTCAATACCCCTTCTGGATTGTTGCCGTATGTGGGCGAATCGCGTGCTCACTTGTTCCTTGTCCCCCCGGCAAAGCGACCCATGAGCTTGGGAAGCTTGTCAAGGCCCGCCCGGGGACGCTTTTGTACCGTCTGCCTTTGGGCGACGTGTGGGAGTACTCAGGCCTTTGAGGACTAGCTAGCAACTTGACGTCTCGAGCTGTGTAGGTACCTGTCCAGCACCTGAAGGGTCAGCGAGGTCAAAGTTACATTCTGCCTAGACGTTGGGCACCTAGCCGCTGCCAGCGCAGGAACCAAGGGAGCCATGGACGGAGCGCCTGGACACTGGACACTACTCCGTCCTGGCGGCGGGATCTGGTGGTCAACGGTACGCCAGAGCAGGCCTTGAGACTCACGAACGCACGCCGTACTCGGTACAGGCGTCGGGACTCGGGATGGTGCCGATGCCGCGAGCAGGCAGGCGAGGTTGCGGCTCTGCCACGCCAGGACCGAAGAGTGGAACGGACAAGTCAGCACCCTAAACCCGAGGCGTCGTTAGTTGGCGCCGTGAAGGCAACGAGCGGCGGCGGGTGGAGAGACATGTCGATCCAAAACGCCGGCTGGGCGGGCGTGTTGCAGACTTGCAGCGGCGGTGCGTGCTCCGCCTGTCCCGTGCCTCGTACGTACGTACTCCGTACTTGTGCGCATTCTCGGTACGTGCTCGGTACGCGGGCAATACTTGGTCCGTCACGTCGGCGCATATCGTGGTCGTGGTCGTGGTCGTGGTCGTGGAGTCGACGTGGACGTGGACGTGGACGTGGACGTGGCCTCGGAGCCGGTGTCAGGTGCCGCCACAAGCCAAGAGCAGTTTGTTCTTCAATACGAGGCCGCGAGGGTTGGAGCGTGTACGGAGTACCGTGTACAATGTGCAAGTGCCGTACACGCCGCGTCTCCCCCCTCCTCAACTTGGGGCCAACCCCCCCCCTCCCCCCAGTCGGACCGACTCAGATCGGGCTGCGCGGCCATGGGCCACGGCGATTGATTGACGGCGCTGGGGGTGGCTGAGATGCCGTGCAAACAGACAGATTTGCGTGCTGTGCTGTGCTGTGCTGTGCTGTGCTGTGCTTTTTTTTGCCTTTGCTCTCTCTCGTTCGTCGTCCAACCACTGACTGACTCGTCGTAACGTCGCACCCGCACGCGGCTGTTCCACTCGCCGCCACCTGGAAGTCATCATCCTCCCGCCAGCCACATGCGCGACCAAGTTGCCAAACTGGGACAGCGCCGGCTCTCGCCCGAGGTGTGGGAGTGGCGTGGATGGCTCGCTTGCGTGCTTGACCGACCGACCGACCGACCGACTGACTGACTGACTGACTGCCTGGCTGCCTGACTGCCCGTTCATCCATCTACGGACCTCCTGCCGTCCTCGTTGGGGGCCTTTGGACGGCCCAAGGGTCGAGGCAGAGGAGCAACGCTGCAACGCAAAAGTTCTCGCCGTCACAGCCAACAGCAACATCAAGACCAAGTTGCTCAAAGTCTTTGCCCAGCATCGAACCATCCGTCCGTCCATCCATCCACGCACCCACACATCCACACGACATCCACCGGGCGTGTGCTGGCCCGCCGCCGCAGACGCACACGCAGACTCGAACTCTGTAGACCGACGTCGGCTGCTGCCTACATCCCGACGGTTTGGAACTGGACAATGCACCGCATCCAAACCCGCACGCTCATCCATGACATGACATTTCCCCCCCCCGGCGACTTCGGCTGGACCAACCCAAGGTCTCGTCAGCAGCTTCTCTCTTGTCGCCCCAGCACAGTGAAAGAAAGGGGGGGGTTTTCCCAGCTAATTACGCCGTTGGTTCTGTTGAAGCATGCAGCAGTGACATTCCAAACCACTCGCGCCACCGCTGTCCTGCCATTTTCCCGTGCCTACCCAGCTGAAGAAAGAACAACGAACAAGTAAGCCGTTGGTTTACCCTCGTCTGACCAGCTTGCCAATACCTGGCCGTCGTCGTCGTCGTCGTCGTCGTCGTCGTCGTCGTCCGAGCCGTCCACGCCCATGACGTGGGCTGCTCTGCATCTAATCACGCATCCAGTACTCCGTGTCTACAGAGTACTGCTACCATGTAATTGCCCACGGCCCTGCCTACCCTGTTGGTGGATGTTGCATCTGCCAATATCTAAACAGTTAGTAGTACTCCGTAGTATCTGCTCCTGCGTAGGCCCAAGGGTCGGGATTCCTGCGAGCGAGCCCGGACCAGCGACGACGCCCACATTTCCTTCCGCCGTCATGCTCACCCAGCACACGAGCCATGAGCCATGGCTCGCTGGCTCGGCTGGATTCAAGGGTACGGAGTGGGCGTGACCGCTGCACGGTGACACGTTGGCGGGACGCGCAGCAGTCATCGAGAGGCAGAAGAGGAGACAAGAGGTCGAAAGGGGACCCGGCAGAGCCTTCGTCATCACTGATCAGCTGCCCCCGTCGCCGGGACATGCGCGCCTCGACCGACCCGTCGCAGGGTCCAGGCACCAACCTGGCTGCTTGCTTGGCTTGGCGTTGGACCTGAAACTTTTGCCTCCTCTCCTCTCCTCGGCTCTGCTCTGCTGTGGACAGCGGCTATTGCAACAGCCGCACCGCACCGTACCGCACCGCACCGCGTCCGTCCGTACGGGCTGCGGCATTGCCGGCAAGTAATGTGATAAAGTCGAGCAGGTGATGCGTGGGCCGGGCTGGACTACCCAGCCTCGTCAGTCGACGTGCATCGGAGCTCCCGCCGACGCGAGACGTAGTAGCACCTCGAGTCTAAGCGCGTGCGTGTCCCGTCAGGGGAGCACACCGCCGCCTGGATGTACTCGGTGCTCTCTCCACCTCTGGAGGCGCTGGGCGTCGGGCCGTGAAGCGCATCACGGTCGGACGGCCGGCCTTTGGCGACCGCGGCCTGACGAGGGCAAGACAAGAAAAAAAAAACGACCCGTCATAACAGGTCGCAAGTCGCTGCTCTCCTGGACCCGACAGTCTGGTTCGAGAAAACCTGCCACCACCAAGATACCGTGCTCCGCCGTACCATGCAAAAGCAGAAGCCTGTGTTGTTAGGATGTCCGTACCGTACTCCACGGCGTCGCCGTCGGATCCGCAGGCCAATTTATTCCGTATGCTACCGCCAGGGATGGGAGGGCAATTCGCCGAGTCGCAAGCGTTCCCTCGTTCTGAAGCGCCTCACGGGTGGCTTTGGGACCCTTTGGGTAAACCGGCCATGTTGGATATCTTCTCTCGGCCGAACGAACGGGCAGAGAAAAAAACAAGAGGAGACGACGCTGCATTCTACCGTGCCGCCGTGCCACCCTGCAACTGATGCCATGGGATCACCGGCCACTGCGTCCGCTCGATCCAGTTTTGCCGCCTGGAGAGGCATTCCTTTCCCCTTCCCCTCTGCTTTCCGATTTGCGGCCGCTTTCGCTGACCGCTGCTGCTGCCCTCCTCGGTTGGTTGGTTGGTTGGTTGGTCGGTCGGCATTCGTCTCATTGCAACCTGCCCATGGCACTTGGGTCTTGATAAGAATAATCACAGATAGTAGCAAGCCTGACCCGTCCATCTGGTATCTGCAGGACACATGGCAGGACGACACGGCTTGTTATCGGGCACAGCAAGCACGGAGCTCGGGGCACGGAGCACGGAGCACGGAGTCGCTCGGTCTTTTTCTCCCACGTCCAGCTTACCCAAGATTGCTCGCAAGCCCATCACCATTGCGGTGCCTGGCGGGCACCTTGACTGTGGACTGCTTGTTGCCACGGAGTACTGTATGATCACGTCATGTAATGACAAGACTGAACGTTGCTGGCAATGCCCACCCAAATGATATCGGTCCCCTCCCAGGGTCCTGCGCACATACTCCGTACACACGTACATACGGAGTACGTACAACGTAACAGAGGATGGCACCACCGACTCCGTAGTAGCTATCCAGGTACGGAGCAATAGGGAAGGGTCCGGCCCACCCCTTTTGCGACGTGGCCACGGCTGCGAGAAGTAACACAACTGTTACGCAGGTACGTTGCTCCTCGTTGCGGACGGCATGGGGCACGGGGACACGGGGACACGGGAATATGCCTGCTGTTGGGAGCAGACGTGCTCGAGGAGCCTACCAACCCCCGTGCGTGACAAAAGATGACACGCTTTCACATCCCGCACCCGCACCCGCACCCGCACCCGCACCCCCGTCGTGGTCGCTTTGCTGCCCAGTCCACTCGTTCAGGTCTTTCTGCAATAGCCGCGAAGTCGATAACAGGGTTGCTGCTAGTGGCAAACAAAAGCCCCCTGTAAAAGGGATAGAGGACGGAGATTGTAGAGTGAGGATCGTGCCTCGCTTGGAGCAGGAGGATGGGTAACCCCATGGCCGGTCAGGTCAGCGCCTGACCGACATGTTCATTGTTGGGCCCGCGACCGCGACTCTTCCAGCTTTGATGTACGTAATGTACTCCGTACTCCGTCCACCGCACTGCATGGGGTGGGGTGTTTGCACTGGAAACCGGTGGAGTTGTCCCTTGAAGTCGTAGTCGTCGGTAGCATGGGCAGGCTTGGGGATGATTCATGAAGAACAAAACAAAACGTCATGGCAATCTTGGGGCCCTTGCCGCGGAGTGCCAAGCGACGTCTTTCGTCGGTCACGATACGTACTTGGTGGTCCGTCCTCCGTATTCCGCATTCCGCATTCCGCATTCCGCATCCCGTCTCCGGCCCCGGTCCTCCGTCCTCCGTGACGACCAAGTTGTCTGGTCTTGTCCTGCCCTGCCTGTGGAGCGGGAGCTGCAAATCGACAAGTGCCGAATCAACCGTCACGCTCAGCAATGACATGCAGATCTGCCCACCTATACCTAGGTAGGTATTAAATCCCGAGTGCCTTGCTTTGGCTGACGGCCGAACGCCTGGGGGCCAAGTTTCTAGGGTTCGTTCG